TAATAGGAGAAGACGAAAAGTCCAAAAAGCGCTCTAATTCTCCCAACAGAGAGGCCAAAGGCCATTCAAACAGCCAAAGATCGGAGATGAGATGGTGGTTAGTGGCAGAGATGCGGAGATCGGACCGAGGTCCCGGAATTTTCTTCAGTACACAGTGGTCCTTCGTTCTAGTCCACGAAAGGAGACCTACCTAGTAACCATGCGGAGTCGAATCCTTCCATTCTAATGGACGAAGGTAACGGATAGGTCTCCATGTATATTTCTGTCGCTCACCGAAGCTGAAGTCCTGTACCTGCAGGAATCCGTCAAATACCCCTTCCTAAGAGAATGATGCTTCGTACCTTGACCTCGATTAGACCTGGACTAGATTTATATCCGGCGACATGCACTTATCTTTGGTCGGGGCCGAACTCTACAAATGCCCAATATGAATCGCCTCGCGGCAATCATGAATGGCGGTGCATGGTCTTTCTCGATGACGCTTCTAACAGCATCTATCATACGGCCGATGTTTCAGAATGTCCTTGTAGTGTTTCAAGATCTTTGCTCCTCACGCCGTCACTTGAGCAGTTCTGAGTCAAAGCAGGGCAGCCAACAGCTGATACCATCCTTTCTTTACCACCACCTTAAAGAGGGTCTACCACGCCTTGCAATTGCCCTCACTGTACGGCTATATCAGAGCAACTACAGCTCATGAATTAGCCGCATTTAGCCGCAGTCATGACTATGCTTCTTACAGAACCCTATCGAATTGTCTCCGTGGACCCCCTGGCCATGAAGACGACTTTCACATTCCCCAGTGACTTTCATGAACATCGGTACCCGCAGAAAGGCTTCACCTCCTCCTTAGGATGGACCTTCTTCGTTCGCTCCTCCGGAACTGCGGATGACCAACGAGAAATAAAAGTGGACTTTGGCTATATCACACCAGACAGTGCCGACTTCCAAGGCTATGCCCTATCCATTTCTGGGAAAATGGCTGTATCTCCGACACGCGCATACTGCCTGGGTCCCACCACGGTGGCGACTCCCCGACCCAAAATGTTCGTTGCCGCCAGGATAGATCCTAGGAAAATGCTCGTCAGACCGGATGCCAATTTGGTGTTCGAATTTACTGTCGCTTTCCTTAGGACTTCGGTGCCTTCTCCCACTGTCTGTACTGTATATCCTGCAAAGGCATCTCGAGTGTTTCACGATGCCATTAAAACTGGGGAGTTCTTTGACATCACCTTCTACTTGTACAATCGACGATCATATGGCGGGAGAGTCAGCGAACGAAAAGCTCTTTTTGGGAGTAAACGTGCTTTGTTCAATATAACGGACAGCCTTGACCGTGGTAATTACCGTTTCTTCGGCCCTAACCATAGCTAGACGCTAAACTTATTTGCAGTCATAATGGAAAATATCGTCGACGAAACCGACGACAGCTTCTCCCCCAACACAGATGAATATGACTATGGCGACGACAGCGATTTGGAAGACGATCCAGAGGAAGATGACTGGTGCGATCTTCTTGAAGATGTGGTCTGCCGAAAATTCTCATCCGATAACCTAGGTGCTCCATAGATCGTTCCAACTTGGACTCGCCGCGTCTTCATAGAATGGGACACGCTTGCGTTTTGAACCACGTTTCATACAGAACGTAAGTACATTCATATTGTCGTTTCTCGGCTCGGGTTAATTCCGGCATAGGTGGAAATGTTTACTTCTTTACCTTCACACGGGCCGTCTGTGCTTCTCGATCCTGAACAGTGTCCGTGAAACCCGGATACACGAATCTGATGACTTCCCTACCTGCTCCCCAAAATCTATGTACCGACTAGCTAATATGGTATATCATCAATCCGTAACGAACTCCTTTCGTACTGACTGATCCCACCCTAGATTAATCACGAACGAATAAAACAACTTTCCCTTGAAAACCTTCGATCCCAGATATCTGTTGAAAATGTCTACGAAGAAGTGTTCTCTGATTTTACTTCGCGGTGCGATGCCTTTCGTTGTTCAGACGTCGTTCGTCATCTGATTGTCTGGTAGGTTTCCAGATGTGTTCGAAATGGAAAGGCAGATCATCCATACATTATGGTTTGATCCTGCGGCACACGAAACGATACAGGAGCAGTTCGCGAATGGGGAGCTCCATCGTGGGCGATCTGAATTCAAGATCATCATAGATGGCATTGGGCCAAGCCTTGTTGGATGCCCTTCTCCTTCGAGTTCTTCGCCGCCCGAGAATGGTCCTATCGAATGGGATGCTCGTTCGTTGTATAGAGAGTATCAGTCACCAGTCGTTTCGAACAGCTCGAGGCCGGCTTGGAGGAGAAGTCTTTAAGTGTTTCGTTTAAACTATTTAATTTGATTTGTCTATTACGGAAGATCCATTCGCACCTTACGCAGTTCCTAAATTATTCTTATACCCTGCATTATGTACAGTGTATTACTTCTGTATAACATATTCTTGGAAGCCGGAAAACCCGGTATGAGCAGCGCCGGTAGTTCATCATATCAAAGACCGGAACGAACTTGCATCTCCTTACCGTTACGACCGTTTTGACTTCAGAGACGAAGTAGGAGTTGGGGGTCCTTAACCCTGCACTCCGAGTACTCAGCGTGCAGCGCCACGCTAATCTCCATCAAACCTACCATTACACAGACGCTCAACTTATCGGATGAACAGGGTTGAACAGGGACCGCACTGAATAAAAGATTGACGGCACTTTTGATATCTATGATGATTCGCCGTGAAACTCGAAGAAAGACCACATACTATCACTTATGTACCTGACGCTATCTAGAGAGATGTTTCGGGAGCGGACAGCCATCACTGCGTAGCAACTCTACAGAGATGTAGACACTGTGCAATTAGAGACCAGTCGTGTATCATCTCACACGAGTATGAGAACACGGACATGTTCCGAGGTAATTAGGAGCGCTAGGATTGAAGGAAGGCATTTCCTGATGTTGGATGGCGATGCCGCCGCAGCGGGATGGAGTTAGAGCCTAGCATTGTTTAAAATCACTTTGTAGTCTCTTCTGCTAGTAAATGAAACTAAGCAGAATGTTGGGTTATGGTTCAAGGGAGTGCCGCACCTATAAATATTTCAGGCCAATTTAAGATATTTGGAGCGAAAAAATTAGCATAAAGATGTAAGGAAGGAAGGCGATTGTCGACGTGATCAAGACGCGACCACTGTGCAGCTCGCGTCTGCGGCGTGGGAACGGAGTCACGAGATCACACTTTTTGGATGCCGACCGCTGCCGACGTCGGACGGGCTCAGCGGAACACTGCGTGCGTCAATTTGAGTACGTTCGGGTTCGCATCATTATTCATTAGGATGTCATGAAACGGCGGCGAACTATTAATTCTCACTTTTCATGCCGCAGGTGCTCAACTTCATGATGTTTAGATGATGCAGGTTCCGCTTGGGTCCGACCGAATCCCTCGCTGTGGCTGGAAAACAGGGTGATCCTAGCGCATTCTTGCCCACTGGTCTGGGCAGCTCGATGTGCTGAGTATAGGATTAGAGGTACTTGAAGAAGGAGCTCAAGTCCCCAAATCCATGGGCTATGTTAAGATACTCCAATCAGACATCTAGCTTTTTCGAATGATCATGCTAACGTTTGAGATTGGCTTCACCGGTAGTGCGAGGAACATGTTTGCGGCTTATTATATGCGCCTTACCGTGATGATTGACCGGGTATGGTGGCAAGACGTTTCATGTTGCGCCACCATCCTCACGATTCAGTTGTTCGAGAACTGCCAAGTTACTGATCAAGGAGGAGAGATTTCATTTTGATGTACTAAGCATACATATTATGGACAGACATAGTGCGTCTACATTTAAGGGGAGTAGAATTCCTCCTCATTGGAAGGAGGCCCGAAGCGGAACAATCTATGAACCCTTCTGAATGAATATTCTCCAAGGTCGAACTTACGCCTCGACAGACGATAATCGGCGTAGTCGATGGATACCTTCAGACAAAGAGCTTGGTCCGTGGGCTTGATACAACGAAATGAAACGACAATCTTCCAAATTGCACCAAAGTCATCGTTACTTGGTTCAAAGGAAATGACGGGCGGGGGAATGGAAAGAAAATCAAGACTGTTCAGACAAGGCCACTCGTGGATATTTTCTAGAATTCGGGTCTGAAAAGTGGAGGTAAGTAGTCAAACATGTATCTGTACATTGGTACCTACGATTATATTGGTTCCGTCCTTGACATCCAGTGTCTCCTGATCGACTTTGACCCGAAGGATCTCAAGACGCTTGCACAGTCTTATATAATTGAGTGATTTATTGTCAAGACACCATCCGCCGGCGTGATCGGGTAGAACGTACAGTTCCACAAGGGTATCAGCATGTCTGGGAAGGATACTATTCCAGAACTGGGAGGAGCCGTTATCGTCTTCCTGTCTCGTGATAAGCATCATGGATCTGGAGCCAGAGTACGACCCGAGGTACTCCAGAAGGGCATCATTCACAATGTCCACAGATACGTCTTCTAGATGAATCATCTCAATCCGTAGAGCGGACCAAAATTCTTCAGCAACGTCGGTGATGAGGATCCGGAGGGAAGTCAAATGGCGAAGGTGCGGTACAATTATTGGAACGTCATGTGTGGGCAATATGAGAGCGCCCTCCAAGGTTAGCTGCTCTACGCGGCTGAGCTTTCCTTTATGAATGCCAGAAAAGACGCTCAGGGCAGGCACGACTCCCTCTTGTTTAGAACAAACCAGCCGTAATCGCGTTAGATTTGGACTGCGGGCTACAAGGGAAGGGACAACATGCAGCATGTGCTCTCCAACAGTGAAGGTGATGCTATCAAGATCATGGAAGTCCAAATATGACGTTCGACCACGGTGAAAATTGATGTCGAGAAGAGAAAGAAGGGGAAGATTGCTCAGAGCGAGCATTATAGCGTTTACTGAATCCGGACTCAGCTCTCCCGGATAAAAGCCAGAGAAACTACAGATTCGAAGATGAGTACGAGTACGTAGAGTGCAGAGGTAACAGTGCTTACTACAATGATTTCAAAGAGGCGAGAGAGGGCATAGCCCTGAGAAGGCGCTTCTCAATCAAACAAATAGCACGGCGCCTTCTGTTCATTATTTTATCCCAAAATCCACCTTTTCCGTAAGGTGGGTTGAAAGACCCATCGATAAAAAGAGTTTTTATGTGCTGAGTCAAGTAAGATGGGGTGCCCAATGCCTCAAGCAATGACATGCATCTCTGGTAATGACGGTCGTCATTGAGATATAGAGATACTGTTTGAAATACTAGAGGAGTGGCCAGACGGCAGAGATTCTTGGAAGTCAACCGCAAATTCTTGTTTTCTTCAAGGCTGAGCTGGAATGAACAGATGGATGAGTGAGGTCCTTCCGTATTACGTTCCCGAAGTACTGTTGCACATACCAGAGAGGCGATTTTGCGTAACAATTCGAAAGGGAGGGAGGAAAACATCATATGGTTGTGGTCAATCAAGCTACACGATGGTAGAGCAACGCCATGGAGATTCTGGGCTACCTTATAAACAAGAATAGGACTGAGGCTATACTCGGCGTTTGGTGACGACTGCGATGATGAAGTTGTGATGAAGCATTGCCGCAGACGCCGCGGCATTGATAGTACCCGAATTGATTCCGGCCCGGCTGACATGCCATCAGGGAGGCCACGTCTACTAGTACTACTGTCAAGCGCAAGTTCTCTTTTTCAATGCTGAAAGAAATGGTAAGACAACTTTTTACCTTTCAACTATTTCAGCGGAAAACATCACCACTCAGACTGTAAATTGCAGTGGCAACGTTAGACAGCCTCGCCGCTCTGTGACCCAGTATCACACCGAATCGGTCTTCGCGGATATCAGAGTCAGAGGAGTTCGTCATAACCTTCATTCATTTTCGTTGCCTCCTGATCACCTCAGCGCATCATTTATCATAGCTATCAGCCATCTGCAGAACATCTCCTACTTAACACGCATGCACGCCACACCCTTCATCCGCTTTGTTACGTAGCCATCCCAGCATTTTCCGGTGTGTCTTCAGCATAGAAAACGCGTTAGGTGCGCCATGCTCTAGGTTATACGTCAGAAATACAAGCAAACTCTTCAGCCCTCTGTTCTTTCACTCTCGAGGAAATGATTCAGAAAATGGGATCTCACGAACACATCGCAGAGTTCTTCCCCTACAAGGCACTGAGTTGCTCAGCTGAGGTGGCATCGCACTCCTCTTGGCTACCTTCCATGCAAGCGTTCTTGATCTCCTTCGAGGAACGTCTCGTTTACATACGACATCATCAACCTTTACCTCGTATATCGAGCCGTCCTACATGAAGCGAGGTGTTCTAAGCTGTGCACCCGAGACGTGGATTATTAAACGATATTTATGACGGTAAAGAAGGATGTAAGGTTCGGATTGCCTTCCTGACTATGGAGCAAAAGATGCGGATTTTATGGGGAGATTTAAATGATCTACATCGTCCAATTGCATACAGGCGCTGTTATGTTCAAATAACACTTGAACAGGTTCAAGTTCATCTTGGTTAACCTCCAGCACTATGGCTCTACTGCACAGGATAACAACTCGGTCACGTTGAAGATAAGGTCCCGGATGCAGCTAGCAATGTTTTTACAATGTTTTTGTTCGCGTGAACACCGTGAATTTAGCTAGAGGGCTAGACGTCAGGATATACAAGGATATGAAGAGGTAAAGTATTCGAAGCTACAAGGGTTTACTAATACTATTGAATAATTGACAGAAGATGTACCTCTGGGATCATGCCTGGCGACCGCCACCTCATCATGGCTCTGGCGATCATGGAGATGGAAACTAACATCGGCAGCAGCGGACGTATGAAAATGGCTTATGTTGAATAGTACCCCAAAGAGATTTTGTTCAGATCGGTCAATCAGACGATTGATTTTACTTTAGCCATTAACCGTGTCTTTACCAATTTGTACCACTTATTGGAACTATATATATGGCCCAACCAGAAGCTCATAATGACGTCGGTTTCATTGGATTCATTCAGGACCCGGTTGACCAACAGTTAGCAGGAAAGAATTCCATAGAAGGTAAGCCAAGGAACCAGTGTCCACCAGAATGCACTTAATAAGAGATGTGGTCACTAAGACTAGTAGTTTACCTGGATGGATCATGCGGCGGTCATTTGGTCAATACCGAAGAATGATGGAAGTCCGGCATCCAATTCCATTCGAAGATGGCGCTTCAAGCCGACTCGGCAGGTGGGCGTTTGGGCGTTCTTCCTTCACGATCTTTATCCCTCGTCAGCGATGCTGCTCTCGGTACCTAGCGAAATCCTGGAAAATATTGCGTTTCAAGTGAGAAAGCATGTTGTAATACCGAAATGAAACTGCTAACAGGCTTTCAGGCAGATAATCGCACACGTCAGCAGCTTCGACGTACGTGCAAATTTCTCAGCGACATCGCCACACCCCTCGCCTTTCAGTCAATCGGCATAGACTTATCCTGGACCCGCCGACCAAATTCAGCTTCCTCGTTTCTTAAATCGCTTAAATCTGGCCCCAAACTAGCGCAATACATCACTCATCTTTCCCTCTATCTGCCCAAAAAATTCCGGTCCAAGCCTTCCCGTTGCGCCAATGCGGCTAGTATTAAGAGGAAAGAGGATAAATTGGATTCCCTGGATACCCTCTTCCTTGAAGCTGTTCCATATATGGTCTCGTTGAGATCGTTGTCGTGAGTTTTGGACTAGATTTTGATGGGCTTCATTGTTGATAATGACCCTTTTGCCTACAGTTGGAGCAGCAGCGGAGACACGGGACCGAGCTATGCTACGCTAATGTTTGAACGGTTTGGAAATCTACCCCTCCTATCCGACCTTGAGATATGCAATTTCGGGGAATGGGATGTACCGTGTTCTCCATTTCACCACATTCGGAATCTCAATTATTACGGACCAGGAAGCGCCCATTTTATTCCTCTTCTCAGCAACAATCCGAACCTGGAAAGTTTAGATGTTTCTGTCTGGCCTTCCAACCCCGAAGAAGGACGGTCAATTTCAGTACTTCTTAGTCTGTTGTCTCCGGGGGGCGAGGAGAATTCTGCGTTCGACCCTTGCGTGCGTGCGTTCAACTGCGTTTGAATGCGTTCGACTCGGATGCGTTTGCGTTCCTTCGATGCGTTCACATGCGTGACCCGATAATAGTTACTGTACCTTCAAGAATAATACTATCATGTGTATTTACATGGCGCACTTACCTACTTTTGATGTATTTCCTGGACATGTATTGGCAGCTTTCTAATATTAGCGATGTACAGGGCCCGGCTTGGCCTGGCTTTCGAAATCATAAGCCCGAGCCCTGAGCCCAAGCCCTACAGGGCTCGGGCTTGGCTCGGGCTCAGGCCAGGGCTTGGGTAGCAGGAAGTGATAGTCATGTTTTGAGTTCCAATAATACACTTTTCAGTTGTCGAGTGCATTATTGACTATAGTCTTGTCTTTGAAGGGGGATGTTTGTGTCGTAAATCTGCTGTTTTACTTACTATATTGAAGAATAACAACTTTCCCAGAAGCCTCAGGTATTGTCGAGTACTTGGTCATGGAAATATTGATTGTCATTTTGCAACCACACATTTCTGAGAGACTGTAGAGCTTCGACAAAATCACCACGTAGTCATTTATAAAGCCCAGTTATAGCGCTACAGCATCTTCTAAAGCCCGGGCCTAAGCCTTGGGCTTGGGCTTTCTGAATCTAAAGCCTGAGCCCGAGCCCTCTTCAAGCCCGACACCAGGGCCCGGCTTTGGAGGGCTTGGCTTGGCCCGGCTTGGCCTGGCTTTCGGGCTTGAGCCAGGCCCTGTACATCGCTACTTTCTATGACTTAGAAACAGTGTGAGACTATCTTGGAAAGTCATAAAGGCGTTGATTTTGTTGTAATATGTCTTAGAACATAATCCTCCTGCTTCAGTATCATTTCGTGTTGAAATAGTTGTGAACCCTTGCATTTTTTGGACTTTTGGTAAACCAAAAAACTTGTAAGTTGTGTGCACCTCTCGAATCGACGCAACTCACTTACGCAACTCAACAATAAGTCACGCATGCGTTAATAAATCGAACGCGAGCGTCATTGTAATAAACGCACGCGTTGCCCAAACTAACGCATGCGTTCGAGACAAAAGGCAAACGAGAACGCAAATGTGACGATGGTTGTGACGGCGTGTCACGTTTGCGTTAGGCTGTGTTGAACTCGAGTTGAACTGTGGTGGCTTCTCCCGTTGCACTTCATATGTGCTCGGCTACATTCTCTAAGCTTAAGAGAGATTCTCCAATGGATTCCTGCTGTATATATCTCAATATAATTTGCGGAAACCTACCAAGATTTAGCTGAGACCCCTTGAACTGGTTCTCTTTCCTCCGATCTGTTTATATTGCTCATACTAATTTCATACCTCTAACATAGTCCAATATCCATGGAAACCCTCGAGGCGTGTCTTCTGGAGGGAAATATCCACATGAGTGATCAGGTGGGTTCACACTTAGCCGGGGAGAGTGTCCTTCTACGGGCTGAGACCTTGTTCCCATCAAATTACGGTGCTGAGATCTTTTACGAGTACGTTATACTGTTACATTCCACCTATTTGATAGCTAAAGTACATAAAAGCATTATTACGCACGAACGCATCTTTGTCGAGTTCGCACACGCAAACGCAAGCGTGACAAACGCATGCGTTTAAACGCAAACGCACGCACGCGAACGCGAACGCAGAATTCACCGTGCCCGTCTCCGGGGGCCTTAAAAACATTCCGATTAAGGGGCACCACATACACAGAACTATACACACACGAAATACCCAGTATCATGCGCCATTTTTATCACCTGGAGCGTCTGTACATGCATATCGCCTTACCTGATGAATTTTGGCACAGATTGCACGATAATGGAATATACTTGGCGTCTCTCTCGTATCTTCAGGACGGTATTTCGAGAGCTCTTCTGTCATATCTCATGTCCTATACAGGACTTTGTGAACTGTCACTTCACATATTCGCTCGCTCGACCACCGATGATCCCCATATCCAAAACCTTCTGCCAAACATCATTGCCTCAAATTCCTGGTGGCTAACAACAGTCCACATCGAGCCCTCCTATAGTGGAGAATGGTGCTTGGACCATCCCATGCTAGATGCCTTGAATCTTTGCAGTAGCCTGGAATCACTGCGTGTATGTGCTGATAAAGCCAGAACCCAAGTAGAAGCAAACAACGTGATTGTAAGTTCCTTGCGTCGTCCCAAGGCCAATAACGATGTCTAATTGTGGGCCTTAGGATAAGACATTAGAGTCTCTCATAATGTCGTGGCCAAATCTCTGGGACCTGCGAATAAATGCGGTGTCTCAATCCTTTGGATTTGATGCGGTGAGGGCGACCGCGGGTCGGATCCATAAGCGCATTTTAGCCTTTCGTTTTGCGCAGCCTCCACAGGAAAGGTCTAGGCTGTATCTGGCATCCGATTTTGCCACTTACTCAATAAAAATCCACGATCAAAAGAACAATATTTGTGCGTTCAAGGTGCGGTATTTGAACTATTACGGGGAAAAGGAATCATGGAGGAAATATAAGTTCTGGAAGCAAACCAATGATGATTGACGTATAAAGATGAACCGATAACTGATGTTTATATATTCATTTTTTGTTCTCGCCACCGGTCTGTCAAAGAATCGGACTTCGTTATTGTGGGACTCTTGGTGCTGAAACTTCGGTTTAAGGGTTTCAGTGTGCTACTATTCAACAGTGCCGACAATAACATGCTCCGGGACGGGACGGGATATCTGGGACAACGTTATGCGCGAATAATTATGGAATGTGTAGCCGTGTTACGCCTACACAACATGTACTCGTAGATTGGTATGCTTGGATATACATAGACACACGGACGAGAATTGATGAAATCAGAAAAAATGAATATTCAATTCGATAAGACGAGGAGAAATTTCAGAGATAATACAGAAGGCAATAGTCCATATCGATTCTATGAATGATATCACCGACTCACAATCAAGCCGTTGTATCTACAAAAAGGTCAGCAAGGAGACAACGAATTTTAAGATTAGTATTCACATCCGTGTGTCACTTCTTTATATCCCTGTTCACCTTAAGCTTGAAATATAGCATCCACTGGTCCACCGGTCTGATCCAGTCCGGCGCAGGTGCCTGATGCATTTCCATACACATTGAGCCATGTTTTTCGTCTGCAAAGAACAGTATCATATAACCAGACTTGATGGAGCGTTCGCACATTTCGATCTGCGAAACATGATTAGGATGGAACGAATGAAGGGCTGGCAATACATACATTTGCTGGACGCATGGAAAACATCTTCTCGAGCTTCTTCCGGTCAAACGCGACGACAGTCTTCAAAACTACGGTTGATGCATCATTTGGGCTATCTGGATTCTGGTCCAATTCGAAGTAGGCGACGTGGGTTGCCATGAGCGAATGCTCGGGTCCCTTGAATATCTCAAGAACATGATATGCCTATCAAAAAGGTATTTAGAAGAGCAATAATTAAATATTAAAGAACTCACAGCAAATTCGACAGCACTATCATGCTTCCGATACCACTCCGTCAAGGTTCTGGGATCGTAATACACCTGCCCAGCCAAACGTGCCTTTTCTTCCCTCTCCTTTAGTTGAGCTCTTGCAGTTTTTCGCTCCTTACACATTGATTTGTGTTGAGGCCAGTGCGCTCTGCTATGGAATGAGCAAAGTGGTAACAAGACACAACCACGAAAAGATTACTTTTGACATTGCTGACTGTGGATACAATTGAGGAAACAGAACGCGTCAGATAACTTGTTTACGCACCTGCAGTAATACGTAGTTGAGCAGCCCGCACAGCGAGAATACTGCTTTTCGCCGGCACTTGGGCAATTAAGACATGCCCCGCAAGCATGGTGCAATGGCCCCTTATCCGGAATAACACGATTGATTTCTTCACGAGACAGAATGACGGGACTACCGGTACTATTTGCAATGACTATAGAACCAGGAGATAGCTTTGTCCGGTCAATCTGAGTGAGTGAGCGCATTTAGCTAAAGCCCGCGGCAATGACAGGGTTCGAATATACTGACCGTCATCGACGTCCCGGTTATAACCTGACCATCTCTCCCGCGTATCGGATTACCATCTTTGTCCGTAAGGGCGTGATGTTTGAGATTGTCGATGGCACTCATTCGTAGTGGTGGACGAGAGCAAGTTTGACTTTCCTTTTTCGAAATGAAAACAGGGGCTTTCTAACTACAAAAATTGAGACAGAATAAGTTAGTAGATGTTACACGTTAATCATCGCTGGAATCATCGGATCACCTCCATAACTAGTATTTCCTCCATCATCTTTCAAAACTTCAAACTCGAAAGCTTGAATATCGTTCTTTCGATCATGGTATTTTATCGAATATGTGGCGAAGTCTGGTGAAAAGAGCAATTTAGGCCTTTTGGGCGGTAGCGGCGAGAAACGAAAGGACAAAATGTACTGATGGATTTGATTTGCGGCGGTTCTCACTGCATCCAAAGGATTGAGACGCCGCGTATATTTGCGAGTCCCGGAGACTCTAATGTTCTATCCTACGAGGAGAATCAGTCGTCGGAGCGATTCAGAGCGAAAGTTCACAAAGTCCGAAATAGGACATGAGATATGACAGCAGGGCACTCCCAATACGGAAATCATGATATGAGAGAGACGCCAAATGTACATCCTCATCGCGCAATCTGTCCCAAAATTCATGGGGTATGGAAATCTGCACATCCAGATTCTCCAGATGACGTAAATGGTGCATGATACTGGGAATTTCGTCTGCATACCGTGTGATATATGCGTTGTCACGTATCTTTAATGTTTTGACGGTGTTGTAGGTTCCCGGGGGGAACGAGCTAGAAAGGACTGAAATTGACTCTCCTTCCTCGAAGCTGGAATGCCAGACAGAAAGATATAAGCCGTCTATGTCCGAGTTGTTGCTGAGAAGAGTAATAGAATTGGTGCTTCCTGGTCCTCGATAGTTGAGATTCCGAATGCGGCGGAATGGGGCACACGGTATGTCCCAGGCGCTGAAACCGTATATCCTTAGGTCGGACAGGAGGGGTAGTTTTGCGAACTGTTCGAACATCGGCTTAGCGCCGCCAGGTTCTGAATCCACCTGACTATTCCAGTTGAGGGAAAATGAGTTCTCATCAATACCCATCAAGCTCGTCACCGCGGCATCAAACTCACATAAACTCTCTTAAGTCTTAACGATACCATGGATGGAATGGCTTGGAGGAAGAGGGCATCTAAAGAGTCCAATATGTCCTCTTTATTCTTGATAGCAGCCTCATTGGAGAGGGAAGGGTTTGTAAGAACTCGCGGTTCACAGGTAAGCACAAAGGAACTAATGTTCACGGCAATCGCGCTAGCGATGCCCTACTAACTACACAGCTTTTATACTACCAGAATACGTAGAATGTACTAGAATAGATGAGTAATGTATCACCAATAAAATGAGTAAGCGTCCCGGGGAATATGGGGAGAACGAGCGAGAATATTCATGCAAGCTCGCTCTTCTAAAAATAGCAATCCATATTCTAACAGGGTTAGGCTGGGAATTTTTTGGCAGACAGAGGGAAACGCGAGTGATGTATTGCGCGAGTTTAGGGCCAGATTTAAGTGAATTCAGAAATAGGATAACTGTGATAGTACGGCGTGTCCAGGACATATCTATGTAGATTGACTGGAAGACGAGCGGCGTGGCGATGTCGCTGAGAAGTCTGCATGTACGTCGAATCTGCCGACGCGTTCGATCATCTGCCTGGAACCTTATTAGCAGTTTCTTTCCGGAATCCGGGTCATAGGTGGCTCTTACTTCAAAGACAATCTTGTACAAGATTTCGTTGGGTACTGAGAGCGGCATCACAGACGACAGACAAGGATCGCAAGCGAGGCTTGAGTGAAAGGCCCTCGGCGTCGCCCGATTCAGGGATCGGCTGTGCTGCCGCTTGTTCCGATAATTCGGCAAAAAGCGGCATCTTCAGTTACAGCCGATCTCTCACCTTGATGGTTGACGACACTGCGCGAGTTTCGTGCCCTCGAAAATATTTTATTTATGTATTATCAATGGTGAGTACAGTTTGTAAACTCTAAGTATTGTCATGTTAGGACTAGATATCAACAATACAGGTCGGAGACAAGCCTGAGTTGAGCCTGAGATGATTTGGAGATGATGATAACACAAATGACTGAATTTGGGATACTTAGTATAACATGCACCGATGCCCATTCCTCCAAACCTTGTCCATCACCTTATGCCTGAAGCAATAAACTTGCAGACCGACCACGTTCACCTAATAGTTGCCATGTATCATTGGACGTAACTGGTACTCCTTGGGCCCCACTATAAACAGCGTCGCTGAAGGACCAAGGGGAGAGGGTGGGGTAGGGCTACGCGAAGGCGTAGGGAGATATGAAGACGTTGCCACGGTGCTGAAAACGGGACTGGCTGAGGGATTCGAAGACTCACCCAGCGAGCTAGGGGTCGGGGTGCCGATCGATGTGGTAGATGAAAGCCATTGTTGGGTAGTAGCAGGGGGCGTAGGCGACGGTGACAGTATGGCACCGCTGGGTCTGGGGTTGATGACGAGGGTATGTTGGTGTCCTTGGCGTGGCTTGGGGACCAGACTGTGACCTCGCTTGTTCCGACTGAAATCCCCAGGATCTGCCGTCGCGAAATCACCGTCGGGCTCACGGCAGATCTTGTCCTTACTAGGAAATAAGGGTAAGCAGGGCGATTAGGCAGAAGTAAAGAGGAGAAAAGACTCACTGTCGACGATATATATGTGCGTTTAGGTTGGATAATTGCAAGGTCATTGTCGGGCAATGAGGACATTTGAACATCCTGCAGAAAAATAATTAACGTTATATCTCGGTAAGGAAAAGAGGAGACGTACCTTTTCTCTTGCTCCTCTTTCGACATATGGAGTACCTTGTGGCGCTTCAAGTCGCATTTCTTTGTGAACGACTTGACGCACTCATCGCAGGGATATCGGCGGCTGGAGGAGGCGACAGTCTACATAAAAAAATGCATGAGCCATTACAAAAAAGGAATCAGAAAGAAATCTCTACTCACAACCATACTTTCAGCGGGTCAAGCGTATAGTGGGGGGGGGAAAGGTTGAGAACAAGTTGAAGAACGACTTTGCTCGCCCAAAGCGATGGCTTAAATTCAAGACGGTAGCCTAATTTAGATCTGTCCAGCATTGGGCGCACTATCAGGGTTGGACTTTGCTAGAAGCGCGGAAACGGGGCCTCGCTGTTCAAAAAATGGTGATTATTTCCAAGTCTGGGAATGACCCGCCGTCTTGTCTTCAAATAAAGCGATTAAAAATTCCGTGACAGAACGAAATACAATGACTTTTGAGATCGTGAGGCTGAAAAGGGTCTCTGTGAAGCGAGGTATATGAAAATAAGAGCAAAGTAACCTTGGAAAATCAGATAGTCAGTCTGTGGCGCCCGCTTCTTGTCCAAGGCGTGCTTCGAAAGATAGGTGTAGAGAGTGGCCGGAGCCGTCACAGCCTCGAGAACCAGCCAGGGCCTTGCGTAAAAGACATCCGGATTTGGGAGACAAAAGAAGACACGAAACTCCAAATCCGTCACTCGGGCCTGAAATTCGAGGGTTATTTCATCTGCAACCAACGGTGAGGCGTTATTTACCGGGGATATTGTAACAAGGAAATTTTAGCGTCGCGTGTTTTACGACATAGGCCACGATCTGAGTACGAGATCTATGGCTGGATCGGTAACACCCGTGTCTGACACTTCAGGGTCAGATGTAGGAAGCAGAAAACGTCTAAAGTACAAAGTATCCAAGGTTTAGCTATCCAATGATCAGTACAAGCTCATATCAGACCTGGGTGTTGCTGGGCCGCACATCTAGCACACCGTTCCGGAGATACGAGTCGACCGTTCACGCAGAAGTAGTCCATATCTACGGGGAGTTTTTACCTATATATTTTGTTTTGTATCTTCTGTCACGGAGGAGAACAGACCGGGATTTCGGGCTGAAGTGGACGAAATGTCCCTGAGTCATGCCACAGGCATGCCAGTGATGCTGTAATAATTATCCGAGGAGGGGACACAAGCTTGATGCAGTATTTTAGAGCATAACTGCTTTCGATATTAACAAGAAAAACTTAACAACGTCGCGTCATCGACGCGTAGCATTGAGAAGATGGTAGAGTAATTTAAAACGATCCCAACGCCATCACGTGATCGATCCGCGTCTCGTAGCACGTGATCACACGCCTCTTTCTTCTTTTCCACGATGTTACCTGTGCTCCGGGTTCGACTCAACGTTGAAATCCTTTACCGCTTCCTTTTCTGTCACTCCACGATGGCAAGCTTCAGTTGATTCACCAGATGGGTAACTATTAATAGCTCTCTGGAGCTCAAATTCAAGTCGCATTGCTGATTTCTTTTACGCCGCGGAAGCAGCATGGAGTTCGTCAAATCCATTTTCTGGTTTCCAGTGCTTAATTTTTAATTTTCAGGATTAATCTTCAAGGACTGTGGCGACATACAGAGGAAAAACCTATTTCATTTGAGCCCTGGATCTGGCATCATATTTTTGACGAAGTATCATTGTGGGGAACTGTGTCGAGGGAAAGGGTGACGACTCAAAAATAGTTGAGTCGTTTACATGCCCGACGATGCGCTACGGGTCTAGGACTATCATTGTCGAATTGAGGACCGACTGACTGACTGTGAGCTTTAGACGCGAAACTTAGCTTTTCCAGGCACCAAGGAAGCAGTTTTGCGGTTATCGTTTTCTTTCTTCAATACAAACCTCTGCAAGGGATATCCCCTGGTATATGAGCGTAACCTGTGATTCTCCCTTCGTACGTCACCTCTACACGTCATACACATTATATTGACTAAAAGATCCCTATTCTATAGTCGTGGAACAATTAGCCATAAGAATCACTTTCATCATATTCAAGTATGCCAGATGAACGAAGGTCTTGACGGCGCTTCGACTATTGTATTGAAGTCCATTGGTTCACGCAACGATATAGGCCTTTGACGCACCTGACCCGACCATCGTGGACTGGGAATTCATCGATATGCTCTCTAAATAGTATTTCTCCGAAGTTCTCCTCAACTGTGTAGATTACTCCCTTTCGGTCGTTGCGGGAGCTGAGGTAATGATGCCGAAATTCAGGCACTTTCTCAGTGCCTTCACGTATGCTCACGCAGCTTCTTCAGCGGAGATACTCGCGCTTCCGATTATCGCTGTATCTCTTTACGCCACGGGATCAATCATGATTCTCCCTTTAACAAGTCATGACTCCTTGCCTAAGATGCAGCCAGCATGGCGCCCCGGACCATCTCGCTGATTCTTCTCCTCACTGCTGTTGGTCATGTCTGTGGTCGTGTCCCCAAGCCTCCAGGAATCCCGATGGTGGACGTTGAATCGGATTTTGGATCATCCCGTCGTACTCTGAACGCAAGGGCCTTGCCACCTTATAACACAACCTACTACTTTGATCAGCTCATTGACCACAACGATCCGTCGAAGGGAACGTTCCAGCAACGCTACTGGCACACGGCGGAACACTACCAAGAAGGTCTGCTCCTCATCTTGATTAGCGTTCGCCATTAACCATTTTGCCTAGGTGGCCCTATCATTTTCATGAATGCGGGAGAGGTCAACGCAGCTCGTACGTTTATTTGCCACGATACACTTCAGCATTCTGATCACTCTTCGCAGCTTACTACGGTTATGTTACGAACAGTACCATCAACGGCGTCATCGCACAGAAGTACGGAGGCGCCGCAATTGTTCTCGAACATCGCTTCTTTGGCGAGAGTAATCCTTACCCGAACCTCAATGTAGACAGCTTTCAGTATCATACGATAGCTCAGTCTATCGAGGACAACGTCTATTTCGCCAGGAACGTTGTTCTTCCGCAGGATAACGGAGGTAGTGTCGGCCCGGACAAGGCACCGTGGATAATCATTGGAGGAAGCTACCCAGGTATGTATGGGAATGAATCCCTCGCTTTAGTCCATCTGACTGATGAATTCTGTAGGCGCGCTAGTCAGCTGGACTATGGCCGCGTACGTCCTAATCTCCTGAGCAGGTACCATAACTGATTGCATCTTCAACACAGACATCCAGATGTATTTTGGATAGGATATTCCTCATCGGGTGTCGTTCAAGTTCAGATGTACGTCTCCAAGTTTCTCTTCGCTCAACCGCCGACCGACCCACACACCATCAGCGATTTCTGGCAATACTACGAGCCCATCAGGGAGAACATGCCCAAGAACTGTTCCGCTGACGTCGAAGCCGTTATCGCCCATGTAGACGAGGTTTTCTTCGGATCTAACACTACGGCACAACGGGAGCTTCAGGAACTGTTCGGCTTTTCGACGGATTTGGAGGTCGCCCAGGCCCTGTACGTTTCGTCAATTTGTGTATTTTTGTCTCTTGATGTGATGCCCCTTGTAGTAAGATGGGATTTGTGGGCATGGCAGGATATGCAGCCCAATACTGGCAGCTGGTGCCGCCTTCTATGAGTTCTGTGATGCATTAGGAAGTCAGGGGTAACGTTACCGCTTCCGAAAATGGCTGGGGGCTGGATAATGCGCTCAAGGCATGGGGGACGCATTTCACTGCGTCGAGTTCGTCTGAGAAAACTGGTAAGTGGCGTGAAATTTCCCTATCAGGCCATACTCATAATGAATTAGATTGCGGGGAAAACGCGCAAGTCTCTCTACTTTCAATTGAATTTGATTGACTAATCGAATTTATCGTAGTGATTGCGTCGGCAGCGTCATTCATTTACCTCCCTCTCCCGCAGGTATTCCTCTTAGCCGAGAGATCCCCCGTCCTCGAGAATTAAATGCCAGGGATGACTATCCGGTTGACGACGCGTACCGTTCATGGTTCTGGATGATGTACGTACAAGTCCTACCTTCATACATCGTTCTTTTGTTGAGGAAACTGTAGATGCAATGAAATCGGATTCTCACTGGTAAGCCCCGGCCTATCATTTCATCCTTGGCCTGCGAACATCGTCGCCATTTAGGACGGCCCGCCTATCGGACAAGGGGAAATAGTTTCTCGCTTAAACGTCTGGGAGGATAACATGGCAAGTGCCTGGATCTCACGCTCGACCACACTCTGATATCATCACAGCGCGATTGCGTGACCACATATCCCGAAGCGTTCTCAGAGTACCCCATTCCAAACGTGAGCAGGACAAACACGCTTTACGGTGGATGGAGCGTCAACAATACTCGGTTATTCTTTGCGAATGGTAAACGTACGTGTGTGACCTCGATCATGAACCAATCCCTCACTGAAACCACGCCGTAGGGGACACATGGCGCGAAGCTACGGTTTCAGCGGTTAATAGCACTGCCGTGAGTACAGAGACCCAGCCCATCAGGATATCGAATGGCTTTCACGCCTCGGACTTGGTGATGCGGCTGGCGGCGCCTGATCCCACGATTGTCGCGGTGCAGGACGCGTTTATCGCGTACGTGGAATCGTGGTTGAAGGATTTCGTTCCGTCGTAGGCGGTTGACGGAGAGAATCACAATATAATGCCACTTTTAGGATGCCTCTTCCTCCCTGCCCTACCTTGTTACGCCTCGAAATACGCGGGGTTGGTCGAAGCACGCCTATTTATATTATCAGCTAAATGCATTTCCTCGTGTTGTTATCCAATAGGTTACAGAAGCTAACTTGTAAAAGCGCGAGGCGACTACAGTTAGCTGATGAAGGGCAAGGTTAGGGTTACAGCGGCAACTCTAGTTTATGAGCTTAACTACAGCCGACTGCCATCGCACAAGGAGAATGTTTTTCCTATTGTCACCCTGAAGATATAACACCTCATGTAAAGTCTACCCTACCACAGGCGAAGTCCTCCAAAGTCCTACCCATCCATCTCAAACTGAACAACCCTAACCGGCGAAGGCGTAGTCCCAGAACTCGATTCCTGGTATAGAACCGCCAACGTCCCCCTCCCACTACTCACCAACGCCCCTCTATCAATTGTCACCTCACCAAACGCGTCCAGACCCTGTGCCGACCCATTATACACCATTGCCCAATCTGTCCAGCCGCTAGCCTTGCTCGCCGACACGACACGCACGTACGGTAGCACCACGTACACGTTATCCGAGGCGTCGATAGCAATTTGGGAACGTCCAACTGCGTCCAAGGAGAAGGGTATCTCATTTTTTATGAATGTGCCGTTTGCGGCTTGGTAGATGTGGAATGGGTAGCCGTGGGCTATACGGTCGGTTTCGTAGTCTGTAACGCATTGGGTGAAGCGACCTGCGGTGGTTTGAATTAGAGATAGTTGCGTACAAGGTGAGCAAAGAGCGTACCTGGAACATAAGATATAATGACATGTATCAACCCTTGAGAATCGACGTCCTGTGATTCTTGGTTCATCAAACCATGATTGGCGTCTAACGAATCGATGACGATCCCGCTAGAGCTCACGTTCACCGGTGAACTCCCAGATGTACCGACCTGGGTCCTCGCAGCATTGAACCAGGTTCTGCCTGGACAACATACCATCAATTTCATCCGTCAGAAGAGAATAGCGGAAAAGAAGCTTACCCTTGTCATCAGAATAAAAGAACGTCGTGTCGTGGTTCGTCAACCCTCCGCTGCTGCATGAAACACTTCCACTATTCTCCCTCCACGTCCCGGCGATATAGAGGCGACTCCCTTTATACGTCACCCCATGGATATATAGGTTCCTTGCACTGCTTGTCCCGCCGTTATCTGCCGTATACGTCCCCGAACCACTTGCCCATAGTCCAACGTTTGTCCAGGTTCCATTCGCATACTCTGCGAGCTGCGTGTTCCCATTACCCGAAACCCCAGATCGATAGACGAACTGAAGCAGATTATCCGGGGTGATGATAAACTGCGGGTAAGTAACCGTGCTGCCCACATTTAGACTCCCTATCGTGTTGGTGATGGTGCCGAACAGACTCGCTGTCCAGCTCACGCTCGAACCCGCAACGCCCGAAGAGGATTTCGTGTAGTACACTGCGGTGCTGTGACAATCCATAGCAACGTGGATCGCCCCGTCTGCAGGGGATATACCCAGTGCAACGACGTTGTGGCTATCACTGGTGCTGAGGGTATGTGGAAGCGTCAGAGTTTGCCAGCTCCCGCCAGACGTGGTTCGCCGTCCAAGTATGACAGATTTGTTAGAGGTGTACCAACCGGCATACTGGTATCCCTCGTATGTGAGCAGCCCTGAAAGCTGGAACGAGTTGACGTTCACTAGACCATCGTAGGAGACGAAGTAGATCCCGGAAGAGTCGAGGAGAGTGTTGGAGAGGAGAGAGATTCCAGGTGTCGCGTGTGAGGTGGCGAAAAGGAGACAAAGTAGAAAGAAGGGAAGCATTGTGGCTTGCTAACGTTTGAATATGGACCGAGAATTTATAGTAATACGCAGCGAATAGAATGTCTTGTGATCTCGGAAAATTGTGAGCATCGCAGGAATTTCCGACCCACGAGGGTGCAGATGAGCATCTGACGGTCCGAGTTTTGCAGGCATCGGCTCCGTACGACCGTCCCATCTGATGGACTAATATTAACAATGATGTCAGAGTCGACGGTGGAGAACCAAGGATCGTCCGGTACTATAGAGCACGCGATTTAGTCAAGGTTGAATCGTAAAGGAGGAGTTTACGAACATGAAGCCATATAGATAGGCAAGTCCAGAGTCCAGTACTGGGAGGTGATGCGAATGGGAAGATATATGCGCTTTTGCGACACTTCGAGAGCATTCTGCACCAATTTGGCTCTGCATGGGCAGCTACTAAGAACAAAAGTGAGTATTTCGGGAACAGCAGATGTTGAAAGTGTCAGACCAAAAAAAGAAAGCGGACATATGCGCCGAAAATGCATAGTAATCTCCGTCTTGATTGTGGGAAGCCCAGTCTGTCCATCGTTACAACTACCAGGGAATGCATTGAGAGGCGTTGTTGGGTGATCAGTGCCGCAGGATCGTCGACGAGCCAATTGAACTTGAAGCTGGATGAAGCAATTCACGCGTAATAGGCGATATAGGGCTCGGCTCCGTACGTATATGCAGCAAAATGGGCTGTCGACGGAGAAGGATCAGTAAGGAAATCATTGCTGTGAAAGTAACGTACTCTATATTCCTTGCCGGCGTTCTTCACATTGCACACATAGGTCCTCCCTCGAGCCTCTAGCCGCCGATAGGGGCCTTCTGCTCAACCACGAATAAGTTACGTGGAATATCATCGGTATTACACCCCAGTATCGTCAACGGTCTCATCGGCGGCGGTCACAGCATCTAGATGGAGGCTCAGAATGTTTCTCCGCCGTTATCCATGGGAGTCTGGATGCGGTTGTTAGTCGGATTCAACTCAGCAGGCAGCGACTACGCACCTGGTGTACCATTGCCAGACGTAATAATCCTGATAGAAAGTCCGCGAGATTTTAGTCAAGAAAAGATGACGCTGGCACGGTATCACTAACGGTGGTGGTGGTGAAAGGTGAAGTCGCTCGATTGGCAAAACGTTGACAAATAATTGGCGGTCCGACGGCCCGCATCTTCCTCTCCAACCAAACCCTACAAAACTTTTGGACCTAATCAGTAGTCTCTCGGAGACTCAGAGATTCAAACAACCTGCTTTCCTCGTATCTCCTCATTTCTAGAATTGCGAAGGAACCAGGCCACTGGTCGAGTCGGTATCGTGGTACTGTCTTATCGCGAATCTTCAGATCCATTCCCCGGTGTAGGTCGTGTAGGTCACTCCTTGATTGCGAGATACCATTGATATTGAATTCCATTGCTTAGACCCATTAGCTGGGAAGTCGATCCCATTTCTGGGCCCCGGATTGATGATCCTTCCTTCTGTGCCATGATAGTTCCTGCACCGTTCCTTGCGTTCTGAACGCTAAAATGTCGCATCTGATTGGGAGGAGCTAGAAAGGGAGAGCTTCTCTCCTTAATGGCTATGACCTGTACGCGTTCATTCCATTCCTATGACACCGTTTCCAGTGTAACAGGTTTGACAGGCTGTTTTCTCAACAGCTGTCTCCACTCACTCCTCCGCCGTGCGCAGTACCTTACCGCAACTATTCTTTGCCCCTTCAGGCGGGCCTCATCTTAACCTGCAGCGGATCCCTTGGCTGCAGTCGTTTATCTCTGTGGACGCGTGGGTCCGATCAGGGAATGATCATTCCTTGTGGTTCTTTCAATGTTGTCTTCGCCTTGAGGTACGCACCTATCATACCACCAGCCACCAGTACTTGCGCTTAACGCATGCTTTAACAGCCCATACTTATCGGGTTTGTATCTAACAGGAGATGACTGGGTGCACACCTGTTGATAGCCATCCGAAATCGAAGCGCTATCTTTTACACCTGTACTTAGAGCGGCGTTCATCAAGGGACACGCAATGGACTTATACGGGGTCATACAATATGGGAATATTTTCTATCCCCCGACCACTAGCGCCAGGCCCATGTCCCCCAAATCATCTTCAAACCCGGCTAGCAGACTGCCCACACTTATTTTTGGTACGCGAGCAATTCACTTCTTATCTCGCACTCTAGCTTGATTTAGTAGAGAATTGTATGATGCACCGCCACAGACTACAGGAATTTAATGATCCGCCGAGGCTCTGATAACGAAAGCCAGCGAGCACAAGCTTCTCGTATTTAAAGCACACGGCCATCATTTTACGTCCATTCCTTCCCCCCTCCCCACCTTCTCCTTCCCAGCTATGTCTACCAATTCTCGAGAGGCCAAGGCCTCTGAATACGGCACCGAGAAAGATGTCGAAGTTGTGGCATACACCACGACCGAAGACCACGATATCATCGACTTTGAGGAAAAGAAGGATCTCAAGTATACTTCCTTCAACTCCTTCGCGCTCTGCTGTTGATATGTTTTCTGCAGACGGGGTCTAGGACAAAGACATATCCAGTAAGTCGCTTGACAACTATTACGATATAATCCTTATCTCTCTCTTCTAGAATGATAGCGCTTGCTGGGACGATAGGAACAGGTCTGTTCCTGGGCTCCGGTAAAGCTATAGCTCGTGGTGGTCCAGTGGGCGCACTACTAGGTATACAGCTCCTACCTCTCCTACGTATCACTAACCAACACTTGCCCAGGCTACGCCTTCGTGGGTGTCCTCGTATCATGCGTCGTATTCTGCCAAGCCGAGTTAGCGGCTCTCGTCCCTCTCTCTGGTGCCATCGTCCGTCACGCAGAGTACTTCTTCGACCCAGCCCTATCCTTCGCAATGGGCTGGAATTACGTGTATTCAAACTGTGTCAGTCTCCCGGCAGAGATCACAGCTGGGGCTGTCCTCATACAATTCTGGTCCTCCATCAGCAACGGGCTGTGGATCACCATCCTTGGCATCCTGCTCATCATCTCGAACTTGCTCTTTGTTCGTGTATACGGTGAATTGGAATTCGGCTTCGCAATTCTAAAAATTATGCTGGTGGTGGGGTTGATCATCATGGTATGTAATGCGCCCGCTGATAAGGAATAAATGGGGACGCTGATCCTGTCGTCTCCAGGGTCTTGTCATTGACTTAGGTACTTATTCTTAACCTCAATTGAATTCTTCAATCATCTCACCCGTCCCTCTAGGTGGCTGGTCCCGACCATCACAGATACGGTTTCCAATACTGGCGAAATCCCGTACGTCCCTTTTTTCCTACCAAGAAACTCACACCAATCCATTGCCCCAGGGCCCATTCGTCCAATATCTCAACATCGAAGGCTCCCTCGGCCGCTTCCTCGGCTTCTGGACCACCTTCTCCAACGCCGCCTACTCCTACTCCGGCATCGAAACCGTCGCCAACGCCGCCGCCGAGACCCAAAACCCCCGGCGAAACATCCCCCTCGCCGCCAAACGCGTCTTCTGGCGCGTCCTCATCTTCTACGTCCTCGGGATCCTCATCGTCGGCCTCATCGTTCCCTCCAACGACCCAAACCTCCTCGGAGGCTCAGGGAACGCCTCTCAATCCCCATTCGTCATCGCCGCGACGCGAGCGGGGATCTCTGTCGTTCCGCATATCATTAATGCCATTGTCCTGACATCCGCTTGGTCTGCGGGGAATTCTATCATGCTAAACGGATCGCGGAACTTATACGGTATCGCACGAGAAGGACATGCACCGAAGATTTTTCTCCGTGTTAATAGGTTTGGTGTGCCGTATGTGGCTGTGAGCTTCTTGGCAGCGTTCATGGCTTTGGCGTACATGACGCTGCAGGATAGTGCCTCTACCGTCTTTCAATGGTTCCAGGTATGTCTCATACGAGCTCGCTTTTGTTATGAGGCTCATTTTTGTTAAACAGGATCTCGTGTCTGCTGCTGCGATCGTGCACTGTGAGTCGCGTTACCTTAGCTTCTAGCTTTCGATTCATCTGACACTATAATATTCTAGGGATCATCATATGCCTCGTCTACCTTCGCTTCTACTACGGCATGAAGAAACAAGGTATCTCCAGAGACGAACTCCCATGGAAGTCACCCTTCCAGCCATACGCCGCCTGGCTCGGCTTCTTCGCCTTCTGCCTCATCCTCCTCACCGGAGGATACTCCGTCTTCATCCACAATAAATGGGAGACGGAAACATTCTTCTCAGCCTACTTCAACATTCCCTCTCATCTTCGCGCTTTACTTTAGCTACAAGTTTATCACAAAGTCCAAGCTGGTACCGTTAGATGAGATGCCGATTCGTAAATACATCGAGATTGCGAACCAAAATCCTGAACCTCCTGCGAAGCCTGTGAAGGGCTTGAAGAGGTTTAACTTGCTATGGAGCTGATCGGGCCTGCTTTCGTGTTTTTCTAGTACGGTCTCAAGGATTTTTATGATAATTCTATTTACGCCAATTGTATAATGGTCAATATCGAGTTTGTAGTTGACACTGTAATCTCTCTGTATGCGATCAAGCACTCGTACTTAGCGCTAGCTTGAGAACTGCAAATTCTCCTGGCCTGCCACCTGCCCCCTTCACCTGAACGCTGAGCATTTATCGTGTAGATTTCTTAAAAATAGTACTAAAAGAAGGGACTCAAGGAAAGAGTACCACATCAATGCGCGAGATTATGATACTGTGGCCTAAAAAAAAAATTCATATAACTCTAAGATAAGGCTTGTAGCATCGGTCTTTTGACATTGTTGCGTGTGTACTTACTTACACTGAGCTCGATGGACCGCGTGGCAGTCAGTTAGTCCAAATCCCGACCGGTTTCTCGCACAGCTACCAATGAATTTAATATGATAGCGACCCGTTTCTACTAGTACTCATGACATCTTACTCAAGAACTCGAAAATTACAGCGTAGATACACAGAGAGATAATACATTTCTGATTCACCTAAAAGCATAGAGCCTCCTCTTGATCTCCTCCAGTCTTGCGATTCTCTCTTGTAAGACACTCCTTCTCAATGCGATTTCCGGATCCTCTGTCAGCAGCTCCTTAGCCCGCTCGCTGGCATTCGACCCTCCCATATCCTTGATAAGACTCTCCGACAAGCGAGGTAGCAGAGTTTGATGTAGCTCATGCTCGATAGTAAGCGGAATATTATCAATAAATCGCTAGATATTGGTCATAGTCAGCAAAGGAAGGGATGGGTAAGGCAAGGACAGACCTTGTACGCCATCTCAAAGTATGCCCTGACCTTGGCCATTATGAGCAGCGCTTCTTCGTCTTCTGTTGCCTCGCGAACTGGAGCAAGCAGGGTTGGATTTGTATTGTAGTCCCAATGCCTATTAGGATTCGTATAGACATTAGTAAAATCGCTTGTACCACTTAGAGCGCTCCATCGAGTATTGTGGGACTTGAGTATAGACTGGTGACGTCTCCAATTTCACGGCCTTGCTGAGTATGACGAGCGCCTCGCTCTTGCAAATCTCCATCTGCTCCCGCACAAGTGCTCTGGGCAGTCGTAAGACTTCAGATTAAGCAGGCGAAATACACAAGCAACGAACCTAATGCGCGTCTCCAAGGGGCTTGAACTGTCCGAAACGTCGCGCAACCAAGTTCTCAATGTACATCGTCGACGTATCGTACACCGGCGTCGAAAGCACTGCATAGAAGGATCGGACCACTTCTTCGTAAAGAGCTCAATGAGCTTTCGCGTTGTTTCCAGCGGAACTTCACCAGGAAGTTCCCACGAAGTACAGCTGCAAAAGCTGGTTCAGCACAATAGAACCAGGAAAAATAGGTACTCACTCCTCAATCTCTCTCTTGACATCCTTGATATCCATTATGTACTCGGACGCGGCCATATGCACGTATGGGTTGTCCTTCCCCTCGAACTGTTCGTCCCGGATACACGGATCTAGATACCGAGTCTTATCCTCGAATGGCCGGAAGTTCGGGCACGTCCCGAGAATGTCGCGCTTGAACTGTTCGTACCTAGCACGGTTACGCTGTACGAAACTCTTGTGTCCTTCTTCGCCTTCGACGGCGGCTTTCACGTCAATGCAGAACTGATGGATGAGGACAACGATCTGGGACCATGCTTCGTCGGTAGGTGGGAGTGGAGGAAGGGCGTTGTACTCTGCTCTGTCGCTAGCAAGGAGATCATCAACACTTTGTTTCAGGGTCGGTATGCTGTACCACAAATAACAATGAGCCCAGGCACAGAGAAAGAATAAGGTCCATACTAATTCTCGATTAGCGCGACCAACAGACGACTGATATCGTGGACAAGCGCTGGTACGCCAAATCGGTTGCGGTCGGGATACTCCTTCCAAGGAGAGTTTTCCTCGAAATATCGTTTCGCCCTCGCTTGGGATTCTTCTCGAGAGATCTTGCGTTTACGCTCGTCGTCGTCGGGGAGGCGAACGCAGTAGTAGCCGTGCTTGAGCTTGTGCTTCTGATCTTGGCCGAGAATGATCTCTCTCCACTTTTGACGCGCACCAGAGGCGCCCACTGTGAGCATGTCCGGTTTGGTCAACACTCCTGTAGTAACAATTAGCGCCGGTAATAAGGCAGAGGGACAGATATCCATACCGATCGTGCGATCACCGTCGGGATCACGAGCCTTTGCGAGTTTCACAGCTGCTTGCATTTCGATATCATCTTATAGATGAAAGCGTGAGAAAGATACACCTGGCGTCGAGAAAAGAAAACTGACCTGACATCGGAATAGTTATGAGGACAATCGTATTCTCAGATTCTTCGATATAGGAAACCACCAGATCGTGAACGAGCTTGATAGTCTCTTCTTCGGCATTGTGTATAATTCCTGCAAAGGCAACCGTTAGTATACGAACGCAAAGATAAAAGCATCTTACCTGGCAGATCCACGAAAGACAAATCCGTCAGGTCGGGATCTCTCAGTTCCACTTGGACGATATTCTTGGAGAACGGTAGCGTCTGCGAGTCAATTTTAGCAAGATTGCGTAGGTCCTCGGTGTTCATGTTGATAAAATCCTCCTTGGGACGATGACGGCAGAGTATTGCAGCTTGTGCTCGCCTGATCCAGAGTTCGACCGTATCCTTGTTCGTAATAACCCCCCCAAATTGTGCCTTCTCCGGGATGGCGAGTTCGCTACCGTCTGCCGCGTACTTCAAGTGGAGGTATATCGTGCACGACCAGGTGGAGGATGAGCTGAGCATCGTGCATTCCATGGGACACCTTGCAAAGGAGTGAGATCATGCGAGAAAGACTCGAGAAGCAATTACCTAGTACAAGTCCCACTGTCGCGGGGTACATTGATCTGGGTGATAATGAGAAAACGTGGCAGACAAGTGAAGGACGTAAGCATACTCCGGAGACGGCTTCTACCAGGGAGCTCTTTCCGGCTGTTCATAGACATAAGTCAGTATGACTTTCCTATCGATAATCAAGGAATAACGTGCAGGATTGTCCACCGATAACTATGATCTTTGGCAACGTCGGGAACAGCCTATCTGCACTGCATCGTGATAGATGAGTATGCAAGCACAGGTCGGAAGGAGGTAACGAATACAAACCCTAGGGCTTGAAGAGCGCGATACAACTCCATAACCTCCCGACATCTTCGAGCATATTCCGTCTGGTTGATAGGGACAACAGTGCTATCCGGCTCTGGCTCTGGCGGCGGAGAGTCTGTTCGGGGAAGAGTGTTTGTGCTGCCATTCATAGCGCTGGTCCCGTTAGTGGTGCCTCGACGTGTAGGCCGTCTCCCAAAGAGCGACATCTCGTAGTGGTGGTTGGAGGCAGCATGCTGAAGGGTTTTTATGTCCAGCGTGATGACCACGATGCGCGGCGCTTATTTTGCCTTCCTAAAGTTATCCGCAACGAGGCTTCGTATAGCGCCTACCATGCAGTAATGGAACGCGTTGCAGTCCATCGGTCATTCAATTTAGACAAAATGGCGTGTTGGTCGCACAGGCGAAGACGCTTGTGTACATGGTAGAAGCGTTCACCTGGAAAAATAACACGATAAGCGATACTATAATTACAAACGGCGAAGAGAAAGTCTCACAAAGAATTGAGAACCCAATATCATAAAGCCCAGAAAGCCGGGTTTTTTGAATCAGGTTTTGTTGCGGAGTCATTGGAAAAGAAAATACAGTCGGTATGCACTATGGATAGAGAGCTTGATCCTAGCAATGCTTCGGGCCAAAAATCAAAACTAACAAATCGAGGTCGTAATATTCATGCATAAGTACGTATTCGGACCTCCAAGCGTGCCTCAGAGTGTACTCCGTTCGTCTTCGGAACACGGCAGGTTCCCTCCTTTGAGGGAGGCACCAATTCCTGTGCACGGCTATGATGCGCCGACGCTGGCCATCGGTTAGCTAGCTGTAGCCTCGAACTGGTGGTTTACGATGAAACACCCTTCGTAGGCAAAGTCGTCTACCCTTGACGCATGGGTGTGTGCGTTTGGTAACGAACAAAGGATTTTTTTTGACTAAGATGCAATGAGGTAATTTCTTTTCAGCATCGATGCGTCTTGTCGTCGTAGCTGTTACCCATTATGAACCCTCGTGGAGGTGTGTGTACACTTCAACTCATTCTCATTGCTTACCTTACGTTTTTGATTCGCAACAAGCGCTTTCAAGTGCCATCATTCCCTCGGACTATACCTCGGAGTGTGGGTGTCACATTCCGGAAGTTGTATGAAAGTGGGGGGCCGTCGCAAGCGTGGCAAGATCGAGTCTTCAAGTGTTTTTGTGAAAAAAATGTCTAGTGGATTATATTACTTAGGATTATCAGTAGATATTGACACTAAGAAACATACTACGAGGCAACAGGAGTTCCAGAGGTCGCTTTGTGAGGCAGAAAGGTGCATGCCAATGAGCCAGAATAGGCCAGGGCAGCGGCATAACAGGTCATAGGAATAGAGGAGGAAGTACGAGCCTGAGACGAGGCATACAGGGTCTGAGAGGGTCCTCAAAGTTAAGGCGAAAGCAAGGGCGTTCAAGTTCCTTTGCGAAGTGGAGTAGCATCTACCCAAGGGGTGGAATAGGTCAGGGTAGTAGCGAGATGTGGCACAGACAGTGAGATGTAAAGGACACAAAAGAGCTCTGGAGGTGACTGCGGCAGTGAAGGAATAGCTTCGTGGGGAGGGGAGGGCCTTGCTCGTGAGCCGGCATGGCTTGGGGTAACGTCGGGCATAGTTGTTCATAGCGAGGAGGGAAAACAAGCACCTAGATCACTCAATGAGCGAGCAGGTGCAGAAGAAGCATGAAAAGACTCACCCCAAGCCTCCCACCCACGATATCGGCGACGTCGAACCAACTCCTCCAAAATATCTCCATCTGATGCGTCGCAATTACACAGATACAAATGAGGGTGGCACTGTGAAGGTGCGCTATGAGACTGTACCTCAGATGGTGCATTGGTTGGGTGGTTTGAGTGATAAGCGAGAAAGAGAAACACAGGACGATGCGCAACTGAAAATGTCGCATGCGTAGAGGTGGCCGAAGATTCTATAGAAGCTGGGAATAGTGACCGGTGTAGATGATGGTAGGGTCTTGCTCATGTTCAGAGGTCGAACGAGTGCAGTTGAGTCGAAGAAATGCATAGGGCGCTCAGGTAGGAGCGTCGAAGCAGCTGAGAACACTGGGGCCCTGTTGAGGCTCCCGCAAGGTTTCGGTAAAGAGGCATTATGCGTCGAGAAAACATCAGGGGAGTAGACGCAGCGTCGATGCAGGAGAAGGTTAGGGTTCAAACGTTCAAGGGCAACAAATGAAGTCGAGCATCAAGGACCCAAACGTGGACGAAAACAGAAAGACGCGTAAGCGAGATGACAAAGAACATAGATACCAAAAGGGGGTATCCTCGGAAAACCACCAAACGGCACAGCCACCAAAATTTGGGGTTCAGTTTTTGCCAAAGACCGAATCACTGCTGGGGTGTGCCGGTCTTTTGACCCGAAAACCAGCATGCAAAAACCGGTACTGTTTTGGACGTGTCTTTGGCCCAGAAGATTTGATGCGAAAAGACCATGACAAATATAGCGCACTTTGTACTTAATTTTTTGTATCTGTATTTCAACCGAAAAAGAGCAAATGGAAAACATGCGGTCTTTGGACAGATCTTCGATCCAGTGGTCTTTGGAAACCAAAACCTCCGATCTGATTACTGGTTTTTGGTTCGGTCTCTTTTGATCGGTTTTTGTATTGGTCTTTGGATCACTTCCTTTGTTCTTTCCTTTGTTCCTCTGGTCTTTTTGCCCAAAAGACCGGTTCCAAAGACCAAACCAAAGACCAGTAATCAGATCGGAGGTTTTTGGTTTCCAAAGACCACTGGATCGAAGATCTGTCCAAAGACCGCATGTTTTCCATTTGCTCTTTTTCGGTTGAAATACAGATACAAAACATTAAGTACAAAGTGCGCTATATTTGTCATGGTCTTTTTGCACCAAATCTTCTGGGCCAAAGACACATCCAAAATAGTACCGGTTTTTGCATGCTGGTTTTCGGGTCAAAAGACCGGCACACCCCAGCAGTGAATCCTGTATACACAGGACTCGGAATCTACATCTTGATGATATGCCATTCAAAAGAGTCAACATTGGCTCGGCGATCGGCAGCTAGGTTGGTATAGTGAAGAATCATTAATCAAGGGTCAGAAAGATGCCAATGGTGGAAAGAACGACAGAACGGTCAATCGGCCGCGATCGATTTTAATTTCAACTTGATCGGGCAAGAAACCCCCCCCCCCCCCCTGTTACCATGCGACTACTTACTGTGACCTGCACTCATACCTGAGAACTCGAGATCTAGTAGTACAAAAAATATTGCAGTAGCACAAACCAGGGCTCATCACAGTTCGTTTACCGCCATAGGCCTTCCGGAAATGAGTATTAAAAACTCACACTATATAAAACACGCTCGAGGCTGAACTCCGTAACTACCGACATCATGGAACCACATTTTGAAGTACTGTCGTACTTCGAAAAGTGTGCCTCTGTAGGCTCATGAGGCAGGAAAATGTCACAGCATAAAAACAATCCATTTAGTATCCATTACAGTGCAGATCGTTCGCTCAACCATAGAAGTTACTTTAGCCAATCTGCTGCAAATAGGGCTGTCCGTGATCAAGCACATCGCAAGCACCCGGAGTGATGTGCACTGTATAATTTATAATAAGCAACGTACTTGATTCAAGTGTAAGTGCACACCTCCGCGTTCACCCAAGCAAAAATGAGCTATATTTTCTTCCAGGAAGGGTACATTGGTGACACGAATTTCCGCGAACTAGTTCACAACTTCAGAAGAGAACAGAAATATGGACGAAGGAAGCATACATCTACATTATCCTGTAGGACGAATCCTGGGGCCTGAGGACCTTGGTTCTGTAATATATTCATCAGTATCATGTACAACACAATTCACGTGGGAAGTATACATTAATGAAATTACCCCAAGAAGCCCCAGATCCTATGGATTCTCGTCAGATGAGAAAAATACTTATTAGCAGACAACAGAAAGCCCCACCGGTGTTGTCTCTAGTAAGAATGCATCTCGTAACTGCATTCGCGCCTCCGGCGTTGGAATTAGCCCAAGGCCACTCATCGCACTGATAGCCAGCATCATGGCCAACCTGAAGGTGTGGTTATTATGTAATGCATTGAAAAAATTCGAAGAGACCTCATACCCGAGTGCTGCACCGGTTCGGATCGACGTTTCCGCAACTGTTGCTGGCACGATTCTGGTTCGCGGCAGGTCGGTTCGGTGTCACAGCACGGGGACCATTGTTACCTAGTCGAAATATATCATTTTCTCCATAGTAAGAGACGTTCGGGACGCACAATACCAGGAGTAGCCTTTCGCATAGTCACTGATTGTCAGGAGGATAGTGATGCTAAATTATAGGAGACGCTCACATATATTCTCGGCAGATTGAGGGTAATCATCGTAGTCGATCTCGAAGATGGGAAGATCACGCTTTACGCCTGCGGGCCACGAACCGTTATAACCAGTGGATGGCTCCACAGGCAGCGCTTTCGCTGCTATAAGAGAAAGACAGAGAGTGATGAAGATGCTACTGAGCATAGGAAGCTAGAGACAAGCACGTCTGAAGCTTGAGGCAGGTAGAGAACCACAAATATATAGGTTTCCGGTGACCAGGGTAAATCGATTATCGGAGAATAGTACATGCGTTACCTATGGAGCATTCCACAAATTCCAACGGATCATGACTCGAAAGTGTAAAGCCATCCTTCGAAACGACTATCTCATCTATCCGCAATCTGCCGAGAACATTTGCGAGTATTCTTCCTTTCTGTCGCACGCTCTAAGGTCGCTAATGTATTGTTTGCTACGACTGGACAGGTTATTCCCGTTTCGTGGCGCCGAACCGAAACACTGCAAGCCACAATCGCAGGTCAAATAGTTGCGGTCGTTCCAGTCCAAACCGTTGTAGCATTCGAGTAGGTTCAGTAACAATGGTCATATTGCCGGATACCAATGCGATGAATGGCCCTGGGCGAAGTCTCATGCCGACGGTGCCAATGCTGTCACGAGATGTATACCTGGTGCTGGCAATGGTGGTGCGTTTACCACTCGCGAGGTAATAGGTTCTGTGTTCTGATCCTAATACTGTTCTATCAGGATCTGGTTTAGTTTGGGGAAATTTTATTAATGTAGGTTCTCGCTCCATCGACGTCATCCCTGATACCATTTCCTTCTACGAATAACAGAACAAGGGACCGCAGGCACCGGGATACCGTTTGAACGATCTTGTGGATGTACGCATTCCAGTCCTCCTGTTCTGTACCCCCCTTACTGATTCGTCACGTAGTATGCAGAAAGTCGCGTCGTAAGGATTCCAAATAGCGCTTATTTTTGCATGGGGGAGCTTGGATGTGAGTATAATTTTAGGTCTTTGTATGGTCAATTACTCGCTATCACGGCTACAGCAGACCAAATCACTAATGCAATGTGCACTGAGGGCGACCATGGTCAACCTTATTTGCAGCGAATTGGTTATAAAACATGGCATTTCTCTAGTTTTCCACTGATCCATCAGAGGATGAGGCAAGCCACTAGCATCGAAGCCCAATATTTTTGTTTGATTGCAATGGCACGGGTATTGTATTACAGAAAGCGGCTTTTCTTCTAACTGAAATAGTGTTCGCTTCGTTTCCAGCGGGGGTATACCAGATCCTCATTGTGTAAAATCCTTTTTGAAATGCCTTTCGAGATCGCGTTCGTTTGGTTGTCGCATTTGACCTCAATCTTCCAGGTCCGACATTTAATGTGATTACTAGTGCAACTTCATTGCCCCACGCTATTTCTGGATCTTAGCTCAGCTGAGAGTTTGCCACCGCCGCATCCCAGTGATGGTCGTGATTTGTCCTGGCTCTATTTCCTTTGGATCCCGTTTGTTCGAGCATATGTTATTGAAAATCGTCGCTGCTCGTCTTCGCTAGACATTTATCTCAAGTTCTGCTCTAATCCAACGAGATCGAGAGTGCACCACACCGTTCGCAGTTGGTCTGCGGATCGCGAGCTGCGATCACATGATAGCACTAGGAAATTAATTCTTGATTCTTTTCAATCGCAACTTGAATGAGGCTTCCTTTCCTTCTTACACGCAATTAGAATTTATTAAGTACGTACCTTCTGATATTAAGGCAATGCCAGTGGATTGAATGCATGGAAGCCACACCGCTAGCGCGATGGCTCCACCCTTAATCTCCATTCTATCATCACTACTCACTCATTTTTTCTTGAAGTGGAATCAAATCACGTCGAATGGTGTCCGAATAGCTCGTCATCGTCGTGGTGTACTTCATGATGACATAAGTGGAGCCCCCATATTCTATAATTACGATCAGAGCGAATGGCCTGTGACCTGTGACCCTTTTGGACCTCACCGAATGAACAAATGCGGGGTCTGGGACCGTGACATTCGTAAAAAAAAAATCCGAATAATATCCCCAATAAAGTTTAAGCTTTCCACCAATTTCTTATCATAAAAGGATCAGCATCCACTGAAAACGGCACAAAAAAGCACTTGCCGCAAAATTTACCCAATTTTATGTGATAATGACCCGATTTTGGCATTTTTATTCATTTGGAATCCCGGAAATGAATGAATGAGTCTTGTTTAGAGTACCTGAGGCCCTTCAGCTTCAGGACCCATGTGTACAATCTTGTGACTACGTGGCACTGTGGAATCCAGGAACCTATCCGAATGAAGCTGTGACTGACCCTTCTTTTACGAATACGAATGAGGCCTCCGGATGTGCACTGGCTGGGGTGATCTGAGACAAAGTAAGTTTAGGGCGTCAACAAAAATTTCCCAGCTCAGGCTGGCGATAGATAATGGCGCAGAGTACTGAAGGAGTCCCTTATCAATTGCTGTTCATAGGAAAGCGGTGATATTTTTCTGGGATAATACAGTGAAGATCCAGGTAAGAAAAGGTGTGACGGCGTGCTAGACCTTGCTCAACAAAGGATAACGACACATACTCAGGACTTCTAGTGTTTTTCAGTAGTTGTGCGTATATTACCCAATCACTTTTGTGTTGGTCTAGGAAGCGACAAACAAACCTGAGAGGTACGATTTTGAAATTCGGTCGATTTCCTTTTCTGCTTCGTACCACCATCAGCCCCGCCAACGCCAACGTCAATATGTTCGTATTTCGTCCAGCTCGCTGCGTCACCTATAGTATTGTACATTCTAGACGGCCGAAGGTCCTGGGGGGAAAGACTTGGCATATATGCAACTTCTAGGACTTTGCCGGTCACGAACCCGCCGATGACGACAACGACCACGATGATGGCAGACTCACGCGACAATGATACTGGACGACCGCAGAATGGTGGAAAATATATAGTTCGAGGTCCTGGGGAGAAAAATATGAGGCGCAGGCACGTTTTGGATTTTATGATTGCGCTCGCCGTCGCTAATTGTCGCACGCCCAGGTTCTGCTCCCTTTGAACCGACGTTACTCGCGTGGGTAGCTCGCAAGAGAAGTACAAATAGCGCTGAAGAAACTTTGTGAAGTTTCAAGGACACTCGTTGCCGCGAAAAATGCTTTGATTTCTCAAGGTACGTTCTTTGGCTCTCTCATTGTGTGCGCGACGTTGCTCAACGCCATCCCTAGGGCTCCTAGACATTGACATCGTCATATCTATGTGTTCAAAATCCTGTCAAGTAATTAAGTATACAGCATTTATTCGCTATCAGGGTACGGAATCGTGGATCTCTTGGCCGATAAAATCTGAGTGCGTTCAACTGTTTGGAAGTTCCTCAATTCAGTTTCTAGATCACAGCATCAACAAGGCGGGCTCATTGGAGAGCAGTTGACGTGTTGTCAAACGGCATTGGGACTTTCAAATTCAATGAGGCAGTCGGCTGCCTTTTCTTTACCTACCACTACCATCGCAATCCACAAACGACACGACTATTCGTCATTTGACAGCGATCTATATCCTACAGCTGATCCTCGCACTTCGCCACGCCTTCCCGAACCTGTACCAAATCAAGAAACAACAGCTGAAATATCAGCGTACGAGCAAGAAACCGTGGAGAGCCAAGTTTCTGGCCTGAAGTGGAAGACCAGTAAGCAGCAGCGCCTTCTTCATATATTCAAATTCTCATCTCTTTAATAGCTGCGATGAAACATAGCCCTCACCAAGAGAACAAGGACACCGCTGGTAAGCATACAGGTCTATCTCAATACCATTTTCAACCAACCGCCTTTTTTTATTTCAGAAGAGGAAGGCCGAACGCCTTCCCTGTTGGCTGTTATAGACATAGTTGGAACCAGGCAGTTCTAGCAACGCGTGAGTCTCTTCTCCCTCCCTGACACATCCCGCTGATCTCCTCTTCTTCGCTACTCCACTTCAATCGTCCGTATACCTTCCTCAGTCCCTCACTTTCGAGTACGTGGCCCCGCACGGACCCTTTACCGCCCTCCCTGTCAACTACATGCTTTTCATCGGGTGCGCCCTTGCTCCTCCAGAGTTTGCCCTTGGCATCGGCGTCCGTGACATGCATGACGGATACGACTTGGCTCACCGTCTCGCGCCGAATGAGCCTCCAGCGTACTCCTCGCTGCCCTCATCCATCGTCTCAGGGAACGTACGAAACTGAATGTTCAGGCGACACCAGTTCGTTCGGGGGAGTTTGGATTTGTCTTTGATATCGCGATGTCCTGGGATGACGAGTTCACCGGGACACCGGCCCAATGTGATACGGTGAATGCAATGCTCCGCGAGATCAATTGGAGGTGATACTTATATCAAATGGTATATTATGGAGACCTGGGCGGATAAGTGGCACGAAGAGTACAATAGACCCGTATTGGATCGCGACGTATAGTTTCTTTACCACGTATTTAATTCAAGTGCCTTGGCTGTTTGTTCCTTATACGTATGTATGTAGCCAGTCACACAAGCTGTGTGGTCGATGGATGAGAAATACTGTACATGCATGTAGGGAGGAAACTAGTACATGAGCATGATGGCCCGGATCTTTTTCCGTTAGGAAACAAGCCCCGATTTTGGCGCGACGAAAATAAAATTTGGATACTCTTGATGCAAATATGTTCAAAATTGAAGTGTTTTGGACCCAGTTTCCTGGTCGTCGCACCGTAGACCAGCAAATCAGCCAGCCCTTCGTGATGCGTGATAAAGCAGAAATTAGGAAATGAAATTCGCTGTTGTGTGAGAGACACGAGAGTCCTTTAGCAAAGCCATATCTCGCGTATTCGACTCGTTCTCTCATCACTCACTCTTTTGAGCTTTGGCTTTTCCAAAGATCGTTGTTCCTTCATGATCAACAAAATGTGACCGAACTCGTCGCGTTTTCTCGCCCCACCACACATTTCAAGAACTTTCGTCTTCGCGCGCCGCGCACTCTTCCCGAGTAGTCTTTTTCTTGAACTGACTACTCTGGCCAACACGACCTCTGGCTTGTCCAGCTTACGGACACTTACTCGACTTTTCTCCAGGTCTTCCCCGTATCAACGCCATGCTATTCTTTTCATAAGCTGGAGTACAGATAACTACCATCAACAAGGAGCCTAGCGATGTGGTGATCAAAATCATGGAAGATTCCGCGACGGATCACCCGCCTCCCCTTGGCTTTGTTGCTAGAATCGTTTCAAATATCTCTCCAGACCCTTCTCGATAGCCGGGATGAGATATACGACGAGCCGAAGCTAGTCTATGTCGTCGGGTTGATGTAGATAATTCAGCAATGTTTTGTTGACTCGGAATGCATTCCAGACCCTCGGTAAAAAGGTACAAGGACTGTGTTTTTCTTAATATTATGTACAGTTATTATTTTTTGCTATTACATTGTGAACGAGAAGAAGGCAAGGAACCACGGCAATAGATCGACCGCGAACACCCGGTCCCTGAGTGGGAAAAGTAGGCAAAACGAGATCACGTGCGTTCGCCACGTCGTCCCTGCAAGTGGCGCCCATGTCGGGAACGATTCTCAGTGTCTGCAGGCTCAGAGTACCCTCAATGCTTCGCGCCCTATATGATGGTCCGTTGAAACCCCACTAACAGGTTACGATATATCTGGGAAAGGGATGCCCGTTAGACGCGCTCCTCGCCTTAGCTCGTCATTTTACCTGTACTTACACGTTCAGGTGCGACCTGAGGACCCAGGCATAACTTCGCGGTACCGGCCTCTCTTTCTCGCTTCCGCACACTTCGGAATGGCTTTTTACCTATGAGATCTGTCAGTTCGGACTATTCCATGAAAGAATAAGGGGTCAGTTGGCCGGGTTCCCAATTGATTGCGTGTGAAGAGAATCGACGAAGGATCTGGGGTCGAAGCTGTTTTCCGGTTGTATTCATAGTGGCACAAAGACATATATTCCTTGCCACCCTTGACTACGCTGGTAGGGGGACTCGTTGTTTTTTTCTCGTTACTAAACAGAAGATGTCAACGTTCAACCCTAGAAATTCTCCCTGCGCCCTTATCGATGCAGCCGTCCTCCTGGCTCTTGGAATATGCATCAATCTGATACAGATACATGCGGGATAGGACGTTGTCTAGTCCAATATCCCCGGTAATTTTTGTTTCATCATTGGCTTTCACTCGACCTAACCCCGAAATTGCAGGCCCTAATGGTAAATTAAGGTTTACCAACTTACTTTGTCTCCCGGATTCAGATTGATTCTACTTCAGACCCTTGTTCTGAATGTTGTGATGGCTCCGCGCGGTCGCCAGATCCATCTTAGGTCGAAGCACGCCTCGGACGAAAAATAAACGTCACATATGATTTTTCTAGGGTTACTTTGCTCTTATTTTCGATATCCCTCGCTTCACAGGTCTATTTCGGATTGCACTACTCTTGTATTTCCCGCCCCCTCCGAGTTCTCGATCACTTTCTAGGAAAATTAATGGCCTGGCCCGTTACCAGAGGTGGTAGTAACTACTCTCTGTTCCACCGGGTTTGAAAAAAAGGCTCTCATTACACACTTCAACAAATTCTAACCCTGATGGCTTTTCAGAGGCCCAAATTAGGACATCCTCTGCACATTTAAGCCCTTGTCTCTGCGCGAACAAAGACATTCTTCGACTTGCTTGTGTACTCCCAGCTTCCTGCTCTGCGTTTATCATGGTTGTGAGTATACTTCATTCCTTGCATGAATTTTCTGAGTGCTCACCAGTCTTTACGCGTCAGGCCGTCGCTACTGAATTACGCCCCTTCCCGTGCCCGAAGTGCAACTTATCTTTCACTAAGCACCATGACTTGAAACGTCATAGAGTGCTGCACTTGTCGAAGGAGGCGCGAGAGGCTGCGTACGTTTCCTCCGCTAGCCTTCCTTCGCAATCACTGATTCTCCTCCGGCAGTAAATATCCTTGCAAATTCGCTGACTGCAAGCATAAGACTCTACAGCTGTCGAACCTGAAGATCCATATGAATAAAGTCCAGTGAGTTCCTTTCAATCAACGTCCCTGTCATCAACTTAAAATCATTATTTAGTTATAATAAGAAAAATAAAAAGTGTCCCGATCCTGCCTGCAACTACCGAACGGCAGACTCCTCGGAACTTACGCGACACAGGATAGACATCCACAAGTACGTTCCGCCGTACCGTCTCCCACGACAAAAGCCTGTCCCTCGCGACGATAGCATGTTCGACGACGACTCCACCCACGAGGACAAGGACAAGGACGCAAAAGACGACGTCGACATGGAATCGGCGGATTTAGCTCACCAGCCTCCTTCCATGACTTCAAGTAGTAGCGCCGGCTCCAGCATGGCGCTTGACACTCCGCCACCCAGTCACCACAACGCCAACGTTGATTTCGACATCGACGTGCCCGTCACCGTCTTTCCTCTCCCCCCACCGTCTCCCGTCTCCATGGGTAGCCGTCACTCGATGTCCTACACACCTCCACCCCACATCATCGCATCATCGGCTCCTGTCTGCTTCTCGTCCCCTCCACGAAAATTCGACTCGGACATGCCTTCACCCGCTCGTTCCAGCCCCTGTCGATCAATGATCTACACTCCTTCGGCCATGGATGCGGTTCAAGCAGACGATATCTATCTCCCATTACCCCCACGCAGCCCCAGTCTTCGTCCTTCTATGACTAGTACTCTGCGGCTCGGTCTTCCCGCAGAGCTGTTCATTACTGGCCCAAGTGACTGTCAGCTCCGTCCAATTATGTGCGATGATGAGTTAGATCCCACTCCGAGATCTCGAGGATGCATAATCTGGTAAAGATGTCGGTGTTTGTAACTGACGATTGCGGACTTTCTTTCTCTTTTTTTCTTGTCTCCCTCAAATACACGGTCTTTTTTTGCTATATCTTGTACGCTCTTTACCCACTGCGATGTTTTCTTGGTACAATTGCTCTCGAATTACAGATCACTGTTTTCTAGTCATGCTATTACTTACCTTGTCCTTGTGTATCTATTTATCTATCCGCTGTTATGTCTGGAACAATACATGCGTTATAAACCAAAATCTCTGCCTTCTCTGCCCTCTGTTTGGTCCTTTGGGACCTTAAAGCAAGGCGCCTATTCGGCCATTGGAAACTTCCCATCTTCATCGTGACCTTCCGACGTCGTTCGCACCTCTTTCAGTCATCAAGTTGTGAGGGTCACCTCTGACGGCAACCAGTAGAGAGGGCATTTCTGCTTCTAATGGTGCTTCCCAAGTTGAATGGAGGTCATCTCACGATGCTAGGGTGATCCGGGCGAGAGCTGCGCATTCATCACGTCGATGCCTTAGAAACAGGACTAAAAGAAAGGAGTCATGGAAAGAGTACTACTTATATGCGCGAGAGCGTGATACTGCATAAAATACATTCATATAAGTATCATATAAGATTTGTAGCTTCGGTCTTTTGTCTTCGTTGTGCGTGTACTTACTCTGAACTTCAACTGAACTCAATGCACCCGGCACCGTGTAGCATTAGTTAGTTCCCGAATCCCAAATCCCGGTTTCTCGCACGGCTTCCAATGAATTTAATATGATAGTGACATCGGAAAAACACTTGGCATCTGGAACTGGAAGATGAGCAGGTTGTGAGTACTTGTTGACTCATCCGAACCGAAAGCGGATGCGAAGATCACGTGCCAAAGAAACGATTTGCCACCGCCTTGCACCTTGAAGTGCTCCACGACTTCCTAGGCTGCAAGGATCATATTTCACAGATTTTCCTATGCTCTACAGCTTTACATGTTATGAAAATGTGAGGTTCGTTAACGTTTCCTAGAGAAGCTGTAGCTGTGGCTCACTATGCACCCATACTGTACTATTACGACCGGATATTCACATAACGCGTAACAGGCCCTTTTGGCGCCTTAAATTACTAAATATAGCGTTATTTTTTCGGTCCGGCTGACGCCGGAATACCTATTAAGGTAGATGACATCATAATGAAGATGTAACTTTGTGAAGATGTGCATAACGCGTAACACCCCGTGAAGATCCGGTCGTAATAGTACAGTAATAGTCACCTGAAGCTGTAATTGACTTCCTATTACTGGCCACGTTTTAACAGCCACATACTTCCGCCTTCAATTTTAAGCTTCATGGTATAAAGACCACGTGTAGCTCCCGGGGGTCGAGTGGTAATAAACATTACGATCTCAACAGCACTGAGGTGAATCAAAAGCGCTTGATTCACCGTCGTCGTCCAGCAGCCACCCACCATGTCTGACCCTGAACATCTCCCTATTCCATCTGCACCACCATATGGTGACTATGTCGAGACAACACGAGTCGTCAGCACCCCAGCTGATGATTTTGCGCCCCCTCCTGCGCCCCGTCCAGCCCCTCCATGCTCAAAAACTCGTACTTTCCACATGGCCGTCGCTAATCACGACTATGACCTTGTTTCTCATTTTCTGACTTCGACACCTCCTCTAGCAACTCCGAACTCCATCTCCTGTTCCGCCAACACACCTCTCTTTACTGCCGTTCGCGTTCGAGACATTAAAATGGCACGACTTCTCATCACTCACGGCGCCGACGTCAACGGGTGGAGCTCGCCCCTCTACACCGCTGCGGATCCAAACTTCAATTTATCTTACGATGATCTCAATCTATGTTTATGCAATGCTGGCGAAGGAGTCAAGTATGCATTCTCGGCTATGCAGTGCGGGGAGCAGATCGTATCGCATTGGCTTGATGTGGGACTTGTACCCCGTACTCCTCTCATGGAGGCCGCATCGACAGGTCAGATAGCGATGGTAAAGCTCCTCATGAATGAATATCAAGCAGACGACACCCTAGTTTCGCCTGATGGTCAGACTGCTTTGCGACTCGCCGCTGCAAACAAGCACCGCGACATTGTGGCATTCTTGCCCGCCAGACGCCTAGGTGCTTTCAAACGGATTAAATGTGGGTTTTCTTCAATTAATTGTTCGTTTCGCAGCACCTGACGCCGTTCTCGCCTGTAGTCCGATCAAGAAAAGCCATGAGACGTGTCAAAGCCATCGCCTTGAAGCTCTATGACATCGGCAAGTTCTTCGTTTGGGATTTGCCCAAATTCTTTCTATGGACCATTCCCAAAGAGATTAGCTTGTGGATTTGGCGTGGACTTACGTGGAAGAACTTTATCCGCGTCGGGAGGTTCTTCTTCTGGAGAGTACCGAAATTCTTCCTCTATCATCTCCCCAAGTTCTTCCTCTGGGATGTTCCCAAATATTTCATCACCGAGTTCCCATGGGCCAAATTTGGCAGATTCCTACGGGACACTGTGAAGGACGTCGCCCGGTGGTTTTGGGAGGACGTCATCAAGCAAATTCCTGGGTTCTTGAAGCGAATGGCGATAAGAGTGTATGACCTCCTTGCTACTTTCGTGAATAGGATACGGGAGGTCGTCGAGAGATTCTTTTCCCTACTGCACACCATTGCGCTAGCCGTCTGGACGTTCCTGAAGGAGGTCACTCTTCGTGATGTATGGAACGCGATATGCGATCTCTGCAGAGCGATTTTCAGGAACCTGCCGCGAGCGGTATGGGAAGGGATCAAGGCCGTGTACAGAGTCCTGAACAGGACATTCAGATATACGCTAGAGATGGCATGGGAGGTGGCGAAAGGCGTGTATAGGGTGGTGGTATATGTTCCAAAGCAACTGCTGAGGATATGCAAAGAGGTAGGGGCTGTTGTTGTGCGCCTTGGGAAGGAGGTAATCGTGTGCGTCCGGCCGAAAGTGATGCTAGTGTGATTTGGATCGCGCATTGATACGAGAGTGCTTTTAATGTGCACTGTGGCACAGCCTGTACGATAGTGATTTGTTTTGTTGTACTAATAAACACTTTTTGAACCCTCTGTGTAAGACAGATAGGCTCTTCGAGGGCGAGAAACCATTTGAACGACATGAAGGGCAATAAGACGCAGAGGAGGTCGTCTCTCTGTGAGCACACGGTCTTTAATATATGGGTCCGAAGGCTGTCATCGTGGGCCACCTGCGGTGTAAGGTTTTGTTGTTCACGGTGACGATTCTAATATCCAGGGTGTCGACGACCAAGCTCATCAGAACCGTAGCGACACGTGGGGATAGTAGACAGGGTGAAGACAGTTCGAACTTAGCGGACAGTGGAGGCAATTGATCGCTCAGAGTGTGATATTTGAAGAGGAGTGTCCCCTGTGTTCCATAATCGTGGAGATAGTAATTCGAATTGGCATATATGCGCCGTTCTGATTCTGCTGTGAATAACGGAAATCAGTACTCGGCATTGGGCAGAAAACGAGAGTTGTGGCGAACAGGGATTATGGTCCATGCTTACAATGCACCTGAGTTTACCTGCAGGGGAGGACAGAGCTCTTTCGATAACCAACGCGACCTCTAATGAAGTGAAGGTGACGAATCTCGACTGTATCAAATCAAAACAAACGTGGCACGCCAGCAATTGTTACAACTATGTGAGCTTGATATATAAGACGAGGCCTGAGCATGGAGAACGTCAAATCACAAGAAATGAGACAACCTATTTCACGAACTTCCGTTGCGAAACCAAAATAAAAAAGCCTAGCAGTAGCAGTCTAACTGAAATCTGAGCTCCGGAGAGCTATAAGTATTATCTGCATGAAGGGTGTGCTAGAAATTTACACGAAGTCAACAGAGAGGCAAGAGCCATGAAGTTCTCAAATATCTGAGTCGAATAGCGAGCGCCGAGGACGTCATGGAAGAAAGGAAGAGGCGCATGATCACGTGCTACGAAGCGCGAGTCGAGCACGTGATAGCGTCGGGATTCTTTTTTAAATTTTACTCCTCCACTATCGTCTGGATGTTACGCGTTGTAAGCCCGTGTTTTTGTGCCAGGAGATAACAGAACTCTACGCCAACATACCAATGCGAGGTCTTCTGTCAGGCACGTTTACTGCAACAATATCACCCCCCGGAACTTGACGCGGGACTCGGGCGCAGTTCGTCCACGTCCCGAAATTTGCGATCTCTTCCAGAATCCCCTTCGCGATAGAGAATGCCTATAACTCTAGATTTTACTCCTTGATTACCGGTTACTGTCCCCTAAACAGGAGGTTCGACCTCGGAAGAATCTTATCCCAGCAACAGTCCGACTTGATATAAGCTTTTACTCTTCATTGGATAGCGACACCTTGGATCCCTTGTATTTGGACCTTTTTCTGGAACCTATACCTGACCCCGAAGACTCGGACATAGGTATCATCGATCCAGCCATGGATCTCGTCTTCTCGTACTCGATCGTTGCCTTTGACATAATCACAAGATGTTAAACTCTGTTTAGTCCAATATCCCCGGTAGATAAGATCTCGTCATTGGCTGCATTCGAGATAACCCTCGAATTTCAGGCCCAGGTGACGAATTTGGAGTTCCGTGTCTTCCTTTGTCTCCCAAATCCGGATGTTTTTTTACGCAAGGCTCTGGTTCTCAAGGCTGTGACGGCTCCAGCCACTCGTTACACATATCGCTCGAAGGACGCCCTGGACAAGAGGTGGACACCACAGACCGATTATCTGATTTTCAAGGTTATTTTGCTCATGTTTTCATATGCCTCGCTTCACAGCGACCGTTTTCAGCCTCACGATCTCAAAAGTCATTGTATTTCGTTCCGTCACGGAATTCTTAGTCGTTTCACTGGAAGACGAGACGGCAAGTCAATCCCAGTCTTGGGAATAATTGCCATTTTTTGAATAACGAGGCCCCGTCTCCACACTCGAAACAAAGATCGACCCTGATAGTGTGCACAGTGCTGGATAGATCTCAATTAGGATACCGCCTTGAATTTAAGCCATCGCTTTGGGCGAGAAAAGTCGTTCTTCAACTTGTTCACCTTTCGCCCAGTAACCGCCCTGTACACTGAAATTATGCTCGTGAGTAAAGATCACTTTGTGATTCCCTCCGCTTACGCCTGCTATTCTGTAGGTTGTTGCCTCCTCCCGCCGTGATGAATGCAAAAAGTCGTTCAAAAAGGTGGGCGGCTTGAATAGCCGCGAGGTGCTCCAGCTGAGGGAGGAGGGCCGAGAGAGAAAGTACGTCTCTTTTTTATCCTTAATGAGATATAATGTTGACAATCATTTGACAGGCTGTACAAATGTCCCGACTCCCCGCGGACGACAATACAATTTTGCAACTTGAAGGTGCATGTGAATTTCCGGCAGTGAGTCTTTTTCTCTCACTCTATTTCTGTCCAACCGACTGGCTAACTGTTATTTCTAGTGGAAAGAACATAAACCCGATCCGTCTCTTGAGCACTTCCGCCTAGACCCAGCAGTATGCTGCATCCAACAACGGATCTTCTTCATTCTCATTACCTCTGGTTTTATTTCCGTCAGTTTCCTGATAACTTAGTCCTAGATCACTTACTAGCCATTGACAATTGTATTCATCACCTGTGTTATGAAAATAAATCTCTTCAAAATCAAAGAAGCTCACATTGATGTTCCACGCCACCCGTCTTTGGAATCCGCGGACTCGACAAAATGCCGCCTTGTGCCGAACTCCCGGGAGCGGCAAGACAGCCGATCTCCGAATCCGGCGCCTTTCACTTGACTTTCGTGTGCGATCTTTATCACTCGTCTGCAATGTTGCTCTCAGTACCGAACGAAATCTTGAGCAAGATTACTTTTGAAGTGAGAACTCACTTTATGATGCCCGAAAGAAACTGCTAAAAACCACGCAGGCAGATAATCGAACACGTCGGCGGCTTCGGCGTACGTGTAAACTTCTCAACAACGTCGCCACACCTCTTGTCTTCGAGTCAGTCTACATAGACCTATCTTGGAAGCGTCCTTCCGGCTCAGTTCTCCTGTTTCTCAAATCGCTTACGTCTGGACCGAAATTGGCGCAACACATTATTCGTCTATCCCTCTATCTACCCAAGCGTTTCCGGCCTACGCGTTCCTGGTTCACGAGTGAAGCTAAAATCAAGAAGGAAGAGCATAGACGGGATTCCTTCGATCAACTCTTCATTGAAGCTATTCCATCTATGGTGTCATTAAAATCATTAACGTGAGGTTCATAAATTTTTGATCAGCTTGATTGACATTGATATCCCTTTTCCATGCAGTTGGAGGAGTAGCGGGGATGAAGGGCCGAGTTACGCTCAGCTAATGTTTGAACATTTCGGAGATCTACCACTCCTGTCCAATCTAAAGATATCCAGCCATGGCACCTGGGACATACCCTGGTCTCCATTTCGCCACATTCGAGATCTCAAATACTGGGGACGAGGCGCCAACGAGCTCATTACGTTCCTCGGCTACAACCTGCACTTGGAAAGTATAGATGCTTCCGTCTGGCGTCCTCTGGATCTCAGTTTCGAGGACGGACTACCAATCTCATCACTTTTTCGCTCATTGCCTCCGGGCACCTACAGCACTGTCAAAACATTAAGAATAGGTGGTGTCACGTTCAACCAACTATACGCGCATGAAATCCCTGATCTTATACCACATTTGCGTTGCCTGGAGAATCTGAGGGTGTATATCCCCATACCCAATGAATTTTGGGACAGATTACGCGAAGATGATATACACTTGACCTCTCTCTCATATTGCGAGAGTAACATTGATAGCGCCCTGCTGTCGTATCTCATGTCCTATACAGGACTTCATGAACTCTCACTGGGAATATGGGACCGCCCGACGCCCAACAGTCTCCACAATGCAGACCTCCTGCCGAATGTTATCGCCTTAAGTTCCTGGTGCTTGACGAAGGTTCACATTGAGCCGGACCATAGCGGAGCATGGTGCTTGGACCATCGTATGCTAGATGCATTGGTAATTTGCCGTGGTCTGAAGTCGCTACATGTATGTGCCGATAAAGTGACAACTAAAGTGGAAGTAAACAATGTGATTGTGAGGCCCCCTCCCCCCCTTCGCCCCAATGATCGACTAATTTCCCTCATAGGATAGAGTATTAGGAGCTCTCATGGTGTTGTGGCCGAATCTCTGGGATCTGAACATAAATGCAGTATCCCCTTCCTTTGGGTTTGATGCGGTGAGGACGGCCGCAAGCCAGATCCATGGGCGCATTTTAGCATTTCGTTTCGCGCCGCTACCACCGGAACGGGCTAGGCTGCACGTGTCGTCAGATTTTGCCACATATTCGGTAAAAATTCACGATCAAAAGAACAATACTCACTCGTTCAAGGTACGGTATCTGAACTATTACGGGAAGAAAGAATCAAGTAGGAAATACAAGTTTTGGAGGCGATCGGATGGTACTAATGATGATTAACATGTAACTATCTGACTTATCGTCAGAATAAACGTTAAAAAGGAATGTCGAACTTGCTTTTATTCACCACCAGAATGAGTGCCCGGCTGAGGATTTCACAGCTCACGAGCCACTCTTGCACCCAATAACATGATCGTGAATCGACTTCTATTGTTAGGTAGCATGATAGCGATGCTATCACTGAGAGACCATTGGCAGTATCTCCTCTGAGAGTATATAGGCGCTGTTTCAATCAGTGGGATTTCCTACGGTGAGATAACGTCACATCAGATCCACAGTCGCAATTGGAATATACAAGGAATACAGATAAGACGATACTGACGCGACCAGCTACGAGAATTATAGACGGAAGGGATCGGTCATCTCTAGCAAGCTCTAGAATACGTGGTACTCGGAATCATTTACAATGTCCTCGATGATGTGGAGTGAGTCTTGCTCCCAGGTTCGCTACTATACGCTCAGGGGATGTTTTATTCAACTTGACCATCATCAGCGACGCTGCCTTTGTGGCGGGAAATTTTAAAGAAGATGAAGGCGAACACTCTACCGCGTCTAGATCCACCAATCCGACTTTCTTAACCGCCATCTTCGCAATTGAGCGCCGACAACCAGTTGATGACTACAGGATTCTATATCGTTCGGGCTGCCACTGAGACTCGTGGCCAGAAAAGAGTGACCGTGAACTCAAATATTCAAGCGCCGCATCTGGTAAAATCTTGTCGAACGCGTGGAATCAGGATGTCGGTCATGTTACGTCTCCCAAATGACATCATAGTACTACCTACGGGCTTGCATCCCACTCATCACTTTTTAGGACGCTCTTGCCGGTAAGTAAACCTGTAAATTTGGCATCCAATTATCGAAAGAGTGTCCTCCTTACACCGAATCGCTTCTATTTCATTTATGCCACCATTGTAGAATTATCTCCGTATCAATCAGCGCGCGCCTAGATATGACATCACGTGTACTAAACCAAGGCGCCTGATTTAGTCGATTGACCTCTTACCGCCATGTCGCTTCTAGCGTTGCCCGGAGAGCTGCTCGAGAAGATTGTTATTAGCGTGAGCCAGAGTCATGAGATTTTTATTGCACCTTACTCTTCGTTATAGGCTGATCCTCGTACTAGCAGTAGTCGAGCGATCCGACTGACATGCAGAACGCTCTGCAATGTCGCCACACCTTTTGTTTTCGAACATTTCTACATAGATTTCCAGAAGATTGAAATGCATAGGTCTCGCACAATCCGTTTCCTCAAAGAACTTTCACAGGGTAGACGATTGGCCAGATTCATCCGATCCCTGTATTTCCTTACATCCAGTGGCAACTACAAGCCGAAATTCAGCGGTATTCGGGATGCGATATCACTGTTGAAGAACAAGGAAACGTTTTTTGAGAGAGTAGGGAGACTTATTTTGGCAGCCGTTCTGCAGATGCAAGGAGTGCGAGAATTCCAGTGCGTACTCAAATTCGTTTCGAGTCCCTGGATATTTATTCAGTAATACAGTTGGAAGGAGCCTGAAAGAGCAGAGATGTGCTCTGAGATAATACATCAAATCATCCATTCGCTAAGCAATCGTCCTCATCTCCGTTTTGTTTCGATATCAGCGTATGGAATCGATAACGACATCCCTTGCGCACCCTTCCATGGTTTGACCTACCTGAGGATTGGCGGACATGGTTCTCTGGATTACGTTCCTGCCATCATCGCCAACAGTCCGAATCTATCCACGCTGCATGTGCTCATCGATCGCTGTGACTCTCCTTCACTGCCGCACTTCCCTGTGCTCTCTCTCTTCAGTGCGTTTGCCGAGGGACAACATAGCTCTGTGCGGGCAGTGGTCCTCGCAGACAATTGCCTCAGTCTGGAGCCGTCGACTATTCCTGCCCTTATCCCACATTTTTGGAACTTGTCAGAACTTGTCGTGCCATTTGGCTTCAACGATGTTCCCGATGAGTTCTGGAATGCCCTTCTTGATGCAAATGTGTACCTTCGTCACGTCATATCATATCATTCAAGACCGAGTGATTCGTTCCTGGATTACCTTGGAGCTTATCATGGATTGAAAGTGTTACATCTGTTCGTACAGGCCCAATACGTATGGGACAAAACCCGTCCACGATTCTTTTGCCGTCGCATCATCCCCGCACACTCGTCGAGTTTAACAAGTGTTCTGGTTCAGCCTATATATGCAGGATCCTGGTGTTTCGATGTTCCCATGCTCAGAGCCCTGTTACTGTGCCCCAATCTCGTGCACATTGGCATCAGTGTCGACATGCAGAGGGCTCAAGTACAACACGATGAAAACGTCATTGTAAGTTTTCCTTTTTCCTTTTAACTGTGTTTCCTTCATGGATTTATTTGATAAACGGCGTATTTTCAGACAAGACTACTGGAGAATGTGCAATATTGGCATTCTCTGGAACAGCTGGAAATTGGGGCGGCGATACCTACTGATCCCACACTCAGTCCCACTGACAAATCTCTCAAGACCGCCGTTTGTGTTCACATTGTGAATTGTGCGATGAAATTCCGGTGCACAGACCCGACCCCTCAGATGCTTAAGCTGAGAATTGATACGGATTTTTTAGTCAATCTTCAGCTTCGCCAATGGGATCCTAAATCGAAGGTTTATAACTTTCTTCCACCTTACATTCCAGGAGCGACTATCGGCGGTATGAGAGCTATGCCAGTTCTGTATAGTGTTGGAACAGGTTTTGCATGTTTCCAAAATTCTTAACCTGATGAATCATACTGCGCTATGTATTCAACGTGTCGCTATACGATATATGCAATGTACAAGCTTTACTTTGGCTGTAAATTCTCCAAATTTATCTATATATCTTCATGGACCTCGAAGTGTAGGATCGTGAAAGTACCTGTCTTGGATACCTGGTACTGGAAGAATCACACCGTTGGCAATATACATAGAGCAAAGTAGAGCGCCTACCCTGATAATCGCAACCTTAATTTGTGACCACCGTTCCGGAGTATTTAGCGCATCTGGTGAAATCGGGAATTAGGTTTTGGGCTGACGGAAATCGGACGTCGTCTTAGACAAATCTGAGCACGAAGCTGACTGCTCTCTCGGAGAATGTATGGCTTCGGGGAAAGAGACGTCGAGCATATTTCGATACATAAGATTCCGCAAGGATCGGCATCCGTGGGCGAATGAGTCTTCAAGGCTCTAAGGTGCGGCATGTATGGCGTGAGTGAAGGCCTTAGAAGTACAGGGAGGCATTAATCTCGGCGCCAAGCTCTGCAAACGAGGGAAAGGGTAACTCTTGCGATAGACTAGGCGGCACTTTGAGTCGGAACTTTCTCCAGAGGTGCGTCAGGCTGCCGTCAGCGCCAGTTCAGATAAGTACAAAAGTATCAGAAATTTTTATTGAACCAGCCACCAGGTAGAACACAGACAGAAGGGAGTTTTCGCGCCAAAAATACGACGACAGTTTTCGAGTGAGAACGATTTTTGATGGTTGGCTGGTTTCTTTTATTTGGGGTGTCCAAAGTCTTTCATTGTCCAACACGGAGATGTCCGTAATTGTCAGGAAGTTAGAGGACGGGAATCGACGTTCGTTCCGTAGCTGTCAATTTTTCCTTGCAGCGTTGAACGTTGTCTGGAAGGAATAAAGTTGTTATTTATTTATTTATTTTGAATAGTACATTGAGCACGAGGCACGTGCATGTGACGTCACTTCCATTTCATGGTCCATTCAACCACGACGACCGACAACCGCAACGACGACGACGACGGTGGATCCATGCCCGGATGAACTCACACCAGAAGCCCTTACCTTCGCTACCATTGACCACTCCAACGCTCTCTTCACTGACTATCGACAAAGACCCCAGTGCAAATGACGGCATTCTTAACACAAAGGACGACATAGGAGAGCTATGGACAGAGGGGAGAGCCCATCGCGGGCAGGTGCTAGAATACCTTGGAATGGGACCGGGAGTTATTGATGAGGTGCTGGACGAGATGGGCCGAGCGGTGTTGCCAGCGTTGACGACGACAAACTCGGTGCTCGAGCCTTCCATTCCTGGAGTCGTCGAAGACGCCGCCTTGGCCGGAAAGGATTTTACCGCTAAAGACAAGAAGGATGAACGTTTTGTGTCCAAGCTCGCGACGCCGAGACTCCTCCTTCACCTTCGCATCGAGCGCCGACAGCCGGAGCCAGTTGAAGACTACGGGTTTTATATCGTTCGTGCCGCCACCAGGAATCGTTTTCAGAATAAAGTGAAGGTGAAATTTAGAGAAGGAATCTGGGATGGCCAAGCATTATTCAGAGCAGAGGGTCCGTCGTTGACAATTTCTCGTCCTCCTTTTCCTCACGTTTACGCTCGCAGATGCTGCGAACCATGCTCGAGCGGGCAGTTCATCCACAGCTGCGGAAATTGACCAGGTCACGGATACGACTGAAACCGAAGGTTCGTTAATATCACGGCAGTACTTCAATTATCTCAATTCTGTGCCTTAGGACCCTATGTCGGCGGTACCTTCATCGTTACTACTTCCAATCCATTGTCAGACAAGGAGATCTGGCAGAGTAGAATCCGTTGCGCAATATACCTCCATCTTTCGCTCCTGCTGGAGCAAGCTTTCCTACGAGGGTGTGGGGTACCACTCGTTTTCCCTTCATCGACGCCGATAACTTCGCCAATCACCCCTCCGCGTATGACTGCCTCGCCCATAGAGATGGAATCAAGTTCGTCAAGGCGCAATGCCTTCATTCCTAACAGTGTACGCTCATGGTTCGGAAGTTTCGGCTCTGGCATTCACAGTAGAAGCCTTGGACCGCTCAGCTCCAGCAAACCATGGGGTGGGTCCTTGGATTTGACGTCAACCAAAAGCTCAGAGGATGCACCATTACCGAGGCTGAAGCGGCTGCTCTCTCACCGACACTCACATTCGCTCTCTGTTGCCGAGGAACAGCCTAGCCAGCATGTTCGGCACCGTAACCGCACGCCACCGACACGACAATCTACAGCTCATCATTCCATGCTATCAACCAGTCCAAATCTGACATTTCCTCCGTCTTCGCGACTAGCAGGCGTCGAGGGATGGGTGCAGATGCAAGGACTGGCATACCTTGAGGGTGAGAAAGAGGAGTACGCACGGTTCTATGGACATGGGGATCGCAGGTTGTGGGAGGTCGTCAGAGATTTGTTGCACACGAAACAGGATGCTCCATGCCCAGTCACCAGGACATGGGTCCATGCGAGTGTCAATGTGCTCGCCGAGGTCGAAGTGGAGCCTGCTCATCCTTCTTCGGAAGACGTGATAATTTTTGATGAAGCAAACAAGGAAAAGGATCGAGATAACGAAGACGCGGAGCTCTCACTTTGCCTAAGCTGTGCTACGTGCGGAGCGAAGAGCGACAAGAAGAGTCTTGGAAATGCTGGGTCAGTAGTTAATCTTCCTAATCCTTCCTTCTTCCGTCATTCTTGTTCTCATCGGCTTTTCTTCTGCACGGCTACGTCCACTGACTACACTTTATTTCTTGTACAGGCTACTATCGTTCTCTAAATTCCTCGAGCTGCTCATATATCGCCCACCTTCGCCAACGATTTGCTCCTGTCCGGCCCCGACCAAGATACGATACAACTTTCAGGGCAAAGGGAAGGAGGTGCGCTTCTGGCGGCAAGAACTAGGCAGTGTGTATGAAGTGCGGGTGCCACGTGTACAGGTTCTCGAAGGCGACGCTCCCCATGGCGGATCTTCGTTTTCATCGAAAGAGAAGGATGAAGGCGAGGATAGCCTGGAGAAGGTTGAACTGCGACGAGAGATTCGTGCTTGGTGGGAAGATATGGGCAAGAAATTGGATTTACTGGAAGTGGATGAAGCTGAGGTAGGTGCTGTCCCGTTCTTTCTTTTACTGTATGGTTCTTCGAGGAGCCTATTCTTTCATCTCTATTTCTTCCCTCTAAACCCTCGTTGACGATCAACTTCTTTTAGCGTTCGGAGGATAAATATAGCCATGAGTGGACACGATCGAAGGCTCTTCCCAGAGTTCCATCTGAATGGGTTCACTACGACGATGCTGAATTCGAGGAGCCGGCACCAGTCGATGGGCTACCAGCAGCGACACCAGCGAAAGACGACAAGACGGTTGGGTACCCTCCTGCTACGGCGGAGACCAAGAAATCGATATCAGAACTTCGGGAATCCTTCCACCGAAAGGAACAGGCTCTCTACACGGAGCTGCGGCGGACGCCCGTGCAGAGGCTTAATGATGTTCGACGAGGATTCTTGAAGGGGGCAAGGGGGGCGCTTGAGGAGCTTGAAGGGCGGCAGAAAGTGCCTGGGAAGGTGGATAAGAATTCGGTGATGACGGTCATGGATGATGGAGGCACCATCAAGTCTGGAGTAGAGAAGAAATCGTCGAATCCGGCTTGGTGGGGAGAGAAGAGCCACGTCTTGGCTGGGGGTAATGTCATCGTCAAAGAGGATGATTGGGGGAGTGTTATTGCGTGGTGTCTGAGGTATGTCTTTTATTCTTTTGCGTTCCTTTATTGATGATGCATCCTTTCAGTTCTCCGAAGTATCAGCGCGAACTTGAAACCATGGCGAACCCACGATCGCCTAGCCGACCACCTTTACGACCGTCCTCGAGCTCATCTTGCCCGCCTCCGTCTTCGTTTACTTCAAAACCGACCCTCGTTTCTCCTGCTCTATCTACGTCCACGTCGTCATCCACTGCATCGTTCTTCTCTGCGGTCTTTCGTGCTCCAGCGCTTGCGCCAGAATGGCATTTGGAAGACCACGAGTTGCATGTCTGTAGGAAAGGTGTGGGTATAGGCCTTGGACTAGTGATTGGCGTAGGAGGGATGAGCAATCGATTCGGAAGCTTGGCAGGTTTGGGCAAGGGGAAGATAGGCGATGAGAAGGACGGAGGTGGAAGGAGCAGCCTGATCAGCGTCGGTAGTGCCAGTGTTGTGGTTTCCAAAGAGGAACGGCCGGAAGCGGCCGTTGCCCCTGTTCTACCCCCAAAGGACAGCCTTGAAGTGCCGACGTTGGCTACTGTCAAAGAGAAGGAAAGAGAAGGCTCTTTCTTTTTGAACGCGTTGAGGAGTGTTCGTCTCCTAGGGGATGCTGCAGGCATCGACGAACGCCCACACGTGAGGTGTGACTTGTCGGTGAAAGGAGTAGGTGGAACGGTGAAGAAGTGGAGTGTGACTGTGTACTATGCTAGAGAATTTGAGGAGCTAAGGGGGCGATGCGGAGTTGGCAAGGGCGGTGCTGGTGTGTCAGCTGTGATGGGCGAGTACGTCAAGAGCTTGCGCCAGACAGAGGGCTGGGACGCGCAAGGAGGCAAGAGTCGTGCTGGGTTCTGGCGCACGGTTGACGGGCAGTATGTAATAAAGGAACTGGTCAGTAAGTGGGGAGTGGCGGATCTGTGAGTGTACCCATTCATCTTCAGGAAAGTCGAGCTCATGGTTCGTTTGCGTAGACAAGTTCTTCTCTCCCTAGCTCCCGAATACTTCGCTTACATCAATAGCACGTCTGGACGAGACAGTACGATGGTGAAGATGCTTGGCGTGTATTCCGTCGAAGGGCCAGGTGGAGAACGAGCGGATCTGGTTGTGATGGAGAACCTCTTCTACGGCTATGCCAGTGGGCTCAAGATGTTTGACCTGAAGGGGATGAAGAGTCGAAGGTCGAAGCCGGTCGTGACGTCCGAGGAGGACGTCGCTGACGGTGAGCATAAAGTGAAGGAAGATAAGCATAAGACACTTTTTGATGGGGAGTGGATCGACATGCAGCGTGAAAAGACCATATTGGTTGACCCGCGCTCGAAGAAGATGCTGAGAGAGGCGATACGGAGAGATACCGAGTTTTTGACTAAGGGTAATATCATGGACTATTCGCTCCTTGTGGGGATTGGGGAAGGGCCGGAGCGGCTCTTGGTCGTTGGCTTGGTGGATACCATTGGTCTGTTTCGTTTTCGTAGTGTTCCTAAAATCGTTCACTGATGTTGTTTCAGGCAGCTATACGTTCGCCAAGACAATCGAAAGCAAGGCGAAGCAAAACCTACCCGGCCGGGAGAAGGGAGAGGTTACGGTGATCCCGCCCAAGGAGTATGAAGAAAGGTTTGTTAGAGCGGTGGATGGGTATTTTGTGCGCTGTCCGGATAGGTCGACAACTCTGGATGATTCGGTAGAAGGGGAGCTAGGAACAGTGCTGTAAGATGTAATCCAGACTTTTGTAGAGATACTCTATGATATTGTTAGTACGGGTTGGGACTTATGTAGCTATCATGTGTAGAGTAACATCTGTTGTACTGTTTGTGCAAGACTCTTATTAGCAAGTGTTATGAGTCTTGTTTTTGGACGGTATCTGTTTCTGTCGCTACTCGTCTTCGCTCACTCTTCCGATATCTGCGAGGTTTCGTGTCTCTTTGATGACACGCCTAGCTGCGTCAGAGATATGACGCGACATAAAGGAATAATGCTGGGATTCGAGATTCTTTCGAAGCTGAAAGTCAATTATGAAGTCCGTAGCGATCTGCACCTTGAGCATCTGAGGCGTCGGGTCTCTGCACTGGAAAGCTGTGATACAGCGGATGATTTGAATGCAAACATCTCTCAGGGGAGGCTTGTGTGAGGGAACCGATACACGGTCTGCGGGATGAATAGGTATTGCTGCATCGATGTCCAGCTGTTCCAGAAAAGGCCAGTGTTTCAAATTCTCCAGTAGTTTTGTCTGTATAGTTTTCATTTGTTAAATCTATGAAACGAAGCTCAAAAAGGAAAACTTACAATGACGTTATCCTTGTGTTTCACGCGAGACCTCTGCCCGTCGACACTGATGCCAATGTACACGGGATTGTTGCACAGTAACAGAGCTTTGAGCATGGTGACGTCAAAACACCAACATCCAGCATAGTCAGAACGAAATAGGACAGATGTCAAACTCTGCGAATGTAATGGGACAGCGCGAAGAAGAAAAAACTGTGCGCAGAGTCCGTCCTGCGAGTTTATTCGGCCCAAATGCAGATGTAGCTCCTTCAATCCACGATAACGTCCTAGATATTCCAGGAATGGAATATGCATGTCTGAACAGTCCGATGACACATAACGCAGGAACACCTTTGCGTCAAGTAAAGCGTTCCAGAAATTGTCCGGAACAGTAAAACCAACCGGCACGCGGAATTTCGACACTTCTATATACATTTGTCGAAGATGGAAAGGGACAGATCTCATGCGATAAGCCTTCTCAAAGAGCTTTCACAGGGACGACGACTGGCCAGGTTCATCCGAGCCCTCTATTTCTGTACTTCCTCCGGTAGCCACAAGCCAAATTTTAACAGTCTTCGGGACACCTTATCGCTGTTGAAGTGCAAAGAAACATTCGTCGACAGTGTAGGAAGACTTATTTTCGCTGCTGTTCCGCAGATGCAGAGTTTACAAGAGTTCCAGTGAGTAATATCCCTCCGAGTTCCTGTATATCTCATCTATTCAGTGATATAGTTGGAGGAAGCCGGGAACAGTAGGTTCTACGGTAATGGATCAAATCGTTCGTTCCCTGAGCAATCATCCTCGCCTTCGTATCGTCTCTCTATCTGCGTACAGAATCAAGGACAGTATCCCTTGCGCACCCTTCCATATTTTGACCCATCTGACAATTGACGGATATGGCTCTTTGGATTACGCTTCCGCCATAATCGCCAACAGTCCCAATCTGTTCATGCTCAAGGTGATGATATGCCACACCGGCCGTTCTTCCCCGCCACGCTTTCCTGTGCTCTCTCTCTTCCAATCGTTTCCTGATAGAACGCATAGCTCTGTGCACACTATCATTCTCTCAGGAGATTACTTCAGTCTGGAGCCGCCAACTATCCCTGCTCTTATCCCTCATTTGCGGAAGTTGTGTTCGAAAACAAGAGGTGTGGTGACGTCACAGAGTGTTCTGCATGTCAGTCGGATCTTTGGGTAGCACCTGATACCGTCATAGCAAGTAGTAGCCTATGAAGAAGAGTAAGAAATATTGAAAGAGCTTAGGGTAGTTACGCACGCCGGTAACAATCTTTTCCAGTAGCTCTGCTGGTAGTGCGAGGAGCGACATGATGGCAGGCGATCCGGCAGGTGCGGGCCGGGATCCCCAGCAGGGTGGATTTAGGGCAGGTTGAATGCAAGTTGAATGACCATTCATCTTCGTGACGCGTCGCCAATTGGTCGCTAGGATCAGAGAGTCACTACGGGTCACTAGAGAATTAATTTCCTCTTACATGCTATATTTCAGATTATCCGTAGCACCTTTGGCCTTTGGCCTGGCACAGCTTAGCGGACTTATGCCCACAGAACTCAACATGGTGCAGCTCATCTACAGATCTTCGTCTCCTTGTGCTTTCTGATGTCTGGCATGGTACCTACAAGTGACCTCATAAAGTGTAGGATTACCGTTGCCACTTGGAATACATCATATAAAATTAGGGAGTACGAGATCCTCAGATCAAATTAGGTGTACATGTGAGTAGATCGACGGAAATCATTGCATAATTGTTGTTTATAGTAGGACGCCCTTTACATTCCCCAGGAGTTCCAAGTAGATCGCATCATTCTTTATCCTTCGATAGTCGCTCTCCCCAATAAGAAAGATGGTCTGAATAAAAGGAATAACTCTCGCCCGGAAGTTCACTGCGTCGGAGCTTGAAGCCATACACAAAATCCGTGTTAATTCGCAGCGCAAGCATCTGAAGTGTTGGATTCCTGTACTGCATGGTGACGATATCCTGAACACGAGCGCAGACCTCTCTTTGTGGAGATTGATTTGGCCTTACATATATACCGGCTTCAACAGAAACGACAGTCTCGATAGTCAGACATTTCAGAAATGGCCAATGTTTGAGACTCTTCATTAGCGTTACCTGTGAATATCCAAATATGAATGACAGAAGCAAGGGAAGATGAAATGTGACTTACAACAACGTTGCCAGGGCCCGTTACTGGTGCACGCTCCTCATCAACACAGATAGCAAGATGTTCAAGATTCATGCAAAATGATAGGGAATGACACATCGAGGCATCAAAGCACCAGGGTCCGGCATATCTGGGATTTATGGTCACGTCCGTCAAACTGATTGCGTGTGTAGGAATGATATGGTGCAGAAGAAACCGAGAGTGGCGCTCGTCGTCCTGAGCATTGGGTTCAAATGGCCACAACTTAAGTTCTTTCAGTCCGTGATAGGACCCAAGATAGGTAAGGAAAGAGTCGCCCAATCCCTCACTGCTGCACGACACGCGTGGGAAGTACACCCGGGCAGCAAGCAAGCCACTCCAGAACTCGTCGGGGATTTCAAACCCAATCGGAACATGGAATTGGACTAACTTGCGTAAGTGTGGGATAAGAACGGGAACAGTCGATGGATCCAGGTTAAAATAGTTGCCTGACAGGCGCATGATAAGCAAAGAGCTGTGTTCTCCTTCGGGAAACGCGCTAAAGAGAGACACCACGGGAAAGTGTGGCGGAGAAGGATGATCATAACGAAAGGTGGTGACATCTAGCTCGAGTAGTTTTGGGCTGTTCGCAATAATGGGAGGTACATAATCGAGTGTACCGCGTCCGCTGACAAGTAGAGATGTCAAGTGATGAAACGGTGCACAGGGGATTTCCTGCTTGATCTTCCAGGAGGTGATTGCAACAAATTCGAGACGAGGAAGGGCACTAAGGCGATGAATAATGTCCTTCATTGCTACTCGGTCCACAACTACTTGTTGATCATATATACCCCACCTACGATACCGATAAATGCGATTCAAATTCAGTACAGATGTAGCCTTACCAGAAGTATTCTAACGACTGCATGAGAGGGACAGCAGCTAGCAGGAGGTTTCCAACAGTTCGATAAAATGTATTTTGCTTCCCGAGTAACGTTATTGCGTTCCATACCTGAGCGATTTTGGGTCTACGATGCATCATGGTCGACTGGAAATGGATAGATCGGACAAATCTGGCGAGCCGTCTGCCGTTGGATAGCTCCTTAAGAAAGGATTTCGCCTCAGACCTATGAGATTCAATATACTCGAAATTTATATGGAGATTTTCGAAGACGAAGGGTGTGGCGACGTCGCAGAGAACCCGACAGGTCGAGCGCATTGCTTGATAGCCACGACAGCCGACCTTGAGACAAAATTAGACACGGTCGTCGGTGAGCAAACCTGGTCCTGAAGACCGCTCACCTGAAAAGTAATCTTTTCCAGCAGTTCTGGTGGTAAAGCTAGAATGGACATGATGGTCCGAGTCGAACAAATCAAAAGATTCAGCACTGATTTTGAATGTCTGGCATTCACGTGATATGGCGCGTGCGTCAGATCTCCTTGAGTTGATCTCGACCGACGATTGAACCAAATTCTACAATCGTACATAGCGATTCTCGCTATCTGAAAGTGGCTGGCTACGACACAGAGAAACACCTGCAGGATCACCACGATTCATGAGCCAATGAAATCGAAAGGGAATTCGCCGATTCAGATTCCGCGTTGATCTAGTGTCGATACTAGAGTTCTGGGCGGTAGGCATCTGAATCTTGGCTGCGCCCGTCTCTCGTCTTTGCTTTTTATTCACAAGATAATTTAAGTTAAGATAATATGAACCATTACACCATCCACGAATCCAGAGATGAATACATGTTGTCCGCAAGATGTTCTACATCAGACTGTATCATGAACGAGTATCTGTCACCTTCAAGCTCTTCTTTAAATGATAACCTCGTTCACGTCAGGAGATAATAATTAATTAACTGCGCATGCATACATTCAGTAATCCACGACGCTTTAATGGCTGTAAGTCACCCACTCACCACGCTCAAATTGCCACGTCTGGTGCAGACCATTCCACTTGGTCCAGAGCGTAATCGGGTCCCCTGGAACAGGGTCTCCATAGTTCCACAAGTCAAAGTTGTACGTAGTGTTTGGGGCGAAAACTCTGTTACGAGTTAACGGCAAGGATCTCATTCCGCGAGAAAGAGCGTACCGGAATGTAGTCTCATCGATCTCGTCGTGCCAGATGTGCCACTCAAAAGGTTCGGCGACGGCTAAGAGCTTGGTGCCATTCCCAGAAAAACCGTCAAGCCCAAGGTACTGGTTCGAAGACACTGAACGGAAAGTCCATGAGCGACCAGTCCATGTAAGGGTCCACTGCCTTGTTCAGCGAAGGAAACAGGTCGAATGGAAGGTGGAAGCATACCTGTTGGTTGGCGCCGTTGTGGTCAGGGTATCCAATGACTGTGATAAGCAATTAGCGCGGAAGACGAAGGATTACTCATCAACATACTCGCTCTGTTATCCACACCGGAGAGATCCAAGACCGTCCCAGATTTAACATTCCTTATCTTGTACGTGAAACCAGATTCTACCGACATAACTGTAGGGATGGCAAGTGAAATGTTCACGGGTGAGGGTGACAATAGTAGAATGAACGCTTGCTCTTATATGGGAGGGGGCTCCACTTACGTCGTCATGAAATACACCACGACGATGACGAGCTCTTCGGATGCCATTCGATTCCACTCCAAGAGAAGGAATGAATGAGTATCGGTGATAGGGTGGAAATTAAGGGTAGAGCCATCGCGCTAGCGGTGCGGCTTCCGTGCATTCAGTCCACTGGCATTGTCATAATATCAGAAGGTGATTAATAAACTCTAATTGCGTGTAAGAAGGAAGGGAAGCCTCATTCAAGTTGCGATTGAAAAGAACCAGGAATTAATTTCCCAGTGCTATCATGTGATCGCGGCTCGCGATCCGCGGACCAACTGCGAACGGTGTGGTGCGCTCTCGATCTCGTTAGATTTGAGCAGAGCTTGGTATTAATGTATAGCGAAGACGAGCGGCGACGATTTTCAATTATATATGCTGGATACTTCGAACACAAATGAAATCTAAAGGAAATAGATGCAGGACAAGTCACGACCATCATTATGATGCGGTGGCGGCAAACTCTCAGCTGAGCTAGGATCCAGAAATAGTGTGCGGAAATGAAGTCGCACTAGCAATCACATTAGATGTCGGACCTGGAAGATCGAGGCTCAAACGCGACAACTAAATGAACGCGATCTCGAAAGGCATTTCAATAAGGATTTTGCACAATGAGGATCTGGTACACCCCTGCTGGAAACGAGGCGAATACTATTTCAGTTAGAAGAAGAGCTGCTTTCTGTAATACAATTCCCTTGCCATTTCAATCAAAAAATATTGGGCTTCGATGCTAGTGGCTTGCCTTATCCTCTGATGGATCAGTGGGAAACTCGCGAAATGCCAGGTTTCTTCAACCAATTCGCTGCAAATAAGGTTGACCATGGTCGCCCTGAGCACACATTGCGTTAGTGATTTGGTCTGCCGCAGCGGTGATAGTCAGTAATCGACCATACAAAGACCTACTAAAACTATACTCACATCCAAGCTCCCCCATGCAAAAATACGCATTATTTGGAATCCTTACGACACGAATTTCTGCAGACTACGCGACGAATCAGTAAAGGAGTATATAACAGGAGAACCGGAATGCGTACATCCACAAGATCGTTCAAACGGTATCCCGGTGCCTGCGGTCCCTTGTTCTGTTGTTCGTCAGAATAAATGGTATCAGGGACGACGTAGATGGAGTGAAAACCTACATTAATAAAATTTCCCCAAACCGAACCAGATCCTGATGGAAAGTATCGGATCAGATCTCAGAGCCTATCAACTCGCGAGTGATAAACGCACCACCATTGTCAGCACCAGGTATACATCTTGTAACAGCATTGGCACCGCCGGCATGAGAGTTCGCCCAGGGCCATTCATCGCATTGATATCCGGCAATATGACCATTCTTACGAAGTTTATTAATGAAAGACGACTGGTCAGTATACGGAATGAACCTACCCGAGTGCTACAGCGGTTTGGACTGGAACAACCGCAGCTATTTGACCTGCGATTGTGGCTTGCAGCGTTTCGGTGCGGCGCCAGGAGACGAGGTCCATTATTACCTAAAGTCATGACATTAGCTTCATTTCGTAGTTTCGTGATACAAAGCAACATACAATGCCAGGAGTAACCTGTCCAGTCGTAGTAAAGAATACATTAGTAATCTTAGAGCGTGCGACAGAAAAGAATATTCGCAAATGTTCTCGAGGATAGGTGAGATAGTCGATTTGAAGGATGGGTGTAGCGCGCTTTACACTTTCGGGCCATGAACCGTTGGAATTTGTGGAATGGTCCATGGGTAACGCGTATACCGCCAGTAGATGGAAGTTGAGAATGAGAAATAGTTTGCTGAGCATGTTAAAGAAGAGATGCGTTGTGTTGATAGTGAATTTTCACGATGTAGATGTTGAAGAATATATACCTTTCGATTGGTAGGTGAAATGCTCAGCCCAGCTGAGATATTTCGCAGTGTGCTCTTCTCTCCAGTATCGTCATAGAAGCAGGCATTTGGCTGCCAGTCAATATGCAGGAGTCGAGGCGAAATCTCTCCTCGGCTTAGTATCCAGCAGCACCGTCGGAGTTGCCAAGAGTAGGTAGCGATCGGTAGTAGAGAGCTCTCTGAGCATTATACCATGTCGTATTTGTGCCAGTGTCTACATTGCTAAATGAAATAACAGTTTTGTCGAGGATGAAGCCGAAGATTAATCAAGATCAAAGATTTACGAGTTGTAAAGGACTCCAACCAAGCTGCGAAGGGAAGAGCGAAAGCTAAACCATTTACTTTGGAGTCCCAAAACGGAGCAAGTCATTTCGCTCGTAGCGCAGAATTTCATTCACGACACGTTGCACATACTGGTAGCCATCCCGTCGTATAATGAGCTTCCAGCGTGGGTATCGCCTTCCGGAAGTTCTTTTCTCCGCATCGTGATTACATATCATTTATGAGAGTCAGCATTTGACCCAGCGATCGACAGATGGGTTGGTATAACGAAGCAGGGTCAAGATGATGGTGGGAAGAACGACAAAGTGGTCGCTCGTATCCGGGATTGATTTCAATCTGATCAACCCGCACGTGTTGCTATGAGACCACCTACGACTATAACTTGCACTCTTACCCGACAAAATAGGGCTGATCGGAATTCTTTCTCCGCCGTAGGCATTCAATACTGAACTCCATAACTACTAACTGCCAGCAGCACGGAGCAACATCTTGAAGTACTCTCATACCTTGAAAGTGCACGTCCGCGGACGCATGGGCCGGGAAAATGTCTCAGCATAAAAACAACTCATTCAGTATCCGTTACAGGGCAAATCGTTGCTCAACCATAGAAGAAGTTACTCTAGCCAATCTGCTGCAAATAGGGCAGTCCGTGATCAAGCTGAGCGCAAGCACCCGGAGTGATGGTCACTGTATAATTTATATCAAGCAACGTACTTGATTCAAGTGTAAGTGCGTACCTCCGTGTTCGCCCAAGCAAAAATGAGCTATATTTTCGTCCGGAAAAGGTATATTGGTGACACGAATTTCCGCGAACTAGTTCACAACTTCAGAAGAGAACAGAAATAATGGACGAAGGAAATATACATCTACATTATCCTGTAGGACGAATCCTGGGGCCTGAGAACCCTGGTTCTGTAATACATTCGTCAGCATCATGTACAACACAATTCACGTGAGAAGTGTACATTAATGAAATTACCCCAAGAAGCCCCGGATCCTATGGATTCTCGTCAGATGAGAAAAAGACTTTTTAGTAGACAACAAAATGCCTCACCGCCATTGTCTCCAGAAGGAATGCATCTCGTAACTGCATTCGCGCCTCCGGCGTTGGAATTAGCCCAAGGCCACTCATCGCACTGATAGCCAGCATCATGGCCAACCTGAAGGTGCGCTTATAAAGTAATGTATTGAAGAAAATTTGACGAGACCTCATACCCGAGTGCTGCATCGGTTCGGATTGACGTTTCCGCAACTGTTGCTGGCGCGATTCTGGTTCGCGGCAGGTCGATTCGGCGCTACAGCACGGGGACCATTGTTACCTGGTCGAAATATATCATTTTCTCAACAGTAAGAGACGTTCAAGACGCACAATACCAGGAGTAGCCTTTCACACAGTCACTGATCGTCAGGAGGATGGTGATGCTTAAGCATAGGAGACACTCACATATATTCTCGGCGGATTGAGGGTAATCATCGTAGTCGATCTCGAAGATGGGAAGATCACGCTTTACGCCTGCGGGCCACGAACCGTTAAAACCAGTGGATGACTCCGCAGGCAGCGCTTTCACTGCTATAAGAGAAAGAAAGAGAGTGATGAAGATGCTACTGAGCATAGGAAGCTAGAGACAAGCACGTCTGAAGCTTGAGGCAGGTAGAGAACCACAAATATATAGGTTTTCGCTGACCAGGGTAAATCGACTATCGGAGCATACTACATACATGCGCCATGGGCGTCCATTTTTCACGGGGCTATGAGATTGATAGGTTAGTCGAAACAAGAACCAGTCAATACAAGGCCAGTGACTACGCGATTTTCACCGTACCGATAGAAAATGGAAATGTCCGTTCTCCATGGAGGATTTTAGTGTCAGGCTGACTTTCAATGAATTAAGCACTGGCCATCTGGAATAAGGTCTTTCCACAACGCGAACTTTGAGGGGGGTTTGACTCCGTTTGAGAGCATCAAATTTATCGTTTTTGGCTAGGCTTATCCGTGAAAAAGCGGAAAGCATACAATGCACAGTACCTATGAAGATACTATAATCGGCCTATCATTCGAAGCAGTCAGCGGCATCGAAATTTTGAAACAATGTGCCGGTAATGAGCTTACAGTCTGCGAATGTCGCTTAGCTTGTAACCTCATGTCCCATAAAATTCCATACTTACCGCTCACCACTACGGTTCTCCATATATCTATCTCACTGTTTGAAATACTTGCTGGAAATCACAGCCTACTCAAGGACGATAGTTTCCCTGTTGCATTGTGACTCTGTGAGCGCTCGCCGCTGGCGCTGGCCCGGGTAAGAAGGACAAGTAACAATGGTCTGGTTGAGACTAAGAAATTGCCTAGATGTTAGGCACGTCATCCTTACAATAGTAAGGTCGGAGACTTGGAAGATCGCGTGCTCGTTAGAAATGATGGGCGAGAAAAAGGTCGAAAGTTACGTCTTTGCCGGCGGCAAAACACGGCTAGCTCCGACAGGGTCACGACTCTAACCACACCGTGACCTGATCACAGTCTGCCATGTTGCATCGGGCCATACTGCAGAATGTCCAAGTGCCCGGTCTAACATTGACTGAAATCCCTCAATAAGGGAGGATTCATCGTCTCTCTGGATCTAGGATTGTAGTATATGCCAGAACTCCTCTATCTTTCATTTTCAAAGCGTCTTAAACCTTCCTGGCCCACCTCTGCCTCAGAGGGCGCTGTGACCGTACAAAAGCCGGAATAGAAAACGTTCATCAGAGGTTTGCAGTCGCTATTCAGTCCCTACCCTCGGCTATTGCTAAATTATTTGCAGAGATATACATCCAACGAAATTTTAGCCCTGACTGTCATTCTTATATTGACGCCGTCGTTAGTCTACCGCTTACGTTGTGCTTGCACTTACAGAGGTTAATGGACTTAAAGGACTAAATCTCCACGCATCATCGCGTAGCTATGACTGTAGATCCCCGCGACTGCATGCGTCGAGGACCACATGCTATGCATTTCGATAAACCTACCCCCTTTCCAAAATACACCGCTATATGGGGCATTTGTGCACACGCCGGGAGAGATTCACACAATGCCTGAGAATCTGCTATTCCCAAGGTTGTCAGCATTTGTTCCTACCACACGGAGGCGGGTGCAATAGAGGACAATTTTCGGCGTTCTATGTATAGCCGAGCTTGGTTCAAGACATACACTCCCATTGCAGGAATGATGGAGGCCAGTGATTTGATTCTCACATATATATACTCTATCGACAGAGGGTATCATTCGTTCTCCCATGGCGTCTCTTGGTACTCAGCGCAGCCGATCCTTTCACTCCGACAATAAGGGCTCCCCCATTGACGAGAAGAGGGCTTCGGCTGAGGTCGTTACAGCTGTCTCTTTCCAAGGAGATGTCTACGATGACTTGCGCGTTATCGATATGGGTGAAGATGGGAAGGAGCGTCCTATTGGTATCCCTCTTTCTTTGTCGCTGCCGCTGCTTCAAGGCTGACTTGATTCTACAGTAACAGACATGGACGTCGCCACCCGTCTTATTTCCCTAGAGGACGACCCTACTCTCCCAGCATCCACATTTCGCATGTGGTTCCTCGGTATCGGGCTATCATGCTTCGGTGCCGTTCTTGGACAGATATTTGTAAGGCCGTCACTACGCTGTGATGATACCGACCTGACGGAGCTTAGTACTTCCGGCCACAAACAGTGTTCGTTTCACAGTTGTTTCTCCAAATCCTGGGATATATTCTTGGCATCGCTCTGGAAACCATCATACCCGGGCCGGGAAATCCTGTCGAGAGTCTTAGGACAAGGGACAATGCGTTTTGGAGGTTCATGAATCCTGGTCCTTTCAGTAAATATCATTCCTTCTTTTTTCTTTGACATCAGGTTCTAAATCGGTCTCAGATATAAAGGAACACGTCGCAACAACTATCTTCTCTACGACCGCCGCTGAATCCGCCCTTGCCATTAGTATATTTGCCGCAGATGACTTGTACTACAACATTCAGGTACGCGGTATCAATCCCGCTAAACGAGCTGTCATCGTCTAATGCGTTCGTAGCCTAATGCCGCCGTCGGTATTTTCACTCTCATTGGCAGCCAACTCATCGGGTACGGACTAGGCGGCGTCATGCGCTCATTCCTTGTCTACCCTACATACATCGTCTTCCCCAACCTACTCCCAACGGTACAGCTTTTCGACGCCCTTCACCGAGGCAAGAAGATATTCCTCCAGAAAAAACGCGTCCGGTTCTTTTGGATCATCTTCGTGGCAATCTTCGTCTGGGAGTGGTTTCCCGAGTATATAGCCCCGACTCTAACGGGTATAAGTGTCTTCTGTTTGGCGAATAGAGATAGTGCATGGTTTACGAGGATATTCGGTGAGAATGAATGGGTTTTCGTAGCAGGATTGAGCTAATCTCAGTCGAGCAGGCGGCGCTGCGGGTAATGAAGGACTTGGCATGTTTGCTTTGTGTTTAGACTGGAACTATGTAGGTTCCGGTGGAGGCAGTATGGGCGCATTGTACGTTTTCTGCAGTTTAATAGTGTCAGCCCAATACTTACCTGGCTCAGGTTCACGCCCATCTCGACTCAGCTATCGCAATATTTCGGGACAATGATCTGCATGTTAGCTCTTTCTTCTTTCTGGAGAGGACATACAAATGACTTATGTTTACGCACAGAATTGCCTTCTGTGCCTGCTACGCTCGCAACACCTGGAGTGGCCAGAATTTCCCATTCCTATCGCAGGCGCTGTTCTACGAGAACGGAACATTGTACGATCAGCTCAGCATTTTGAATGACAACTTCAGACTGGACCCGGCTAAATTAGAGATCCAGGTAGTGTTCTTTTATACTACTATCAATCATTGCGACTTAACTATCTCAGGGTCTCCCATGGTTCGCCAGCTCTCAAGTCCTTACAAAAATAGGTAACAACCTAGCCATCGGCTCGACCATCATGCACGTCGTGCTATGGTACGGCAAGGACATTATCGAAGTCGTCAAGAAATACAAGGTATAGTGGCCCTGTCTCTGTTTCCTTTCATCGCCAACGAAACCCCAAGAACGGCGAAAGTTACGATCCACACTTGGAGAAGATGAAGGTATACCGCGAGGTCCCGATGTGGTGGTACATAGCCATCTTCTTGGGAAGTTTCGCTATGGCTATGGCTACCATTTACACCAGTAACTCTTCACTTCCATGGTGGGGGTTGATTGTCGGTACGTGATCGTTTATGACTATGTGCAATCTTGCTGTACCACTTTGTTTAGCGATCATCATCTCGGCGGTGTTCCTACCCTTCGTCGTTACAGTGTATGCGATCACTGGTTTCGTTCCAGACATCCAGAGCCTCGTCCAGGTGAGTTATTTACGTCTGACTGTTGTACCTAGGCTCATCAGCGTTTCATAGATCATCGGCGCCTCGATGATGCCTGGAAGTCCTCAAACTAACATGTATTTCACACTCTACGGATCCAACACCTTGCTTCAGGCTCGAGGGCTTATCAGAGATCTCAAAATGGTACGCCAAGCGTCTGCGGTTTCTTTCCCGCGTGACCTCTGGCATCATAGGGACAATACACTAAGCTACCTCCTCGCGTGACGTTCGCGGTTCAATCCGCTGGGGCAGTCATCGTGCGCATTTTACTGGCAGAATTATCCTTTCAATAACGCTCACTGACGTAAAGGGAGGGCTCTTGAACTATGTTATCATGAAAGTCATCATTTCAGCACACCGGGAAATCTTGCTTGATGTGCAAGGAAACAACGTGGTACGTCCTCGGATTCCTCGTTGCAATGAGATGCATCTATTAATGCGCGAAACAGTGGTCTGGCCAGCAGGTCCAGGTAAAGTTCTGTCACTAACTGACAGATGGAGACTGAGCTTGAGACAAACAGTCCTTTAACAGCGACGCCGTATCTTGGGGAGCACTAGGCAAGCAGCTCTATTCTCCGAGTGGTCGATACGGTGTGAGTGGTCTTCAAACCTGCGTATCTGCTAATCTCACGCACTGGTAGATTGTACCGTTATCTATCTTGATTGGCCTCGCGGTGCCCATCCCATTCTGGCTTATACATCGTCGATACCCTAAATTAGGTGCCAATCACGTCATTACGCCCATCCTCTGCTGTGAGTGATTTTCCGTATGGGGCCCGCGTCAGCTAACAGTCCCACCAGGGACACTCGGTTATCTCAGTGTCGGGATCAACTCATCTGTATTCACGACCTTTTGCTTGGCGGTGTTCTCTCAGTATTATCTCAGGCGATACCGTCCTGGATGGTTTAGGAAGTACAACTTCCTGATGTCCGCGGCATTGGATGGTGGAACACAGGTATGTCTTTCTGCCCATGATAAGTCATATTCACTGATATGCTGCAGGTCATGGTATTTGTCTTTACGTTTGCCGTTGGAGGCGGTTCGGGTACGGTGGTCAACATGCCAAATTGGGCATTAGTACGTTGGCTCGAAGCTGCTAGTTGTTGATATACTGATAATCGCATCCAGAATCCGACTGGTAATCCAGATTATTGCAAGAGACTCACTTAAACTTGAAGGCCGGGTATCGTGCAGACGGCTTGGCTTTAAACAGTCGTAGTATTACGGAAAGGCTATTGTACAGTATTCATAGGCATTTAAACGCGCTTCGGGAAGTAAACGTCTATGTCGGCTAGTTCTAGCAAGATGTGGATTGCAAACATCGGCCCATTACCACTGCTCCTCGGCTGGATGCACTGATCGCCATTTTTCTGATTAGAAGTCGAGGCATGACTGAACTATTTCACTTACGATCCAGTTCCCATGTCCACGCCGTTTTTTCTTGTTGGGAAAGATTTAAATACGCCTATACAGAATAGGTTAATGGCAGGATGAATACAGAAATCCTGAAAGCGCACTCTGGCAATGCTTTCCGGGCTGAGCCCGACCATTTGTTCACCGTTGCGCTCGATAGCTGATCCAGTTTTGATGACTGGGAAGCCATAAGCGAATTGTATTCTGAAAATGGACAAAGCACGTACGACCATCTATGACAGCCTGCAAGTATATCATTGAATAAAGAGCTCTTTGTGCAGAACCTAGCAGACACTCACATGTGCGACCTGGAAAGCATAAATCAAGTCAAGTCAAGAATGAGAAAAGATAAAATAGGTACGCACATGGATTCCATCTCTCGGTCCAAATTCCTTGGCCAAGCTTTGCGAAAGGGCTCTGGTCCCATGTTTCGCAGCAGCAAAGGCGCTTGTCGTCCTGTTCCCCCTCAAACTCGCCGTAGCACCAGTGAATATGAGGGTCCCCCTTCCGACTTTGTCATCCGGCTGGGTGCTCAGGAGCCTGGTGATAACGTTCTTGGAGAACGAGAAAGCGGCGACGACATTGGTATCGAGCGTTTCCAGGATTTCTTCTTCTGTAGTCTCCAAAAACGACTTCCATACCGCGTGCCCAACGTTGAACAGCGCGGCTCTCAGGGCGTACTGCGAAGCGGGATAATGCGAATTGATCGATTCGAACGCAGAGGTAATGGATGAGGGCTTGTAAGAGGGGACGGAAAACGCTTTGGCCTGTTTCAGTTGTGTCTCGGTACTGAGAGATACACGATATTAGAGCAATCGACTCACTGTACCTCCAGCCTCGGAGATTTCTTTCGCAAGCGCATCCAGACCACCACCACTTCGAGTACGCGAAATTAACGCGACTGAGTATCCATTCCTGGCGAAAAGCCGTCTGGAGCAGTTTTAGCGAGAGTAAACGTCGACTTGGGGATATACGCACGCAGCAGCAGCACCAGTACCGGAAGAGTTACCTATCCCAGCGACAATAAAAAGAGGTTTAAGTGAAGCCATTGAAGAGTAAGACACAAAGACGACGTAACTTGCAGGTATTTATCATGACGAGAGTGCCGTTTAGCCGCGACAGTTATGACGGCAGCTATGTCAGGGTTCTTCTTGGCTTATTAACGGATGTCATGAATAATCCATTAATCAGAGGGACGACTTACATTCATATGTCTAATAGCAAAATTACAAACGGCTGTATAGTATTACATACAAATATGCTCAAAAGTACCACACTGAACCCCAGCAATCCTTTCCCTTTCACTAACGATGTTGTAAAAAAAGCAAAAGTCCCAGAAAAAGCAAGCAATAGCAATCTATAGCACACACCAGTCCCTTTTCACGCCTACAATCCACTTTCGACATTCAAGCATCTCCCTCTGTGTTCCAGTCAGTAAGAAGCTCAGTTTTGAAGGACAGAAACCGACCTCTCTGATCCCGAGGACGCTCTGGATATCTAACAACACGCCCTCAACTTCCTCTTCAGCATCTTCTCGTATGCCATGCCACTGATTATTATATTTGTCACGATTGCGTTCGTCTACGACCTTCCGATGAAACAGAACATCCAAAATGGCCTCGCTTAATGAAGCCGCTGACAGCAGAGATATTGTATAGCGCAGGATGTCAGGCTCTACATAGATGGGAACGTCAGCAGTGCCATAGGAGGGGCAGGGATGGGAAAGAATGGACCTAGTATACATATCATTAATGACCTCCAGGTCTCTCGCAACACAAAGTCCCACTCCTTATCATCGTCCAGATCCGAATGGAATAAATCGCGTAGCGAAGGCAGTGCTTCCCACAAGTCATCGAGAACACCAACTGGCGTCCCACCGAGCACATAGTCAAGAGCAGATAGAAGGTCAGTTTGAGCATCCTATAACGAAGATCAGCATGTGACGGTAAAAGAGGATGAGAGGATGCCCACCTCCAATTCCTCAAACCCCATCTCGTGGGGCGCGAGGGCTTGGAAGCTGGAAGCATATACAGGAAGAAGGGGTGGGAGGAAGTCCCGATGGTACTAGAGCAGTGTATCAGTGACCGAAAAAACGTAGAGAATACACCAGCCGTCACTTTAACGCTAACGGCAATGGCACCGACTGCCATATCCCATACCATATCTTCGAAACCGTCCCATTCTTTTCCTTCCGTCCCACTGGAACGGAAGAAAAAGAGAAGGAACAAGTACGCGGCATGAAATCGGGTCTCTCTTGAAGTCGAGACGGTCGTAAGTTGGTCATGTAGATCCTCACCCTCACGGTGTCGCAAGGTGACCTGCGAGTCATCAGCGGACGGTGCATTAACAATGAGTTAGGTACCTCGAGAATCCATTCCAGAACTTCCCGCCGAAAGTTTTGGCCTATACCAATAGCCTTTTCCCAATCGTCGAGTGTAGAGATTTCTTTCTGGCATCCTAATTCCCATGACTGATGACACTGGCGCTCCCGCAAAACGTACAGCTGCAACCGACGCTTAGCTCGGGCATCGGACGACAAAGCAGGAACCGCTACATGATTTGATGGCGGCGCGATAATAGGGACAGGATCCTTCGGCAAGGCAGGCTTCATAGGAAGAAAAAATTCCGGTGGTAGGTGTAAATGATTGTTCTTCCGCCTTGTAGGTGCAGGTTCAGGCGATGATGGAGCAGTCGGTATCCAGTCAGCATTTGTGGGTGACTGTCCGAGGCGGGGAATGCGAAAGGTACCAGTTGCTGTGATAATGCGCATCTAAAACGCCTTCAGTTTGATTTCTGCACTGAGGGTATAAAACAGACATATGTGCTCGAGCTCGAGCTTGAGCTGGTTGATGGAGAAGAAGATGAGACTTCGGTTCGGAGTGACTGTGCACGTCGTAGACTTGCTGGTTGAGAGGCTGAGTATGACCGGTGAATTAGTCGGGCCTTTTTCTTCGGAGAGAACAAGTCTTCATGTCGTCCAGAACGAGAGCGCTTCAGAGCTCGAAGCCTTCACATGGTTTTGAGAATGAAAAATGAACTTGAGATTTATGGTACTTACGGAGTATTTTTTTCATCTGAAAAGTTGGAGTACCTAATACAGAAGGCGTCGATGACCGCGCTAGGAAAGAAAAGGAAGAATGGGCACACCTGCTGCTGTCACTTCGAATCCTCTTTGAGCTAGGGATGTCTGCAAGAGATTCTTCGCGTCGTCGCTTCAAATTACGTTCTAGCTGTTGGATAGAAAGGGCCGTGGGTGTCGATTTGCCTTCTGATCCCGGTGAGAAGAAGAAATCCGAGTCCGAGCCTTTTGACGAAGAGGAAGTGCATATGATATTCACACCTGGAGTCGATAAATGGAACGAGGTCCGAGAAAATGAGCGAGCAGTAGATGACCGACGAATCCAGGAGGTACGAAACCCTGAGCGTCTTTTTCTTGCCTCCTCTTCCAGAAGTCGGGACTGAAGCGCATGGAAGAAACTGTCATTCTCTGGATTCTCTGGTGTCGTATGTGTTGATGAAGTTGGAGCTACTCGTACAGGAACTTCGCTATTATCAGATTCTAGCTCATCGTCTGACTCGAAGGCTCGCTCGTAGTCCTTGGGTTCTTCAGGCTCTTCTTGAATAGGGCTGAGTGATTGAGTAGAGGAGAAAGAGACAGATATTCGTCGTCTCGAGAACATTTCACGCATTTCACGGAGGCTAGCTAGGGATAAAAAGGAAAATGGTGGTAAGGAGGGAAGAGGGAAGGTGTGTGATGTGACTTGAGTGACGCGTCTTCGACCCCGTGACTCATTTCCAGCGCGTTATTTAGGTTTGCTTATCTGGTCCCTTCCACGGCTTGACCGGCATGATTTCGTTGCACACAGCCCAACTTCAAGTATCAAGTAGCATTCCAACTTTTTGCAGGAGAGCTATACAGTGACCTTTGCGTCTATCAATAGTCAATCCCTTCACTCTCCGAAGCGTTATGAGGTAAGCCTGCCAACCCTCAAATTTCTACATAAAAATTCTGAAAGCCCTTTGCAGTTGAACGGCACAGAAAGTCCGCCAAGCAGTGTCGGCAGCTAGTGGTAATAATTCCGCATAGCCTCAGAACATATTTAATTCGTCCTAGGAACATAGATTAAGTGTCGACTTTCCGCCACTTTTTGACACTAGAAGTGCAGGAGAAGGGTACATTCGAGCCATCTTAAGCTTCGTTTACAATTTGCCTGATATCACGTGCATAACAGTTGCAAAAGAAAAATAAAAACAATAAAAACAATAAAACGAGGCGTTCAAAGGACACGCCTTTACTCCGAGACAGTGCATGCCCGTAATTATATATAACACAAGCTCGCGGCTGTCTTCCGTTGTTCACGTTGCACAGACTCTTCATTTACACCGAGCACATGCTGGTTTAGAATGCGAAGTGACAGTTCGGCTGCATCTCCTGACCTGAGGTTCTATTCAATCACAGCAATCAGTTACACAGTTCGACAAGAAAGGAATTCAACGCATTGACGAGTGCCGTTAACGGCAATATCTGTCCTCCCTGCACTCCGATTCCTTACCATGGTTACTGGATAATCAACACACGACGGCCTAGTCAGGCCAGGTTCGCCTAATTTTGAGGCACAAGGCAGTGATTTTTGCCTCAACGACGACTAGTCTGCAACTGCAGCCAAGGCGTCTTCAGCCCTTCCTGTCAAATCTCTCAATATACTATGTTCTATGGCGGATACTAGTCCCAGCTCCCACGGAACGTTGTCCGCATGCCGTGGTATTTAATGTAACACAAGTACGCCGTCTAGCACCCAGCAACTCTCAGCACGCTATCGGCCATGAATCTCCTGCTCGCGTTCAAGGCCTTGATCGTCTCCCTGGCCTTCATGCCCGCCCTTGGTGCATATGTAAGGCAGCTTTCCACCGTTATTGAAGCAACTTCGTCGACCAGCGTTGATCAGTACGCAAAATGACCAGAATATCCCCGTCTTCAATGCTTACTCTCCTTTGAACAGGTCTCCGTCCACTTCCGTAGTATTTCCACAGACTACTGCGACCACCATTACCACGTCGATGACAACTGTTTCCCCGTAAGTTTCAACTGTGTTACTAGCAGTGTTCAGGTGAAGGCTGACTCCGAGACGTACCAGGACGATTATATCCGTGTCGGAACGGAGTACCTCTACGACTATTGTGTCCGAATCTATTGGCTGCGGCACGCTATCATCGTCCATTAACTCTGTGTAAGTATAGAAAATTATTACATATCACAAGACTATGAACTCACTGGCCGGAGTACAGGTCCTCGTCGTTCGCTTTTGGCACTACTACTTCTACTTCCTTGGGCATAATCATGACTGTGGTCTCCTCATCCGTCGGTGGTTGCCCGACTACTTCCGTATCTCACGTTACCGTTTCTACCGCCACTGTTTCATTCTCGACCAGTACCAACGGCGGTACCACCACCTGCATCAGCACCACAGTCCCGGTCACTAGTACAACTGCTATTCCTGTCTTGTGTAGCGGTTATGGTGCTACGGTCCCCGCGTCTTGCGTCGCCACCGGAAGTGCTCATAGCACCACTGCTACTACCGTCTCTAGCACCCAAGGCACTAGCACCGCAGCCGCGGCACTCTCGGGGGCAGCCAATGCTGCTCTGAAGTCGTCGAATGTGAATCAGTTGGTGTCGGGCCTCGTCGTTATTCTTATTGGTGCGATGGTGCTTTAAGGGACCGAACGTAGCTACAGTCTTCATCCTTACAATACCCCATGAAATTTCGACCCTTTCCTTTCATACAGTTTACCAGAATTATCATTTCAAAATGTTACTCAAGCAGCGGTCTCACGCGTGGAAAATCTCCCATCCGATGCACTGGATGTAGATCAAGCATGGTGCGACAAAAAATCTTCAGAATTGCTAATGTACAGTAGTGAAAAGTTGCGGCAGACAGGAAGTATAAATTGCAAGGGAACAATGTTCATTCTGGAACGTTTTCAATCCGTCATTGAAGGACCATCATCGACACCGGTGACCGAGGCAGGAGTATCATCTGAAGAGTCGACGACTAATTCGTGGTCGTTCTGACTAGAATCCGGACATTGTATGAGAGATATCCAGCATTCTTTGGGAATCTTTGGTGGGTCTGGAATACAATAATTACCTGTCGCGTAAACACCTGGGAATTCCTTCCGAAAGAATTCTTCATTCCATTCTGCCACGAAGATAAGTTCGTCCAGATAATGGACAGGTAGCCGTGATTCCGAGCCGGTTATTGATTCCGGAGAAGATGGAATAGTGGCTGGCTCTGTATTAGGCTCCTCGTGATCCAGTGCTGCGCTATAAGAATCGTCAGAGTTGAAATTTCTGTTATTGTCCAGCACAAAGGCATACCACGATGGTTCGGGCTGCATGGTCGTTCTATTTAGAGTCATCAGTCTCGGGTATCATCAAGCAAATAAATATGTAATACGAAATATACGTACATATCTTCATGTATTGAAGAAAGCTTCCAGTGATTTGCGAGGTCAGCGTCGGTTTGAAATTTCAAACCGCATTTTTCGCAATTGTACTGTTCCTGTTGATTCTATAGTCGAAGAAAGGATTGGCGTCAATTTCACTAACACAGAGACGCGAAACATACTGACTAACCTGTTCTACGTTGAGACTCATGACGCTAAGAAGCGGTACTGTTGGATTGATGCGCAGGGAAGTATATCTTCGAAAAGTGAGTAAATAGGTCCGCGGCGGATCCTATTATATATACGTACTGCGCGTGGTGGTGGCGTTACTTGGCTTTGGATTTACACTCGTTGCGGAACAAAGACCTTCGGAAATACAATAAGATCAGAATCAATAATTCCTTGAGACAAAGTATATTTGATTAACACCGGCCGGACTTGAAGTGTGATTGCCTATAAACAGTTACTAAGACCGAGAGTTACTGGCTCCTTGAGGGGAGATGAATGTTCATAACTTGGCTTCTTGGGAAGCACGGCGCTTCATAAAAGGGAAGATTCCAGGTATTATAGACATCAGAAGCTGCGCGCTGAAGATCGATACATGGTCAGGTTTGCAAATGAACATGACGTTGCCAGGCATGCCTCGTGGACCTTAAAAATTCCCCACAAAAAGAGAACCTCAGGGCCACATCAGAAATAGGGATCATCGAAACTGTGACAATCCAGGGGGGGGACAATCAAGCTTGGACCAAGATCAGTTTCAAATGCCACTTATTGTTAGAAGCGAAGAAAACTATTTCATCCACTTTATGCGATAAACATGCTTAAGTATATGAACGTGGGGCTACACAGGTGAGAATGACGCCAGTTCTTCTAAATTATAAAGTAGATCGCTCGAAAGAGGTCTCCGATCAGCAGAAGCGAGGAAACACTGACTAATAAGCTCCCAGAGCTCATCTACCACTAACGACGGTCGTTTCGGATGGTTTCTCTTTGTGAGAACCTCATGGATGATCGCCGAGTCGTGATGAATGTGCGGGTATGGTGGTTTGCCCGTGAAGATCTAGAAGGGAGAAGGATTCAGAATTTGCTTGAATTGGGGAGGGTAGGGTAGTCATACCTCTACAACGGTGCACCCGAAGGCGTAGACATCCCGGGCAGTGAGGTATCGAGGATCGAATAGATGAAAGTCAAGGATCTCGGGAGCGAGCCATCGGAGAGAGCCAGAGATACTGCTGTTAGATGATGCAGAGGAGGGAGTTTCAACAGCCAGCGCGAGACCAAAATCAGCTAAGCAGCATCGGAAGTCGTCCGTTACGAGTATGTTTGCCTGAATAGAAGGAATTTAAATAGAGGGACACTGTGTCCTTCCTACGATATAGAACTCACGCCACGAATGTCCGCGTGAACAATCGGAGGCTCGAGAGAGTGTAAGTACGCCATTCCGCGTGCGACGTCGGTTATCTGAATGAAATGTTTGAAGTAAGCATGGTAAGACTAGAAGAAACATTACTGCCTGTAGACGATCGAGTCGTGGGTGGTGATGGAGAAAGGAAATGATATTTCCATTTTCCATCCATGGAGATATTAAGTAGAAACTCGGAGCGAAAAGCTCTTTGTTGACGCCAAGAAATGGAAGGACATTTCGGTGCTTGACATTTCTCCATACCAGCGCCTCACGACAAAATTTCTTAGGGAAGAGACACGTTAATTTGTATTCTCTCCGAATGCTGAAGGCGAACTCACTGATATAATCGCGTCGGCGTTCTGCACGCCATTGTTGACGAGTATCCGGAGAACTTTCAAGCAGACCGGAGATCTGCCATCCATTGTAGAACCTTTCCAAATATCCTATGCAGCGTAGTATACTTCAGGCGGGGGTCAACAGAGGAACGGTTTAAACGAACAGAAAATCCTCCAGCGTAGATGGCGTGACTTCCCTCGTTGACGACGTTAAGGTACGATAGAGAGGACGGTAAAATATCATGAATTTTAACGAGATAAAAAAGGCAACTTGTGCAACGTGCTCTGTATTGGTCGTTTACGGCGGAGTCGATTTCCTGCGGGGCCGACATTACTGGGTGAGTCACGTAAAGTATGTGAGAGATATTTTGGAGAACCTGCTGAAGAAAGTCGATGACACGATTAGGATCCTCCGAGGCAAAGTGCGCGATGCCTCTCCAGGATTCTTGACATAAAAGAAAGCTCCGCATGTGCGACTCAAAGGGATCAAAATTTACTTCCGTATGGTCAGAGATGCACCGCTATCAGATGAATTGGTGAAGAGGGTGAGCGCAAATGAGGGAAAGCGCTTACCAGAAAGTCAGCCTTCATTCTCCGAGCTTCTTGCTCAATGGCCTGGCATATCAAGTTTTCCAGGATCATTATTTCCAAGTCACGATGATAACGATTGATATCATCGAACAGCATCCGAAGATACCTTTGACTCCATCAGCATCCTGACGGGAGTCAAATGCACGGATTTACCATTGTATGTCCATACACCCGATCATCAGCCATCCACAGCGCGAGTCACCAAAAACGGTCAGCACTGAGTTTAGAATCTGTTTCAAAATCGTCGTCGTTTTGGCGAGGAGATCATTGGCGCTCGTGCTGTGCCTTGTGACTGTCTGAATTTGAATCAATTTCAGTTAAGACGAGAAGAATATATGCACCTCGAGTGAGTCAAATAGTTGACATATATTATCTCTCTGATTCATTGAGATGCGTATGTCAAGTGCAGAAGAAAGAGCACGAAGCAGGCATGGGAATTGGCTGTGTGATGGGGTGATGTTAATGATGGCACGCGCCGCTAGGATATCAATAGCCGAACCGTTTTCGGCGAAAGATCTCAAAGGGCGTGGAGTGGTCCATCATGAGAAATTTCACGCCTGTTTTTTTTTCCCGTTACACCTGTGGGGAAGCATGGATTGGGAAGAGGGGGGACGCAAGAGGACGGATTGGGAGGGGGAAGGACGGACCAGCGGCAAGTAAACATGAAACCGGTACCACCGGCATTTATCGTGGGAAAGTCTCCAAATCGGATTTGAAATCGAGCTTAGACCGTGACCACCACCTCGCTACGACGTTCATGTATACGCTATCCATCGTTCATTTAACCAACGAAACAACTGCATTCAAGGCCTCTACACGCCGCTTTTGCTTTCGCCTTACACTGAGGCAGGTGAAAAGTACGTGACAGGAAGGTTTCTTAGTTCTCGTGCGGTAGGCTTCCTGCAATTGTTTTTTCGCATCATAAATTTGTTTGGTTAGACTCACAACAAGCGCATATATGAACATGGCTAGCACCGGCACAATGCCCTAAGCAATGCGTGCTTTTTTTAAGTTTCTGGTTACCAGTTCAAAGGTTCATCGACATCGTTGATGCGTCTCGTAGATATGGAGAACGAAACACCAGCGCATCACTTCCTTGCCCTAAACTTTTGCTTTGCTCCTGCGTGCTGCAAACCAATCAGGTCAACATGCTGACATAATGTTGATTCTCGTATGCGAGCGCTCAAGTGAACGCTCACTGGCAAAGGTATGTCGGGATGCCATGCCTTGAAAAATGTCACTCATGACTAGCTTCCTAGTGTTGTCCACCAAATAGCATTGCGGTCATGGAAGCGATAGCAAAAACGTTTGTTATGCGCCTTCCGTGGCTAATCTCTAGGATAGTAATTAACCGACGCGGTACACCCTTAATTGATGCATAAAGTTTGGGCGCTGTAGTTGTGGAATAGTTTGGGAAGGTCTGGCATCATTATTGTTTTCGTGTTCTCGCTGTCTAATTTCGCGCGATAGATCACCAATCATCAAATTGGTCAGGGTTCGGCCGCTCAATATCAATATCCAGGGTAGATGTAAAGCAAATGTTTAGACCAATCAAACGAGCCACATTATGACCACCCTATCATTCGTTATGGATTTACTCTTCAATGAGGCTGTCGAGGTACTCTTCCTGCATGAGCAACCTGAAGTTCAGGATAGTGACCTAGATGTCTTTCATAAAGAATCGTGACAGAGAGTCGGAGTTTACGATTGCTGTACCTGTCGACGCTGAAAAATTTCCACCGTCTCCTCAGTACGTCATTGCAAGTCCTCATCGGGCTCCCTGTCTGATGGCGCTGTATTTAGATCACCATTATATCTTGCACTGTAATTCTGGAGTTTCAGAACGACTGCACGAGTTCTCAGAGCATGAGGTGGGTTCTTTATCCTGTGTAGCTTTCTAACTATCGTTTAACAGGTGATCAAGCTTTAGCGGGAAGTATCTTCGTCGGCCGGAACCTGAGGATAAAGCTTTGATTCCGATTCATAGGCCCAGCTCCAGCTTCGACGCATCTGGAAGGCCATCATTCCAGGCTTGCGTAAGACGCGTACGGTCTCTTTGCCCGCTTGTATAGTCGTGGGACCTTTAGCAAATGATCACGGAGAGCACGGAACATTCGCCAACATTGCATGGGGCTGCAGAACTGTGGGCGCTGTACTTTTTAACCTCGAGAAAGTCATGAGATCGCTGATTCATTGTTTCCGCAGAAGCCCATTGACAACGCCGTGCACTATACTTCCCGATTTTGATGGCGCGGCGCGACAATCAATTGTCGGGCCTTTGTTTGGAGCGACTTTGGGGTGCACTTATCCGGGAATACCGGATGGTGTCCAATGATAGGTGTGCCGTTTGTGTAGCCGGTGTTTATTAAAAGATATTTACCGTCCTTATTCTCCGCGGAGAACTGTTTCACTTCAAATTCACGGTCACGATGTCTTTGAATGCCGCTAACGAGGGTAGCGCTCATCAATAACATAAGCGAGCTGTTTGCCAAGCATAAATTTGAGGGGAAAGAAGCTAGGTGCGGCTGTCGTCGTTGACATAATCTACTTTTGAATGACGGTTTGCACAGGAAACGTTAGCAAGTACCGATGGGTGGTGTAACGGCAATAGTGGATCAACGTTGCGTGGCCTGTAACAGACCGTGCTGCTATGCAGGAAGTCACGGAACCCCATGGACTAACTCTAGCGTATATAAGTGCGCCTGGAGCATCATCCATGGTCACATCTACCCGCCATGGATACTCTGAGCCAGTCTGCAATGCACCTCGCTGCCCAACAGCCTCTTACTACCCCATCCTTGGATCTGAACAACATCCAGGGTGATATTCTGTAAGGCGTCCTTCGTCTATCACTATTCTGCGCTCATCATAACTTCAACAGTGGTGGATTACCAAAGAAGACAGAGACCTGCTTCTTCTTCCAGATCACCAACGCTACTTTATTCAAGGCTCACCTCAAGCTATTCGTTCCCCTTGTCAAGACAACTGCACAAGTCATCGCTGACCGCAAAGCTATCGATGACAACAAGAAGAAGACTCCCCATGGCCAGAAACCCGCTCTCCTTCCTATGGTCGGCGTCAACATCGCCTTCTCGCGTTTCGGTATTGACAAGGTATATTCCCCGCACTCCGTGCTCAACGAATTGCGACGCTGACACTGTATTCTGCCTAGCTCGGCATCACTGATGCTGACGAGCTCGGCGACTCTGCCTTCAATACCGGCCAACTGAAGGACGCCCCTGTCAACCTGGGCGATAAAGTCGGAAACGACTCTCTTCCTGACTGGGAACCTGCATTCAAGGAGAAGATCGATGCAATTATTCTCATCGCCGGAGACAGCCATCTTACTGCCGACAAGAAACTACTCGAGATTCGAGCTCTTTTCGGCGCTTCCATCCATGAGGTTACCCACATCCGAGGGGACGTCAGGCCAGGTGCCGTATCAGCACACGAGCAGTAAGTTTCTCTTCTCATTGTTCCATCTCTTGCCCCAAAGTCTTACGTGGTAATTAACAGCTTTGGCTTCCTTGATGGTGTATCAAACCCATCCGTCATTGGGTTTGATAAAAATCCACCTCCGGGTCCGAAACCCGTCAGGGCAGGCGCTTTGCTCGCCGGAGAGGAAGGAGATTCGAGGACGAAGAGACCGGGCTGGGCGAAGGATGGGAGCTTCCTCGTCTTCCGGTACCTGTTCCAGCTCGTGCCAGAGTTCGATGATTTCTTGAAGAAGCATCCCATTATTGCTCCCGGTCTTTCTCCTGAGGATGGTAGCGAGCTGAGGGGCGCAAGGATGATGGGAAGGTGGAAGAGTGGTTAGTCTAATTTTGCTTATCCTTCTTTTGAATGACGTCTCATTGTTTCTGCGCTAGGTGCACCCATCGGTATGCTAAAACTGTTCGATTGAGTGCTTTGTGTTCTCATGCACCGTTTATAGACGTCACGCCACTCAAAGATGATCCGGAATTGGCTGCCGACCCTCAGAGGTATGTGATCTTCTATCCGCCTGCGCCCTTCATCACGCTTAATCGATGCCAGGAACAACGACTTCAGTTTCCAAGGGGAGCGCGACGACCAGTCCCGATGCCCATTTGCTGCCCACGTTCGCAAGACCCTACCTCGAGCAGACCTCGAAGACGCCGACCCTCCGATCTCGCTTGAGAATAGGCGAATCCTCCGTCGCGGAATCCAGTTCGGACCCGAGGTAACCCAAAGCGAGAAAGAAGAAGCCAAGACGCAGCACGGAAGAGGTCTTCTCTTTATGTGCTATCAGAGCAGTATTGTCGACGCTTTCCAGTTCATTCAGCAGAGTAAGTGCCGACGATACATGTGGATAATAGCGAGGCTAATGTGTAATGTTCGCAGGCTGGGCAAACGACATCAACTTCCCGCCATTTGAGGAAACGCCTGCTATACCTGGGTAGGAATAATTATCGTCGTCCCTGATGATTTACCAGTACTGATTGATACTATCCATAGATTTGATCCTATCATTGGTCAAGCTGGGAACGGAGGAATCAGAACGTTGTCGGGAACCGACCCTGCTGATCCCAATGCTGAGCTTACTTTGACGGAGGAGTTTGTCGTTCCTCGTGGTGGGGAATACTTCTTCACGCCTTCTATCAAGAGCCTGAAGGAGACCTTTGCGAAAGTTTGAAACTTTCTGACTGCTTATTCTTCAATGTATTGAAATTATCTCTGGACAATGTACAGTAACCAACTATCCCCTGTTTTAGTACCTTTCCTGTTTGTGCTAAGCCATGCATATGATGCTGAGGAAGATAATACTCCTGTCACGCGCAAGTTTCTACCCGAAGTAAGTGCATAGTGGCACTGATAAATTCTGCCTCGTCAGAAACACCGAATTCTGATTTTAGAGGCGAGGGGATATTTATTCCGGTTTTCGCGTCCCTGAGATATAAAACTACCAAAGTTCGTACTATACATGGACGTGCTGCGGTACCGAACGCTCTCCGGACGAAACTGATTCAGCCTAGCATCCCGCATGGTGTGGCAAAAATACAGTATTCTACAATCAAATGGGACTTGTCGATATCAGCAAGTTCGCTCGGAAACGCCATGGATTCTCGCTCGTTCCGTCATTCGGAAAGTCTTTATCTGATCTCTGATGGAGCAGATACTTGGTGCATCTTGGGAACGCCACAGAATCCTCTCTTTTACGAACCCATTCAAGGATCTAGGAGGACTCACGGATGCGATAACTTTGGCGAAGCTTGGAAACCCATGCCAACTCCGAAGTGTGATGTTCCGGTCTGGGACGGCATGTGCCGATGGCTGTGCAGCGGATCACAAGGTGGACATGGACTTCTGCCTTCACAATTGACCATGCATCCATGGCGGATGCAAAAGAAACCGTTCAGCAAACACGATTTTTCCCTCCGAGGTTCGTCCGTTTTCCTTAATCCTATGAAGATATTATACTCATGAGTAGGAAGGCGAAAAGTTTTTTTTTCGTGTCGTTTTCTCCCACGCTTTTTTTCCAGTTATTGTCGATGTTGCAGCCGCAGCTTGCTTGGGCGTCATAAACCTCAAAAATGTAACTCTTTGTTTCGAAAAACCGACTCATAAAAAGAATTGTTATTACTTTGCCTTGTTTCTAAAAAAATTTTGCTCAAACTGTACGCTCCCTTCGTAATCTGACAGCTGACGGTACCTTACCGCGTGGCAACCCACAGCAATTATCCCCGGGTTACGGATGATTAGCGGGACCGGAGGCCATTTAGGCATGCACTCATCCCAGGGTCTTCCGTATGGACTACACGCGACTCTTCCATTCAGTCGTGTTCTACTTGGATGTATTGATTTCGAATGGATGGTATTATTGGTTAACCTGAAGGGCCAATACTGTCTGCCCCTGGTCATATTAGGGGCTCAAACGATAAGGAGAGATGTCATCAATCTTGCGGATACCTTTTTCATCACCATCGAGGTCATCTCTTGAAAATCTCCGTCCGAAACATCAAAGTGCCCCATTTTCTCTCACTTCCCCTTATCCATGGCCCATTTCCCTGGCAACACAGTTATCGACGTCTTCCGCAATATCTGCTCGTCTGAATACTCGGACTGCGACGCGTTGAAATGTGGAGAAGACAGATGGACCTACGCAGAATTGGATTCTATCACAGGCAACCTCGGTCGACAATTTGAAGAGAAATACGGGCTTCGTCCAACCATCGCCCTTATTGGCGAAAAACATCCCTATCTTTTTGCCTCTTTACTCGCAGTCTGGCGTATCGGGGGCATAGTCGCGCCTATCGACCATCATGCACCAAAGCACATGTTGGAGGCCATGCTGCGTATCGTAAATCCTGGAGTGGTTGTGGTTCCTTCGAATGTTATCGCCACTCAGACCGTGGTCAAAGGTACGAATATCACTTGATTTATGGCATTCATCCCCAACATTTTTTCAGAACTGTCTATTCCTCTCCATATTTTCGATGTTGAGGGTAACGCAATCGCCAATTATAAGCCGCCGCATACACAGGATAGCAAAACCGTCTTTACTGGTCGCTCCGACCCTTCGGACACATGCCTTCTCGTCTTCACCTCTTCAGCATCTGATATCTCCAATCTTAAGTGCGTACCGTTGACGCATGCTACGGTTATTGACCGTTGTCGGTCACAAGTCTCTTGGTTGAAGAAGACTTTCTCTCATCAATCGTTTGATTGCCTCCGCATCCTTGGCTGGTCCCCGTGGTCCCATGCTATCGGGCTGAGCCACGACATTGGAGCTTGCACTATTCTGACCGCAGGATGTTACATCTTCGCATTAATGCCATCTGGATATAAAACGGCACATCAGAAAATGACGGGGTCTCGGAATTTAGCCGAACTTCTTTTAGATGCGATATTGGAGGAGAAAGCGGATGTTTTTACCGGGGTCCCTTGGTTTTTTGAGGTTCTCAGGGACGGTTGGGCGAAGGAGGCTGATGTCGCTCGTCAAGCGCGTATTACGGAGTCTCTGAGAAGCTTCAAGACTTTAGCTGCTGGCGGTTCCACGATGAATGCAGATGTGTTAGAATGGTCGCGACAGCTTGGGTTGCCCTTGGTTCTGGCAATTGGAATGACGGAATTCGGAGGTATTTAAGTGTTGCCTTTTCCTCCTACTGGTTAATCTCACTACATCGGAATAGGTCCGTTGTTTCACGGGTTGCCACCCCAAGTTAAGGACGAAATTGGCTGGGATATTGATGATTGTCTTATTTCGGACGCCAGTCTATACATCGACGACAAGGATAGCGCAGAGAAAGGAACAGGTTAGCATCAGACTTCAGCCATACTAGCGGCTAACATTGCCTTACAGGCGAATTATGGATTACCAGCAAGACTATTGCTAAGGGATATCTATACTACGATTCATCGGCATTTACGGCAGACGCCGAAGGTAGAATTACCTTCCATACAGGCGACATATACACCAGGACGTCTCAGAACAGATTGGTTTGGAAAGGCCGAAAGGAGGACTTCATACAGGTTTGTCCCCTTTCCGTAGCTAAAGGACCTTGCTAATTATATATTTCGTAATTTTCAGCTAGATTCTGGCGAAATCATGGACCCAAGGATTCACGAGAAATCGTTTGATGACAACCCGGTTGTCGCCCGGTCATGCATCGTTGGGAACAATTTTCTTCGTGACGCGTCCCAGTTTGTGTGCTTGATCATTGAACTCATGCCAGAGACCGCGTTAACACAAGAGGTTGCATACGAGGAGATCATAAAGACTGCGGCTACAGTCAATAGATCTTTGCCTCCTCCGTTACGCATACTGTGGAGTCGCATTGTTATACTTGGAGCAGGTTCATCGATTCCGTTGAACAGGAAACACCTCATCTGGCGTAAGAGGCTTGAGAGTCTATTTGGGGATCTTGTCAAAGAGTTACCATCTGCGCCTTCTCCTACAGCTACCTCCTCTCAACCCGCCGGATCTTGGACCGCAGATACCGCGAAAGACATTGTGATCCAGTCTGTGTCGATGGCATTAGGATTATCTGAGGATATCCTCCTCGCGCACGCTGATGCAGGTTTTGCTGAGGTATGTGGTGCTATCATTCCCAATGATACTATGTTTATTTCTGATCTAGCTTGGAATGGATTCTGCCATGGCAATGATGATCATCAATTCCGTAAATCGCCGACTGAACCTTGATCTTCCTCTTAACGCTTGTCACACATATATTGATCTCGATTCCTTGATTCATGCAGTTCACGCGAAGCTCGGACTTGTTGATGTCCCTAAAATTAGTCCCTCGCAGGATCGTCCTGTCTCGAAGTCAATTGATGAGGTAGTAGTCGTTGGTCAGGCTATGCACCTTCCTGGAGATATCAATGACGCAGATTCGTTCTGGAACGCCCTCGTAGACAAGCGTGAAGACCTCATTATTCCGATACCATCTGACCGATGGGACCATAAAGGATTCTATACGAGCTCTAAACCGACTCGTCCTTGCGACATCACGTTTGATAAAGCGGGTTTCGTTGATTATGCCAGCTTCGACAATAGCTTCTTTGGTATCAGCTCTGCGGAAGCATTATTTGTGGCGCCGTCTATCCGGCTAACCCTGGAGGCTGCGTTTGAGGCTCTAGAGAACGCCAATATTCCCCCGTCACACGTCAAGGGTACTGATATGGGTGTTTTCGTTGCGACTGGATTGGATGAAGGTTACCAACAGCTTCTGTTTCTCGACCAAGGCTATGCGGGTGAGTAATTTTTGCTCTGTCGTTCAATGTGACTGACTGTAATTTCAGCGTATACTCGTTATTATGGCACTGGTATCGCCAATAGCACTGCTTGTGGTAGAATCAGCTAGTAAGTTCGATTTAGTCGGTCGCCTAGCCAAAGTTTGTTCTAATTCTCGATGGTAAAGTCTTCTGGATGTGCACGGACCTTCTATAGCAATCGATACTGCATGCAGCGGCAGCCTTGTTGCGCTTGACCAAGGTTTGGCATGTCAATATCTGATGTATTTCATACTCAAATATTTCGCGTAGCCGTCAATTACTTGAACGCCGGAGGAGAGTCTGCCATTGTAGTCGGCGTGAACACACATTCCTGGTGAGCCTTACATACTTCCGCTTTTTTCCGCGTTTGGTCTCTGACTAAATAAATAGGCCAGGAACCTTTGGGTACAAATATTTCCGTAGCCTATATAGCTGAAGAAACTAATCGAAGACTTAGCTTTCTTTCAGCGCAACAGATGACGTCCACAAAATCCCGATGTGCAACATTCACTGACGAAGCCGACGGGTTGGTCCTTTCATTATCCTCAATTTCTTCTGAGACTTACGTATTCTCGAGATATGTTCCTTCTGAGGCCGTTGTAGCATTAATCCTTAAAACCCGTCAAGCTGCCCTGCGTGACGACGACAATATCCTTGGTATCATCAAGTCCACAAACACGCTTCATAATGGTCGTAGCCAGGGTATGGTTGCGCCCTCATCTTCGGCACAGTCGTTGTTGCAGAAATCGCTCCTTAGCAAGGCTTCGATAAAACCGTCAGATATCGAGTGCGTTTCACGCCATTGCTTGTTCCGCTCAGTGCTAACGTATTCTCAGCTTTATTGAAGCACACGGCACTGGTATGTATACAAGAAAGATGTTGCCGACTCACGAGCTGATTGATATATTCAGGAACATCGCTCGGAGACTTGATCGAGATAGAAGGGATCAACGATGTGTTCAAGAACAGCCACACCACGGGGCGTCCGTTGGTTATTGGAGCAGCAAAAAGCTGCGTGGGACATACGGAGACAAGCTCGGGTCTAGTCGGCATGGTAAAGGCGTTAGCGTCTCTTTCTCGTCGATCTGTGCCTGGCTTGACGCATTTAACTGAGTCAAACCTGAATCAAAATATAGACTGCTCTCTCATTCCCATGCACATACCCTATCAAAGTGTGGAATTGCCAAAGAGAATTGGTTCATTGCGTGCTCTTGTCCTGTAAGTGTCGTTCACTTGTCTGCATTTACAGCTGTTAATAGCACATCAACAGAGCATACGGATTCGCTGGTACCATCGCCGGTGCTGTAATTGAAAGTGCTGAGCCTCGAGATGAATGTCCGGGTTCAATAACGAGCTCCGAAAGCATGCTCTTCGTTGTGAGCGCCAAGTCAGAAGTGGCACTAAAGTCTTACATCCAAAAATACATCGACTTCTGCGTATCGGTAGGAGAGGAACGATTCAAATCCATCTGTTATACCAGCTGTGTCGGGAGGGAGCACCATCGGTTCCGGTTTGCTTGCGTTGTAAGCACGATGGACGAGTTAATCGAGAAATTGGAGGATCGGTTAACTAGCAGCGTCGAAACTCGTCCATCAAATCCAAAAACCATCTTTGGCTTCTCAGGACAGGGATCACAGTATGCTGGGATGGCTCGTGACTTAGCTGCGGGCTTCAGAGGATTCCACGCTGTGCTCAGAGAGCACTGTGATGTTGCGCTTCGCTATTGTGAATTTTCGGTAATGGATATCCTGGTTGACGGTAATTCTATAGAGGATCGCGATATTAACGACAGTGGAGTTGGTCAAGTCTGCACATTTGTCTATCAGTATAGCGTCTGTGTTTGGCTTCAGTCTTTGGGAGTATGTCATCAGGCTGTGGTTGGCCACAGTTTAGGGGAAATTGCCGCTGCAGGCAAGTCGTTTTTCTTGCCGATAATTTCGTTATCTCTGACTGGCCAATTAGTTATCGCAGGGATATTCGATTATGAACAGGGAATACGTTTCGTTGTTCACAGAGCACGTCTTTTGAAGCCTAGAAAACAACATCTGGGCGCTATGGCCGCTATTGCCACTAACGAGAGTATAATCCGTCGACACTTGAACAAATTAGGCATTTCGGAGTCAATGGTGATAGCTGTATTCAACGGTTCTGACTCTCACGTCGCCTCTGGTGAAGCAGAGTCCGTCAAGAAGTTGGTCTCTGCTGTGAAAAGAGATGGGATAAGAGCCACAAATCTCAATGTGGATCAAGGTATGATTTATGCAATAGCTCTTTCTGTTTATCGATTCTGGTTCGTAGGCTTTCATAGTCCATCCATTTTTCCGGCTTTATCGGCCTTGGAAGAGACTGTCCGCGAGCAAGAATTGCCCCGTCGACCATTACAAGTCCCAATGTTTTCGACCGTTACGGGCAGACCGATCCGTGCCCAGAGTGTTTTGCCTCCAACATATTGGGTCCGTATTTCTGCCCTCACGTACGTCGCAGTATCTGACCGAAGTTCTTTATAGGTCGATCACGCTAGAAATCCTGTACTGTTTTCCCAGGCGCTGGAGGAATTGCAAAGGGACAAATCAATCAATACTGTGCTTGATATTGGGCCCCAGCAGACATTCTGGGGTTTGTCTCAGGGTCTCGTTGACAAGGTGAAGATCTCCGTCTCAGGGAAGAAAGGTACCAATCAAGAGATGGCACTCCTCAAAGGATTAGCAAGCCTATATCAAAATGGCGCTAGCCTTGATCTCGCCAAACTATACGCGGAGCGGCCGTATGCGCACTTGAAAACTGACATTCCGACATATCCCTTTCAGCGTCAACGCCACTATCCCTCTTTTATACCCACTTACGACAACTTAGGCGACTCTCCATCCTCAGTCTATGCTAACGGTAAAGGCGCGGGAAACGAGATCTTTTTAATCCCTGACAGTCTTCGTGTCGTATTGGATGATCACCGGATTGAAGGTCGTCGAGTTGTTCCAGCAGCGGCGTTAGCGAGTTTCTTCATCTCATTGTCGAGGAATACAGCGCGTTCGTTGAAGAGCATACGATTTCATCGGCCTCTCATCGTGGATGAGGACGTCCACGTAGAAGCGCTATTAGATCAAGATGGGGGTTTCACTTTATACCAAGGGAAGACGTTCCAAGAACATGAGAAGGTCTGCTCAGGACAATTTTCCCCCTCGCCGGAACCATACCCATACAAGCAGTGGCCGTCAGATATTCCGCCAAACGAGGTCATCGATCAGGTCAAGGTCTATAGTGCCTTCAGACACATTCATTTCGGCAAAACCTTCCGCAATATCACTCGGTTTGACGTATGGAATGATCGTGTGGATGCGTCTATCGTGGTCGAAGCTTCGGTGCGCTATCCTGAGTACGATTATATCCGAAAATTGGACCCTTGTTTGCATATGTTCGGCGTATTTACCACTCTATTGGGGGATGCTCCTCCCACGGAACGGACAGAAGGATCTTTTCTGCCGTCTTCCCTCGAAGGCTTAACGTTTTACACCAACGACTTTCCTGATAGCTTTGTTTGTCGCTATCATCTGCCGATTAGCATGGAGAGAAATGACCACGTTATGGTTGTCAAATTCGACGTCCTTTCCAACGATGGGGAGCTTCTCGCATCCTGCAAGAAGTACTCAGTTGCCTGGATTCCTGTAGGAACGATCAATCAAACGGCTGCTCCGTCCACAAATGAAGGAACCATTCCCAGGTACTGGTTCAGTAATGTATGGGTACAGAGAGATGTAGCGTGTACAGCGCCCGCTTCTTCCGTTCTGGATTCTTCGCTCTACATCAGTCCAACACCTCATGCGCCTTTACTGAAAAAACTCGCCAAAACTACATCGGAACTAGCTTATGCCGACTTAGCTAACTACAAACGGTGGGCGATAATTCAGGGCACGAGCTTTAATCCTTCAACTCTCATTTTTTTCGATGTGGATGTTCCCATGGCGAAGACAAGGTCTATCATAATTGATGTGACCTCGTTTACCAATGACCCTCTTTCGAGCACCTTTTCAGCGTATTGGAGACCGCTTCTTCGGTTGATGAAGGCGCTCATGACAGGAAAGATTAGCTATGATAATCTCATCGTCCTTTCCTCCGGCTGTACGGGCAAAGGAGATTCTTTCTCTGCAGGTGCTGTTATCCAAGGGATGATCCGAGTCTTCCGTCGAGAGGCTGGCTCACAAGATATCATCTGGGGATTGGATGTCCCTCCAAGTCTACCAGCTGCCGAGATTATCAACCTCATTGCACGTGAATTAGAACAGAGGCCGTTACGGAGGGTTAAAGATAGCTTCGTTTCTGTGCATTATGATGCAGATCAAGGCAAGGTCTTCGAGTTCGTACCAGGACTACAACATCTAGAAGGTGACGAAGATGCTACCTTTGAGGGTGTGACCATCATCGTCGGACTTGGCAGTATCGGGTCGGCGCTGGCGTCTCACATAGCGAAAGCGGGCTCGCATACCATCGTATTCATTGGTCGACGCTCAAGAGAAACGGTTCGTGTATTTAGCCTTTCACATTTCATATCCCTAACATACCATTTGAAAGGTAATCAAAGAACTTTCGAAGATATCCTCAGTATCTTCGACAGTAGAATACCTTCAGGCTGATGCTTCGAACAAGGAAGCTCTTCGTCAAGTTCTGCTTGAAATTCGCAGCCGGTTTGGCGCCGTTCGAAATATCATCCACACCGCTGGAGTCGTTCGAGACGCGATCATTCCAAATGTCACTGAACACGATTTTGAGCAAGTTCTGAAGCCAAAAATTGACGGGGCGTGGAATCTACATGTCTTGTCCCTTGAACTGGGTTTAACAATTGATCATTTCGTACTCCTAAGCAGTATCAGGTAAATGTCTGTCGTAAAGCAGGAATCGGAAACGCAGCTGACTGGAAAGTAGCGTTCCTTTAGGAAATATTGGTCAGATAGCCTACGTCGCGGCGAATTCATTCCTGGACTACCTTGCGACGTATCGCCAGACGCTAGGATTATCAGCCGTCTCCCTCCAGCTAGGCGCATGGGAGTCTAATCTCATCCAGAACCTCGACATTTCTAAGGGTCTCGTGAAGCCTCTTAGCCACGTGGAAGGTATCCCGATAATAATGAAGGCAATAGGACACGCCAGAAAGCATCCGGATCCAGTCCAGGTTATCGCAAAGTTTGACATGGAATTGATGGGTGAGATCCCGGGGTTGAAAGAGGACAGCATGTTTGCGTCTATCATTGGTGACATCGGCGGTAATGTCCCTTCACTGGCGATGACAAGCGAAGAAGCAGAGGAAATCTTCATTAATATTATACGAGACGTCCTCGAGCTGAGAAAAGGGGAGCATTTAGGTCCGTACAGTTATTTTGCCTCTCCCACTACACTGCGCTGATTATTTGCACCTCTAGATCTTGGAGAGTCTTTGACAGCCAGTGGGATAGACTCGATTGCTTTTGCACAAATTCGTGGACGCCTGCTGAAGGATACAGGTGCAGACATTCCTATGGTCTATCTTTCGGACGTGTTCTCAATGAGGGACATGATTACTAGTGTCTGCGAGAGGTTTGGCAGTATATAGACATAAGGACGTGGCGATTCTAGCTATTTCAGATGCAAAAAAAAAGACAAAAAGAAAGTGCTGCTTACCGTTGTCAACATGAAAATAACTGCACTATTGTCTTTTATATAGCTCAGTGGTTATACATCAGTATGACTGTTGAGTCCGAAAGTTTTGGTCCTGGGTTCGAGCCTCGCTAGGAAATTACAATAGGCGAGATTACCTGCGGCTTTGATCAACAGTAGAATTAAACTGTTCGATAATCATTTTATACCTACGGGTGAATTCCGCCAGTGCGGGTCGCCAAGCTCAATTGTCGATGTAAGACAAATCAGCCAGTCACATGATCTAAGTTACCAATATTCTGACTTCTGAGTCCCAGGCTTAGACTTCGACGTCCATTATGCCTAAAGCTTCCACGAAATTTGCTGATCCAGATGGGACAGAAGAAATTGTAAGCTACAGTTAATTTTTTTTCACTTGTCTCATTTTCCTCTAGCTACGCAGCGATGCAATAGAGAGGTACGGAGTGAAGCCCGTTGACCTGGACACACTCCGTCCTGTTCGTACAGAGAGGGGCTACAAGAATGTGCTTGTGCGGTATTATAACACAGGTGATGTTGAGGCCCTGGAACAGCAGTTAAAGCAGGATCCATCATTGTCGAAAGTACATACCTCGCCAAAGAAGACCGTAAAAAAGAAAGGGGGCAAGATCTCGAGAACGACTGCTATGAGGAATTTTAATGTGAGTGTGTTTCATGCTTGGATAAAATTGACCTCATGGGGCTTGGATATAGCTCAGTGATATAGAAATGGATAGGATCAAGCCAAGAGACGTGAAGGATAGTCCGACGAAGAGGGATGCACACCGAAAGATGTCCTGGTATAATTTGGTTGATGTTGAAGTGAGAACTATCTCTGTGATTTGTTTTTTTTTTCGAATCTAACCCCAATAAGAATTTGGCACAGGAAGTCCACTCTACAGAGAAACAGGATTCCGACAACAAGGAAAGCAGGGAGGTATTACCGGTAAGCTTGTTTTATAACTTGAGGGCGCTGGTGACTGGATCTGACAAACAATTTGAAGGCTCAGACGTCTTCCTCTATTTCGAAGGAGAAAATGAAAGAAGACGACAAAGTCGCTGCCGTTTCCGAATCTCCAAGCCAGACTAAGAAGGCCGGCAAATCACGAGCGAAACGTTCGGAGTCTGTTAAGAACGCGTCCTCTTCGAATCTTTGGAGAATGGCTGTCAGGAGGGATGATTATGATGATTACGACGACGATATGATGAGAGATGGTATCTTTGATGGAATGGACAGCGATGATGCTGCAGCGTTGCGTGAGTGCTTCATATTATTATCTCGATTATATCTTCTTACTTCAACAGTCGCCCGTTTATTGAGATGATGATTGGTTTTCTTTACTTTGACTGAGACTTTTTGTACTTGTACTAGTTCCGGTAGTTCTTCCGTCGGTCGGTAGGAATACACGGCCCTGTAATAGTACCATTTGTTTTCTTCCGCGCGTATAAATTGTGAGCTACCAATGAGCTACTGTCAGTTTCACAGACACGGTACCAAGACATGAAATAGTGCGTTCACAGTCTACAGAGTAAACTGGTTCAATACTAAAACCAATGTGGCTAGACGAAGTTGATGCGCACCTGACAGATCAAAATAGATGGACGGACCCGAGTAAGGGTCCGATCACTTTGATTCTTACCGCCACAATGTTACTTTCTCTGCCTACCGAAGTGATAGAACGCATCATCTATTTAGTACGGAGCCCGTTGATTTTCAATTCTACGTTCAAATCTGATACGCTTCTGCAAGGCTTGCGATACCGTCCGCACGGCCCTCCGATCCACATGCACATATTTGTGCAAGATCGCCACGCCCATTGTCTTCGAGACGCTGGTCATCGATATCACGAAATCCCATTTCTTTAATTCCCATGATCGAACAAGTTATTTTGGAACCATCGTTTCCAACAAGACATTCACGCAATATGTCAGACACTTGCACCTTGTCTCGCTGAAGCCCCCAAGCAGGAAGCGTATGGGCCCGTTAGATTGGATTTTGTTCAAGAGACTGAGGGAAAAGAGCTCGAAGGATCTGGAAAGGTTGCTCGTCATTGCGATACCATACTTGACATCGCTGCAGAGCATTCTGTGAGATCCTTTCATTCTTGTACAACGTGTTGGATTGACATCGTTTAGGTACGACGGATTCGATAAGAGATTCCTCGAAAATAGCGCTCTCTGGAAGCAGATATCGACACTACCCTCTGTGTCTTCGCTATCAGTACACGGCTGGCACGGTAACCGCATCCCCATCACTAACCTCCCCAATCTCGCCAAGCTCAACATCATAGGGTCCGATTGCCTCTCATCTGTAGCCGTACTCATAGCGAACAGTCCGAACCTATCATCACTTGGCGTCTACCACTGTTTTCATCCTGCAAGCCTCTTTCCCCCATCCCTGCTCACTCTCTTTTGTTGGTATCCAAGTGGAACGTATAGCTTCCTCACTGAATTATCTCTTTGCGGGAACTTCACTTTGCGCCGACCCGAAGTTCCCCTCCTGGTTCCCCACCTTCATCACTTGCGATCTCTTGAACTCTGCATAGATTTCATACCGCCAGAGTTCTGGGCTTCATTACAGGTGGAGCAGATATTCGTTCGGCAGTTATCGCTCACCATTTTGAAATCTGAGCCGGTGGTTTTCGACTACTTGTGCTCTTATACAGGATTGGAAAGCCTGTTCCTGTGCATCAGGACAGGGTCCAGGAAGGCGGCCAGGAGAGATGTGAAAAGGGTAAACGAGAAACACGGGAAGACGCTGGTACAGCAGACATGCGAGCTACCAGGGTTTTCGTCAGTATGATGCTGAAAATTCGTATGGTATATTGGACACAGATATCGTCAAGTGATCTACGATACGAAAGAAACCTAGACAAGTTTGCCCCTAACGTAACTCGTTGTACCTCCGTAATGCATGCGAAACATTTACGTTGCGCGACCCTTTTGCCAGACTCTGTGAGGACACCTTAAGTACGTTTTTCCCGGTCAAGGATGCACGAGTGGGAGGTGGAAGGGGAAACGTGTACTGCTGCTTATGGGCTAGTACGAGAACCTGAAAGAGGTCGGAGCATTTACGAAAATTGGAAAACAGGTTTCAGAACTTCTATCAGCTAATCACAGCTACGAATTCCCGCCAAACGGAACCAGACCTGATATTTAAAAGAATAATATACTGCGCTTGCAGAGGGAAGAAAAGAGAAATGACGGTCAAAGATGAGAACAGAACATCATCATGTGCCCTGGAGGAAAATGACGTGTAACCGTACCACATCGTGATATTTGAACATTATAGAAATAACAAAGAATAAAACAAAACTCACCTTAGACGCTTAGAACAGGAGAAAGATCCCAAACCAACCAAACCTGGACATGACATGAACTTAGTAATATCACGTCGCGAACCTTGAACTGTACATGTAGTCGTAAACACTCCAGTGCCACAATACGAACGTTGTCACTAGATACATGAACAATAGCATTAGCTTGCAAAAGAAGCACAATGGACATCTTATGCAAGAAACGGTGTGCAAGCAAATGTAGCGCATCCTATTAGATAGCAAAACTACTTCTAGGTAACATTTCGTATCAACCTCGCGTATCTCGAATATCAGGAACCTCGGAACGAACAGCTCATGATTTATCCCCAACAACATAAATCACATCCTCCATGACTCGCGTCTTCATCGCAAAGCCACGTACGGAAAAAAAGAGAAACATTGCCCCCACTCGGCCCTCCCCCAAAGTTGAATCCCGCACAGAAGACAGGAAGACACCGAACTCCTAGCGCGTATCATATCCATCGTCGATCCCCCTGACGGGCAGATCCTGTAGCTTCCCATCACCATCCATGACGGTTCACGCATACCTCGCCCTCTTCTTAGCCCTAAGCTGCATCCTCACCAACCTTCGTCATCCTCAAGCTCCGATAAACATCATCAACAGGGCGAGGGACGCGCCCCCCCCTCTTCCAGTACTTTCCCAAATAAGTGCTTCGACCCTGCATGAGCACGTCTTCCGTCTTTCCGGTGGTGGCTGCGTCTCATGATCCCAGTCTGACATTGCATCATGCGAGGATTGACAGCCAGATGCATCAGTAGAATTCTTCCTACTTTCACCTCCCGACGATAAATGACAGAACAAATTCGGACTTGATGCTGAAGCCAAATGAGTGCCTAAAGACTCTAAGCTGGTACGAACGAGGTTCTTGTAGAGTCACAGGGTGCAGAGAGACGAGGTTTTCTGCTCTGGACTTTCCGTTCACGCATCGTGGAAGAAGATGTCGCTCTCCTCGCACTGGGATAATGATGCCCCCAAGGTGAGGAGGATATTGACCAGAGGGGAGAGATGTCATCTTCGCGCCTCTGGCATCTCGAGGCTATGAACGTGTATCGTCGTCGTCGTCGTTACAGGCAGTTGGTAGCCTGGTTCTTTATCTGGATCTCCGGGGAGGGTGCCCGTCGACCCTCTCCATCATCTTAGTCTCGGTCTTGAGGAGAGCTTACATGCGGAGGCGTATCGTACTAGCCAGAAAATATAAATGCTGTGATAAATGTCAATAGTACTGTGATTGCTCACCTGAACAGCGCTGTCGTACATAAAAAATGACCGTACATACAAGTAGACCTCTGCTCGTGTCAGTAAAAAGAATAATCCGCCAAGGTTTGGCTCACCGTGTGCGAAATGTTCTGCCATAGCTCTGTTCACGCCGCAAAGTATCGTTGTCTTACTCACCATCGATTGGCTCATGGAGAACGGTGCTGGGCTGGGGTATGGTCAGTAGTTGGTATTCCCATTCGAGGCTATATGCTACGTCAGACGGAGTCATTGGTAAGGGTATTCAACGCACTGTTGCATAAAGCCCATGTTCGTACACCCAGTGCCGATTCTCTGTCGACCACTGCATCGTCCTGATCTCATCTGCCCCATTCTCGCTTGTGCCGTCGTCTACGCACTTCAGGATCATGGCGTGGTGCAACACGTAACGGAAATGATCCCGGCATTGAGAGAGGCTCAAGGTAGTGCTTCTTATAATCATACCGAGACCGGATCCGATGAATAAAATACTCTCTAATCGTCTGAGCACGCAAAAGGCGCTTTCTTGATTTATTTAGATATCTGTCATCAGCCACACACTGACTATATGCAAAAGGTTCCCTCACCAGTCCAGACAACAAGACAATTAAGGCACCGACACAGTTTGTGTAAGGTAAAACGAGACCTTACATACAGGGTTTCGCTCGCAGACTCTACAAAACGACATGTAATGTTAATCTCATTACCTCAAAGGGAGGAAAATTTTTATGTCGTGCTAAGACGTTCGGACGAAACCATTTAAGGTCTTGTTTTTCCCTCGTACCTGCCGCTGGAGTGCGAGCAAGTGGGGACAACGGTCTGGTCTACGAGAGCCTGAGAGCATCTACTGCAGTTATCTTCCTCTTTGTGTTCAGTCTTGGGTGGTGGCGAGGGCGACTCGAGCTTGATGCGTTTGCGAGGACAAGAAGCATGGGCAGAAGCAAAGGAACTGCTAAGAATGCTGACAAAGCTCGCCGGCCGAATCGGAACAGCGGCCCGCGGGATTCGTGCCGGATTCCAGCAACGTTCTTACTTAGCTCTGATTTCTCTGCTCAATCTGTGCTTTGACATTCGGATTTTCTGACTTCTTCCCGAGTTTTTTCATGCTCCTCATCGTCTATCAAAACCACTTACACGTGTTCCTACACTTGGCTTTCTGCCCCTTTGAGCGACATCATCTAATTTATCATTCTGCCGTATCTCATCATTCCTTTCGCACATCAGCGGTATCATTACACTCTACCGAATCCCTTGTTGGCTGTCTACATTAAAATCTGTGTTTCCGCTCTCCGACCCGGTCTATGGTGATACCAAAGTCGATCCCAGGAACAACCTTTCTATACGCGTCATTGCGCAGCGTTACGCACAAGTCGAGCTTGATATCAAGGACCTCCATCTGCGGAGTTAAAAATCTTTTTTGTCAAGATCAGGAAAGCGTATAGCTCCCCTTCACTTCTCTACTTCTTTTCGACATCGCTTGAGATGATCAGATGATCTAGAAACTGCGATATGGTTACAGTAGCTTTGGAGACGTCTGGTGAGTGTCCTAGTCGTTCACATTGATTCAACATCTTTGGCGACCCCCAACATCCTGTGCATGTCTCCCAGGAGATTTATATGAAGTCCATTGTTTACAACGCGAATAACAGAATTCAGCATCTGTTTATCATGTAGCGTTGGTTACACCCAAAAAGTTTTTCCACCCCATGAACAATGCGCCAAAAATAAGTCGGATAGCTTGCTAAACCCTAACGCCGCCATTTTCGATCCTTAATAATAAACATCGAGTCTCCATGCGAAACCGTCAACCGCATTCTTCCTCACCAATCAGCTACAGGTAGCTTCTAGTCTTCTGTATTATGTCTCAGATCGATCCCGACATCCAAGTACTCACACCGCAGTATGCTGGCTCCTGGGTCGACGGCGCTATCATCCAGTCGCTAACCCATGGTGAGAGTATTATTTTAAACCACAATCATTCAGAAACTTATTCAGACTATCACTTAGGAATTTACACAGCATTTCTTGCTGTTGTACTGTGGCAAATTCGTGTGTAGTTGATCTAGCTTACACAATTGAATCTGAAAAGTCCCTTGCATAGTGTCGAGCACAAACACCCATAGGCGGCAAGTGAAGGTCCTCGCTGGTATCTCGGTGTTCATGTACATCATTGCGACGATCCACGTTGCCCTGATATGGTTCTATATCAGGAAGCAATTCATACCGAAGGTGGAGACAGAAGAAACAAGATACTTGGCCCTCAGGGACTGGATGACCACTGCTAACCTTACGTGGGCCTTGACGATGAGTGATATCGTGGCAGGCATCAATATATTTACTACGGATAGTGTTACCGTATGTCTCCTGCCCGCACTTCCGGAGAAGCAGATGTTGAATTGAACTTCATATTAGATTTGGAGGTGCTGAATTATCTGGAGAAGGAACTGGAGAGTCGTCATCATGCCTTGCATATGCACGTTATGCGGAATGAGTAAGTCCATATATTCTAGTCTGGATGATCTCTAGTCACTTACTCATCGAAGTCTTTGGCATTTTGTACCTCCTTCAGGTTCTGGCACCATGGTTTGATTCACAAGGAAATCTTTCGGGGAGAACCTCCATCCGCTGGGGATTAGCGTTTTACGTTATGGCACTCCCTACAACGCTCATCTGTACTACGCTCATCGTGTACCGCCTGGTTAAGGCGATCAAGACTAAGAGTTCCCCGCACTTCATGCCGAACCTGTACTACCACATCATAGAGATCTTAGTAGAATCATCCGGACTGTATGTCTTTGTCCTGGCGGTCTTCATCGTGTTCAATGGGACAAAAGGTCCTTACAGCATGTATCCGGGAGCGGTGCTTGACTCCGTCGTTGTGAGTTGGAAATTCTTTCGCTTACAAATAAAACTCACAGGGATTTTGGGCAGGGAATCGCACCGGCGTTGATACTTTTTCGTGTTTTTTCCAGGAACTTGGATACGGGCCCGTCGCAAGATGATATACATCCGCGGCCTTTACATTGCCTACCGAGATCGCAAACGGAAGGCAGTGAAACAGGTGTGGATGATAATGAGGTGATGTTCATTGGTCCGGAAAAGACGGCCGAAGTGGTATGAGCGGTGTGCGATCGTCATCTTGGAGATGATAGTTGATGCCTTGTTGATTCCATATGCCCATAAATAGGTTCTCTGAAGATATGTTTCCATCCTATACATTACCTTGTGACCTAGTATACCGCCAAATATCAGAAGCCCTTTAAAGAGATAGGTCGTAGAAGAGGGCCTCTGCGAGCTCCAAGTGAGTCTATCACGCTATCAGATCTCATCTTATTCAGTAGAAGAGATGGTGATCGTTCCACATTTATATGGCAGATCGTTCACGTCGCAACGAGTAGCAGCCGAGAAAAACACCGCTTACGAACGAACAAAGTTACGTTCGTGATTCTGTAGCGAGAAGAATGGCTGATGTGATGATATTTTTATCTTGGGATGACAGATCCTTCTCGGTCGGGACAGAGTTGGGCTACAAAGACGCGTGGAAGCGGTGTCCTTTTTGTTCGTAATGGATGAACGATATACAGATAGATGTCCTGCCAATTGATCATATTTCAGTTACGATCGCCGCCCACGTAGTAATCTTGACCTTATGGATTAAAACGAGAAACCCTAAAGGGGGTGCCTTGTTCCTCCCCGGGCCTGTGAGACACTTACAGCTCCTGATTATTAAATCCAATGATCAGGGATCTCATTGCAGCTACATTGACCACTCACGCAAAGTCTGAGGGCGCTATAACCCCCTGCTGGATGGTCTCCTTTGCCTTTCCGGTATCTTGACTATTCCAACGATATTAGCGTCCCTATGTTCCTTTATACTCATCCTTCGGGAGCGATACCCATGCTGATAAAGCGTGGACTGAGGCAGTATAAGACCTCGTCATACCAGGATTCAAGCAGGACTTTAGATTTAACGCATTGCCCCGGTGCAGTCGGCGTTGTTTCGGCAATTCGGCTTTGGCACGCCCACGGCCAAATAAAGACAGCCTTTCCAATGTTCAAACGCTTCTTTTTCTTCGCTCTTCCACAATCGGTCCTTTTTCTTACAGGAAAAAGCTCTCGATTTATCGATAGGCCAAGCTTGCGGTGTTCTCAATCTTCGCTCTCGGCATGGTGTCAGAATCTCCCGGCATGAGCATTTTCAGATATCGATTAGTAAAGTCTTTCTCAGCTGACGATTTCGCCATCTTGCTCATCAATAGATAGTCGCTCATCGACATCCTTTTCTCCAATTTCCATCATCATATCTCTCCAACATGACGAACAAACCCGTAGCTGTTATCGCAGGTAGAATGCCTTCAACATTCGCGTCGACAAAGCTCATTCATTCGCTTTGAATACAGGTCTTGGTTTGGGTACTGGAGGCGAGGAGAATTCTGCGTTCGACCCTTGCGTGTGTGCGTTCAACTGCGTTTGCGTGCGTTCGATGCGTTCAACTCCGAGTTGAACCACTTGACTTCTGGTCGCTTAGATTTCTTCTCCCCATTTTCTGCTTCTAGTCATTCCCTGCCGGTATAGGTGCTATATTATGATGCATTTTGGCTATACCAAACCAGGCCCGCCTTTCGTATGCAAGATCTGGTTCGGCCTCCAGTCAGCTTCTTCGACTCATCACTCATCCTGCAAGACTTCAACATGGAACTGTCGCCAGTCAATCCTGGCGGGGGCATCTTCATCCAGTAGTTCATTATCATCACCCATCCAAGATTCCTCTTCCTCCAAAACCCACGGAAACTCCACATTGGTGCTCCGACGGTTGGAGTAGAAACCTTTTAAGGTCTTGTTTTTCCCTCGTACCTGCCGCTGGAGTGCGAGCAAGTCCGGTCTTCGAGAGCCTGCAAGCATATAATGCAGTTATCTTCCTCTTTGTGTGCTGTCTTGGGTGGTGGCGAGGGCGACTCGATCTCGACACGTTTCCTAGGAGGACTAGAAGTATGTGAGAAGCAAAAGGAATTGCCGTGCCAGAGGGTGCTGACAAAGCTCACTGGCCGAATCGGAACAGCGGCCGGATTCGAGTTGCGTCCGAGTCTGCCATGCCATGGCCATGGGCACTGCCGCACTTGAGCCATGAAGTCAACTGCCACCATGCCTGGCTCTGATTTCTCTTCTCAATGTGTGCTTTTACTACCGGATCTTCTGATGTCTTCCCGGGTGTTCTTCGTGCCCCTCATTGCCTCTACCAGAATCATTCACGCGTGTTCCCACACTGGCTTCTCGCTTTCTTGGCTTTCTGCCCCTTCGATCCTCATAGACATGACCTAATTTATCATTGTGTCGTATCTCATCATTCCTTCGGCATCTCAGAGCTAGTGTTATACTCTCCCCAATCCGCTGTCGGCTGCCCACATTAAAATCTGTGTTTCCGTTATCCGACCGGCCTACGGTTATACCAACACCGATCCAGAAGCAACCTACAGCGCTTCCAGAAAATAATGGGAATGGCAGAAAATGGCGTCATCAGTTACATCGACCAATTAGTCTGATATATTTACTCAGTTTGGTCATAACCCTTCGACACATTTGGCGACGTCTGGGCGGCTCAGGGGCCAATGGTTTAACGATGTAAATACCCAAAAGAGTATTTACAAGGTGGTTTCACACAGCAAACATGACGACGTCATTTCTGGCAATTCTCATTATTTTCCGGAAGCGCTGTAAGTTCTATGCTTGTTATCGTGCATTGTTCCGCCCAAGTCGCGTTTGATATCAAAAACCTCCATCTGCGCAGTTAAGATATCTTTTTTTCTATCAAGATCAAGAAACGTATAGGTCTTCTTCACTTTTAGGTGATGGATATGCAGTTCATTGCACAGTGCAACGAACGGAATTTAGTATCTATTCATCATGTAGCGGTCGCTACACCCATCAAAATATTTCCACCATCGGAATAATGCGACTGAAATAAGATCGATAGCTTGCTAAGCCTTAAATATCCGGGGCATCTCGTTCGACCCTTGCGCATAAATGTCGAGGCTCCATACGAAACCGTGAAACCCCTTCCTCCTCGCTAATTAGCTATTGGTCTTCTGTACCATGTCTCAGATCGATCCCGATTTTGCATCTATCAAAATAATCGCTACGCAGTATTCTGATTCCTGGTTCAACGAAGTTATCATCGAGTCCCTAACCCATGGTAAGATTCCAGTTTTAAACCAGTCGTGCAGAAAATTATTATGACTTAGGAATGTACACAGCATTACTTGCCGTTGTAACACAGCGGATTCGTGCGTAGTTAATCCTAACCTACACGATTGGAATTGAAAGGTCCATTGCATAGTGTCAAGCACAACTACCCGTAGACGGCAGGTGAAGGTCCTCGCTGGCATCTCGGTGTTTATGTACATCATGGCGACGATGCACCTTGCCATGACGTGGATCTATACCAGATGGGCATTCATAACCAAGGGAGAGACAGAAGAAACGAGGTACTTCGCCCTCATGAACCCCATGTGGGCCTTGACGATCAGCGATATCGTGGCAGGTATCAACATATTTACCACGGATGGTGTTACCGTATGTATCCTGCCAGCACTTCTGGAGAAGCAGGTGCTGAATTGAATTTTTTATTAGATTTGGAGGTGCTGGATTATCTGGGAAAGAAACTGGAGGGTCGTCATCCTTCCTTGCATATGCACCATGTGCGGATTGAGTAGGTTCCTAGACTCTAGGCTGGATGAAATCTTGTCACTTACTAATCCAAGTCTTTGGTATTTTATACTTCCTTCAGCTTCTGGAACCATCACTTCATTCGCAAGAAAATTCTTCGGGGAGAACCTCCATCCGCTGGGGATTAGCGTATTACATTATGGCACTCCCTACAACGATCATCTGTACTACGCTCATCGTGTACCGCTTGGTTAAGGCGATCAAGTCTAAGAGTTCCCCGCACTTCATGCCCAACCTGTACCATCACGTCATAGAGATCTTGGTAGAATCATCCGCACTGTATGTCGTTGTCCTGGCGGTCTTCATCGTGTTCGATTGGAAGAATACTCCTTATAGCATGTATCCGGGAGCGGTGCTTGACTCCGTCGTTGTAAGTTGGAAATTCTTTCGCTTACAAGTAAAACTCACAGGGATTTTGGGCAGGGAATCGCACCGGCGTTGATACTTCTTCGTGTTGTATCTAGGAACATGGATACGGGTCCGTCTAGGGATGATATGCATCCGCTGCATTTACAGTGCCTACCGAGATCGGAAAGGGAAGGCAGTGAAGCGGTTGCGGGTGATAGTGATGTGATGCTCATTGGTCCGGAAAAGACGGCGGAAGTGGTATGAGCGGTGTGCGATCGTCATCTTGGAGATGATTAGAGAGGTGGAAATAATAGTTGGTACCTTACCGGTTCCATCCACCCATAATATCCCAGTTCTCGGAGCACCTATTTCTGTTCTATACGTTGTCTTGTGCCGTAGCATAACACAAAGTACCGGAAGTATGAAATGGGATTTGTTGAGATTCGAGCACGGGAGGGAACGAAAATGAGCAACTCGTTTATACCTAGTATGTCGACATGGTGGTAAACGGTAAAGAGAAGAAAACTACGGGTACGGTACGTAACGGGTTCGGAGCCGGTTGATTCCGACGGCTCGTACAGCCACAGTAATTCCAACAGGATTCCCTTGCAGAGGCCTAGGTAGCTCGTAGAACACTGAGTCTCAAGTGAGTCGATGACGCTACCTGATTCTTTATGTCGTCCTGATGATTTTAACAGTGATCCGCTTTTTCTAATCCTTTTTGAAGGAGCGGTTCATTGTCTTTCCCTCGCGCCCTTCTGAGGTCCAAATTTAGGAACACCATAGGCTACTGCGTTACTTTTATTCAATGTCAGACCGTTGATCTTGAAATTTTGCAGCGTCGGCGTCTTTAGGATTTAAATCTACGGTAGTTAAGAGCGTACGCTGTCATTATGTACGCTAACACGTTGTAGGTTACTGATGGGGTCTATTGGCAATGTTAGACCTACTGTTATTCCGATAACGTTGCTAAGAACAGGAGGTCACCACCTACTCTGCTTTATATTATACGAACGGGTATTTTAGCATTCAAGATTGAATAATACCAGCCATGGTTTGACTAGGCTCATTAGCGTGCCCGCTTACAGCCTCTTCTTCCGTACCACAGTTGCCATTGAGATGACCTCCGAAACTTTCAGCCAGGCATTGCCCTTCTTGTCCACCAGCTTCTTCGTCCGTTGTACCTTGGCTTTGACCCCCAGGACTTGCTCCGAAGCGAAGCGAAGAAGCTGAACTAGAGGTCCAAGAATCATTGGGTCGTGCATGACCTGCGGCGACTCGTCCCACGATAAGAGTTGGTGCGATTCCCTGCAGAAATATTTCAGCCTGTGGAATCAAGTACGTCCTTGAATTAAACACCTACTCGTGCGACAGGAGCGATGACGTCGAAATACGAGCCTCCTGGATTGTTTATGGCTATGAATACAGTATAAATGAGGAGCGTGACGGAATAGAGCAAGGCCGATTCCACGAGTATTTCGATCACGCCTCTGTATAATTGAATACCACCATGATTCGCTCTTCCAGCCACAAAGATCCTGATCATAATAAGGATGGTGCAGACCATAGTTGTTGCCACAGAGAGAGAGAGGTACGAGATCGTCCACATCGTTTCAATGTGATAGGAATTGGTATCCGCAATGTTATTAGTGTTGTCATGGACGTAATGATATGTTTGAAAGACCTTGGTAGCTTTATAATTGATGAGACATCGACATATGAAGAATTGCGATGGGTTGACGTACCTGTTCCGGCAAGGGAGCAGAGGGTGGGGAGAACGATCATGGGCCATCGTCGTCCCCAGACTGTCCAACACCGCCAAATCTACAAGAAATACGTCAAGGCTGTTGTATTATATGGAGAATTGTGCCTGACATACCATCGATATATCCGCGAGGATAGTACTGATCCCACCGTCAATGTTTATCGTCAATGACATCCTAAAGGATGTAGGACTGTGTCCTTGGAGCGCTCCAAATACAGTGAAAAAGTTCCACCCATTCTGTATAAATGCATTGTGTGTGAACGACCAGTCCGTTCCGAAGGTTACTGCTTCCAAGATGAAGAGACACGAAATGATGGTGATCATGATTTGTTTTCCTCGGCCGCTTTCAGACCGTTCCGAGGAAACTACCTCATCGTGTTAGCAAATTTAAATAGATAAGTACAGTTACACGAACAGATATTCCACATTGTAGCACAGAAGACGCCCGTATAGATTCCTGTAGTAGTATCGAAGGAATGCAAAGCACTCGGATCTAGGGTGACATACCGAAAAGTGATGCTTCCATAATTGTTATATTGAGATAGGTATTTGTAGTTTCGAAGATGATTCGTAGGTCTTCAGGGGAGAGACTCGGGATTGTTGTTGTCATCGACATTGCGGTGGAAATTTTGATGGTACAAGGACCGCTGAGGATAAACGGCTGCATTTAAAGAAAACTTAAAGGGTAAGGGATCCCGAGTTTCATAACGAGCGAGTAACCGGAGCATCGTCTAAAGCCTTGCCGCAAATAGTGGTAAAAATTTCACCGCTGATGGATTGTATTGAGAGGATGCTGAAGCGAATACTGTCGTCATACCGTAAGTGATATTCATGGCTCGACGAAGTTAGCCATGAGGCCACTCCCTTGGTTTCTCGAGCTTAAATGAACTCATCATAAGAATGAGATGATGATTCTCTGTTGGAGCTGCGGCAAGAAAATCAATATCAGATCCCATCTTCTTCAGTAGAAGGGATGGTGATCGTTCCACGTTTACATGGCAGATCGTTCACGTCGCAACGAACAACGGTCGAGGAAAAACACCGCTTACTGGCGAACTAGATCACGTTTATGATTCAGCGAGAAGGATGACTGACGAGATGAGATTTTTACCTTTGGAAGATTGATCCTTCTTGGACAACGGCTCGTTGGGACAGGGTTGGGCTTAAAAACCTGCGTGGAAGCAGTGTTCTTCTGATTCATAATGGATACACGGAGTATGGATAGATGTTCTGTAAATTGATCATGTTCAGGTTGTAGTCACTGCTCGAGCGAGGAATCCGAAAGAAAGTTGCCTTCTTCCTCCCCGGGCCTTTGAGAGTCGAGACACTGACAGCTCATGATTATGACCGTCGATGATCAGAGATAGGGATCACGGCTACTATGCTGATTACTCACGCAAATTCTCAGAACGTGGTGGACAGCCTGCTTTGATGCAACGTGGAGTGTAAGCCGGCCGGTTCTCCTCCGAACGTCTGAACAGAGTCAACTTGTTACATTGCCGGTTGATTACCGGAGGATCAGCATTGTTTCGGCATTTCCAGGTTGACACGCCACAGCCAAATAAAGACAACCCTTCCAATTTTCAAACGTCTTCCCTTTCATTGCTCTTTAACGATCGGTCCTTTTTGCTTACAAGAAAAGCCTCCGCTTCCTTGAGAGCCAAGCCGCGGTGTTCGTAATCGTCGCTTTCGGCATGGTGTCAGAATCTCCCGGCATGAGCATTATCAGACATCGATTGGTAATGGCTTTCTTAGCTGACAATTTCGCCATTCACGAATAAATAGTCGCTCATCCTGCTCTTCAATTCCCATCATCATATCTCTGCAACATGATAAACAAACCCGTAGCTGTTATCGCAGGTAGATTACCTTCAGTACTCTCGTTGAGAAAGCTAGCTAACTCGCTACAAATACAGGTCTTGGTTCGGGTACTGGCACTGGCGCGGCAGCAGCGTACGTTTTTCTTTCTCTTCTCTTGCAAAAATTATCTGATAAAAAGCAGGCGTCTCTTCGCCAAAGAAGGCTATGCGATAGCTCTCATCGCTCGTGGCGCCGACTCTCTCAAGGCCCTCTCGGACGAGATTACCTCTGCTGGCGGAACCGCCGCCCCATTCACCATCTCATCCTACAGCACAGCAGACATTAACTCTGCCTTCGCCCAGCTACATGCTCACTACCAAGGCCAGCCTATCCGGGTTGCACTCTACAATGCCGCCCACGGCGTCTGGAAGCCATTCCTCGACGTCACACCCGACGATATCCAAGCTGTGACACAGACCAATATCGAGGGGGCTTTCACTTTCTCGAAGAACATCATCCAAGCATTCCAGAAGAACAGCTTGGATGAGAAGGGCAAGAGAGGGTCGTTGATCTTTACGGGAGCTACAGCAAGCGTGAGGGGGAACGTCACGACCAGTGCATTCTCAGCTGGGAAGCATGCGTTGAGGGCATTGTCGCAGAGTCTGGCGAAGGAATTTGGGAAGCAGAACATTCATGTCTCCCATGTGAGTTGCTCTCGTCGCCATTCCGACTGCAGTCATTGACCGACAACCGCAGGCTATCATTGATGGAGGTATTTTGACGAACAGGACCCGCGAATATCGCAATGACCCTGAATGGGAGAAGAATGAAGATGTGCGATTGTCGCCGGACGGTATAGCAGAAGTATGTAGGTGTCGCGTGCCATTGATGACTGATGTTGAACCACCATCCTAGTCGTACCTGTATCTTGTCAGGCAGCCTCGGTCGACCTGGACTTGGGAATTGGATCGTGAGTCATATTTTCAACGTTCTTGCTTCTTTGCTGATGTGTAGTATTTGACAGTTCGTCCTGCTCACGAGAAGTGGTGACACACTTTCAGCAATTTAGTAGTTCAAGCTATCGAACCAGAACATCGTTGTAATATAACTACAGCTGTCTTCTAGCACCCTAGTCAATGCAGTTTGCAATACCGTATCTTCATTCCTTTGACTGAGGTTCAGACTAAAAATAGGAATCATCAGAAGACACGCAACTCGCACCTGGGATTCTTTCACTGGTAATATTTCAATGCCATGTCATCCTCCTCAGTAACTTTGCCCTGAGACTCACGATTATTATCGGTCTAGTTTTCCTCTGGACCTAGAATAGGCTGTTATATCAGTGGATCTATCGCTCTTTCAGGACACTGTGAACTTCCATGACCTTATCGGCTGCTACTCCGCCGTGAGCTGACTACTCGGACGTTTACAACTTGCGCTGCGTCGATACATTTATAGGATAAACCCGCTAATGAGTTGGAGTACGCGAAGCGCTTAACTCTGGAAACGGCTGAGAGGCAACATTTCGCGACCTGGGCAATGTTGAAAGTCAATGCTGACGTTCTTTCTCCTCTGGTCTCTGCTGTTGGGTTTATTAACTACTCCCACGTTGGCGTCCGCGGACCGTCAAAGCCACACCCGCCGTAGCTGCCTTTCAAGGACCAGCGAGAGTCAGAAATGGCCGTTCTCATCTGGGACGGTGATAAAGGGAAACACTGTGTTCTCCTTGTCGATAGCCCATCGACCCTTCATTAGGTGAAATAGCTTCTACCGTTGGCAGGATTACCGCTGTGCTTTCTGCACATGATTTCAATACCATTGGCTAACTATATCCGGTATATCTCACTGCACAACATAGGAAAATTTACTCGCAATCAGGCTAAAAGACATTTTTCCCAGTGTGGATTGTCCTGTCCTTTTAGGGTGCAGGATCGCTTCTGTTCTCCGTTCTATGGCTTGTAACTACAATCGCCACTTCCGTTTCTCCATTCCCTATTCTATGCCTAAGGTCCGGACTATTTGAGGGGTATATGCAGTTTCCGAAAGAGGGAAATCAGTTTCGAATCTCGATTTTCATACTAGCAGAATATTTACGATGGACGCAGCCTCTCGTGGATACATTCTAACCACGCTGTTTGAACGCCCTTTCTCCGATTGAGTGTGATATTCAATGTGTCTTTCTTCCGAAAACGATGTCCAGGCCCTCGGTGGATATGCCCTGCTTTTCAGTATGTGGAGCATGCATCGCTAGGGTCAGATACGATAATGGATATGCAGGTACCAGTCTTATCTTCATGCACTTTCTACCGACGATTCACCTTTACGCCAAGGTATCTGTTCTAGTGTTTTCCCTTGTTTCGTGACGCTAATTATGGTTCAATGTCTCTTAACGCTTAAGCCATTGTTGAAAATAAAGGCACTTTAATAACCGTAAGAAATCGTGACAAACTTTACGTGGTGTATACAAGATGTATCGGGACAAATTTCAAATACGTCAGTCAGAAGGAAATGGGTCTCAACGAAGGTAAGTAAATAATTTGGATTTCTTGAGCAATGTTCCCCTCTTCCACAACGGGGCTAAACCGGGAAGAAATGAAGGACACTAACAAGACCGTTGAGCAATGTCACGGAACCAAAGGAAGGAACACGCCATGCATATTTAGTTGAGTATTAGGATGCGCAGATGCAACTGCATCGTGTGTAGCACGCAGGGATCCGTCTCTCAAATCAGGCCATCATGAGTATTTCCCCACACTATCAAATGAAATAATATAATGGTCCACCAAACGTTGAGAAGATACCGTTATGGATCTGCTGAAATCCGGAGATGCGAGCACAAAGCGAGGAGTGGTGATCGAAGTGAGGTAAGATTAATTAGACGAGATGTATGTCGTTAGGGAATATAATGGATTCCGGTGAGGGTTCGTGAGGAGACCTGAGTGGTCCTGTTTGCGAAATAAAGGAAATCAGCAAGCGCGAAGCAATTACTGAGGGAAGTAGCCGGTAAGCGCGGAGCAATTACCGATATAGAAAGCCTGTAAGTGCGAAGCTATTACGGGCCGAGGGTGAAGGCAAGCGCTAAGCGTAACCTTCGGGTTGGTGTCAGAAAGCGCTAGGCGTAGCTGATGGTTCACGCAGTGAAGGTGTCCTGAAAGTGGTAGATTGGTAAAAGCTTCTTTAATACAATGTTATCTACGAGTCTATATACTAAGGAAAGGTTTGGGTCATTATTGTTCTACAATGCTCCATAATATTCTAGTGTTAGTAAGAAGAATAGAGAAAGTAAAAGAAAATAAGAGAAAGTACGAGCAAGTCACTACTAGGACCGAGAAGGCCGAGTACGGGCATGTGTTGACTCATGCACCGAATTAGTGGATACCCAATATCCATAACAGATACATATGTTGCCGCTCGTACCTAATCGATCTCTCGCGGAATACTTTCTTCCATCCATTCCTGTATTTTTTCGAGTCCATATAAATCGCAATCTTTCTCAAACTCTGCTGTTTCCGGATCATCAGTGAAAGGAAATGTACCACATTTTCCGTCGAGCATCTATTCGCCTTGCTCGTGGCATGAATCAACCATCGCATCGAGTCAAATGTTACTGGGATTAATATCGTTCTGCGCGGTGGTCAGAGATATGCGCCATGGAACTTGTGAAACGAACTCACATGTACTAAGCCAAGACTAATGCGGCCGATACCTTTCTTGATCTGATCCAGCGAGCATTCTATGTCTTTCCTCGGAATTACACCCTTCTCCACGGTATCTGAAAGCGTCTGGCCATATCGTTTGAAACACAGTCCGACCATCAATCCATCCTTCTCTACATATCCATAATATCGTGCCGCATTCTGATGAGGGTGCTCAGCGTCTCACAGACCCGAGCTTCCTGGATCATATACGACCAAATAGTGGACTTGTCAACATCCTCCGGATGAAATGGATTATGCTGCCAACTTTTATGTAGCTCTCTTCAGGTAAAGGTTCCTGGGCGCGTATTAATCCAGGGGGCGGGATGGTTTGGTATAAAGATCGTGGTACGAGTTTGGCATCACGATTAAGGGCGGAGCGAGCCACATCATTTTCGTCACGAGGACGTCAATTGGGAAGTTGGAGGTAAAAGAAGTCTTCCCCATCCGACCAGAGGAGTGCTCGTAAATGGAAGGAGGCGGCTTCAGAATCCACGATTTCGACATCATGAACAAGACGGGGTTCCCGGATGGTAGGTTCAACGGCAGCCATCGGTTCAACTAGATTTAGAAGACTAAAGTGACTGAATAGAACGGATCGACGGAGAACACGAGGTGTTGAGAATCAGCATCTAAGTTGCTTGAACGATGAAGCAAGTCAATCAACACAGGGGTCCATCAACGGTAACTTGTATTTCATCGGAGCCTGAAATTTAAAAGCCTGGAAGCCTGAGCACACCGGACAGAGGCGACAAAGACTCAGAGGCATCTCCTGCCGATCGCTGGTGCACCTGCACTCGAAAAAGCAGGCAGTTCAACGAATATTGTTAACATATCCGATACATCGACAGGTAGCTATAAATGTTTTTACAGTGTTGAAGAGGGTAAAGGTCATTGATTGCTCCAGATATCGACTATGTCCGTTCAGGAGAAAAATTGCATGAAAAAGGCACTAAGATCCTTATTGCTCAGTCGTGCTGCAACAGGACAAATTCACTAACCGATATCAGAACCATGCAGAGACGGGTGCCAAATATTCACAGCAAGAGCGAACCAGAGCACAGACTGGTAAATCCGCGAGTAAGCGGTAAATGATCCCTTTTTTCGGGGTTACAACTTACCGGTCCGGATGAGCTGTGAATGATTTACCGGATGATTGCCGACCTTCTGTCCTGAATGTGAACATCTATCCCGCCCTTTACGCCAGATACTTATGGACAGTCTTCTTGCCCATAACTCGCAACCAATTAAACCAGGTGTGATACAAAGCTACGCATCATTTTTTTAATATGGCCCAATGTTTTCCACTGACGTTCCGCCTGTCAGGTTCTCTGAAGATTGCCTCGGGGTTTTGGGAAGACATCAATCTCTGCGACAGCACAACACTTATCAGAGCGAATGCGATGAGTAGAAATTTGAAAATGAGAACATGTACTAAGTCTCTCCGGCGAGGGTTAATTTGCTCGATGACCTTCGTGCGCCTATCTTTGATATTGTTATTTTACCATCACTAACCGGAAACACTGTGGCTTTGATAGATCCTAAAACAGTTAGTTGTTCACGAAGGCCAGCGTCGTCAAGGCGACAACCTATACCTGAAAAAAAACAAGGGAAAATAAACAATAGAACCCTTAACCAGATCCGTATTGTTCTTTTCGGTACATATTCCATGCAAAATGAACCCGCGAACTCAATATCCTCAGCGATGAATGCAGTCTCGAGTGAGTGGTTATATCTCGATCCCGGGTACCTGAGGATGTTGAAACGAAGAAGCCCCAGATGAAGCGAAGTACAACGGAGAAACTCGGATAATCAGGCCTGACTTACTCGGACTTCCGCGGACACGGTCGGCTTGCAGCAATGTACGCTGAGTTGTGGTATTCTTTAGATTATAGCAGAATTAAAAGACATTTCTACACTGCTACTGGCTCAGAAACGCTTGATAAGGTTCATTGGGGTAAAACATCAACACCGACTCAGCCCTCGTCACCATAACAAGGTTATGATCCGGTCGTAGGACCTATGGAGCCAATTGCGGGAGCCGTTGAACCTCTGGGTATCCGGCACCTTCGTGGCAAGTGTTCGGCTTATTGCGGGTGGTCGGCATGTGCAAACGGATAGCGACATGCAAATTTCGACACAGCATGGTTTTCATCAGACCCACAAATAAAATTATTGTGCATTACTGATTATACAACGTTGTTCAGTTGTAACACTTTTAAAAACGAGGTTGTAATTTGTCGATATAGAGTGTTTAACGTTTAACGCTAAAAAGCGGACTTGAGTCTTGAGAAAGCCAGTGATGTAATGATAAACTGAGGAATTGACAATGGCATTGCGGCAGTAACTTCCACGATAGTCAAGAAAATACCATAGTACCATAGTACCACTGAAAAATCACGATACCTGGAGAGTCGACAATGCATGGACTCTCTCGAGTGTCGGAGTCTCGAAAGCATCCATTTTCATTTCTTCATGTACATTTATTATTTTCTAGATACTATGTCAGTTCGGACTTTGTGCCTTTTCTCCTCTTACATCTAAGTTCGACATTGAACAATCGACTCAACACTGGCCCCAGGGCAATCCGGCAGATAAATAGCAAGGTGCCGAATAGTTGCTCAGGAAGCGGATGATACCGAAGTGGGGGATCGAGATATAACCACTTACTACAAACTCCGATGAATGACACCACTGCGACCCCGAACGAATCCATTACCTTCCTCCTTCTCCTAGGCCACCAAAATAATGCTGTAACCGAACTTCGCCGAGCGATGAGCTCTCTTTGCCTAGTAGAGGGTTACTTGAACCAGGGAGAATTACTCTTTCGGTCACTTATAAGGGTGAGATTACCGTTGCCATTCTCAGACTTGATGTTAAGTACGGATTCCAGAGTAAAGAACTGCGACCTGAAATTCCGCAAATACAGCCACAAACTCCCTTCAGCATCCCCATCTGCGAAACCAATTCCCCTCCGATGTCTCCTTTATTGCTTCCCACCCGACGATCGTCGCATAATCTACTACTAGAAGCTACGAAACCCGTACCACCTCGGCTGCCAAAATCAGTTCATCGATCGCCGGCAAAACCCCTGGAGGAGGAAGACGTACTATCAGGCGCAGAAGAAGAGTCATCCCTTCCCATACAAGAAACCAAACTCGCTCGTCCACTGCGAAGAATCACACAAAGGACCCCTCCTCCAAGGATCAGCGATGGCTTGAAAGCTGAGCTTCAGGCAGCAGGAATATCGATTGATCCCGCAGAGCCTGCGCCTGTGGGGTCTGTACCCTCGAGCTCGAAGGTGAAGTCGACCGTGTTCTTCGTGATCGAGAACGGTGTGGCGACGAAGCATCAACTTTCAATGCCGCCGATGCGGAATAAGGATAAGGCGAAGAAGGAGAGGAATTTGCTTCAGAAGGTTGTAGATTGGGTGTTCAAATGCGATGCATGAGTCCTTAATTTGGACAAAACCAATGACGGTACTTAACGATTCATGAATACTGAGCAATGAATAATGAACATTCGTGACACGCCTTCTATCATATATGGTCTTTCTCTGTGTAAGCAATGCCAGATGAGGATGCATTGTTTCAATAAGAGATCAACGCGGCCCATGCATCGGAACCGGATTTGGGTGTCGTGCCTATCAGGAAAATGTAAAGTTCAAGAGACATCAATGCAACAGACACTTACATGGTACATGTGAGCCCTTGGATCTCAGATAAATTCATTAGAATGCTGTCCTCCCTCAATATTGTTATGAATTCTGGACCATAGCGCCGAGGTCTAGCGAGGTGAAGGAAAGGGATTCGACTGGCGATCTGAAGCACTTCAGAAAACTTGTAGAAGCATACAGCTGAGAATAACATCGCCATTTGACGTTAACTTTGAACTCCATCGTATTAGACGATCTTTAGTCTCCAGAAGAAGGCAGAACCGCCACGCGTTGTCGTGTTTAGGGGTAAGTCGTGACCGGATTGTTCCGTGGGTCGGAGTCGGAACTTTCGGCCGTAAGTCAACTTTTGACCAGCGACTTCGATGGACATTCGTACCTACCGCCAATTGACAGTCTCTTTTCTCTCCCGTATCACGTATTTAGGGAACGTATCTTGTGAAAAAAGCTAGGTAAGCTTCCGGTCCTACTTGCTGTGTCCATCATTCAACTGTCCTGATCATTACAGTTGGTTCGCAGCACGTTTTCTTCGCTCGTACGATAGTTCTCCTTACTGGAGATATGGATCAAATTTATTGGCAGCCAGCAGGATGTGGCTGAGCGCTAGTCGCACTCATCATGCATCGGGCAACACGTGTTACTGGCCCTTAGCAGAATCATGGAGGGAGAGCGTTCGTCCCATTATCGCGCTCCCAATGTTTTTACGACACTGATAATGCAGTTCTATATTAGCGATCGGATTCCTTCAGATTCTCCAAGTGTGCTATCCCCTACAATTCGACGTCTAGAATATCTTTGATTGCGGCCTCTTCTTCTCCTGCGCGTCGGAGTAGCTTCATCCAAGCTGGGAGAAAATCTGTGACTGTACCATGAATGCGGACGAGCACCGGTTGTTGGACGAATCACCACGTACCAAAATGGCCTAGCTTTCTTTTTATTCAGTCATCCTACGCCACAGATCATATTTCGCGCTTGAATGAATTTGATGTTCGGACCAAAGTCTCATCAAGAATTCATGATCTCGTCATTGCCGCCATCACGAACCATATGTTCTTCCTTTGTCGTCTGTTTTCGGAAGCGCGGTCATACCAGGCCTAAACGTCCGATTTCCTGCTGCGCCTTACTAGGCGGACCTTGCTCTAGTCTTTTTCTATGTTTTCTTCAACGCGACCATTCATATCATTCTCATGTTCTCCTTTAGTACCTTATCGTTCAATCCATCTCATCCACGGGATCCGCCGCGTACCATGTCATGGTGCTTTGTTAACTCGGGTCCATCTCTTATTTCAAAATGTAGTTTCGAGAGACTTCGAGCAGCGCACCGAACAACTGATTTCGGGGCACCACACTACCTCCGCGCTACCCTTTTCTTGCACAAACGAGCGAGCTACTCGACCATTACAGTACCATGACCTCCTCGACTGGGATGACTTCGCGCTTCGAGTATAGCAGTTCCCATATCCCTATCATCAAACCTTGCTGTGATCCGTTCACTCCTTGCGACTTCACAGAATATGAATTCATGGCGCGCACCTACATCCAGAGCAATGAAGCTCTTCTTCCTTCAAAGCACGTTGCTTGTTTGTCACTCGGTTTCAAGGATCCACTTGTACGAGACTGGTTCATGGCCGATATGACGCGTCTTTGCTCGTTGACGCTTACGAACTTCCTGTCTGAATTACGGGCAGCGTTTCTTCCGAGAGACTGGGATCGGAAGATGAAGGATTCCATCTTGGCGACCTATCAGGGAGTAGACGAACCCGTCATCGTATGGATAACACGACTTCGTTCTAAGAACACGTTCCTCCGGAATACGCACCATCATCTCAGCAATCACGAACTCCTCGAACATTTCAAATCACACCTCAATAATCATCTCTCCTCCATACACCTACGCGACACTGATGCTCCGAGGGAGGATGACCTCATGCAGTGGATCCTTTTGATCAGGTGTCTCGAGGAAACGGGTGATGATGCTGATCGCGATTCAGAGAGCGACATAATGACTACCACACCAGTATCCGCCACGCCAACTGATCCACGTCTGCGCAAACGTGACCCAGATTTATCACCAAAACGCGCGACGACCAGTCCTCCTCTTCCTCCCTCGCCCATCCCTCGCACCAACAACGTGCCCAAATCATCGTCCCTGTCCTCACCGCCACCGCCACCCTCATCCCCCACGCCGCTCCTACTCAGAGTTCACAGTCGTTCATTACCGGATCGACCCAAGTTTGATCCATATCCGAGCCTTCCGTCGCTTACGAATGAACAAAGGCACTTTTTGCGGAGTCGGCAGGGATGCTTTCGGTGTAGAAGGATAGGTGTTCGACATGCAGGAGGAGAATGTCCTCATGGGGAGCCTAATCCAGCAAGTTATCGTGGTATCATGCTCCCGGATGGTTTAGGTCTCGCGAGGGACGCACCTAGACAACGCCATTCGGAAGGCGGGTCTCCAACGCTGGCGTACCCGGACGATGTTCATGACGATAGAAAGAGAAAGTATGGGAGAGGTAATTAAAAGAGTGGATGATTCTAGGTGAGGACGGCCATTAAAACTACTCTACTTTTTAAATTTCAGCTGATCCTCATCCTTTGTTCAGACCGTTGAACATTCCTTGCTGTTTCATAAATTTTCAGCATTCGAACCCTTTCCTCCGTAATAGCTTCCCCAGTTGAAGCACCAGACACCTCTGCACGGCTCTGGGACTGGGCGGGCTTCAACAATCTATTTGATTTTAATTCTTCGTTGCACCGCAGAGAAGTGAGGTGACTCACGATGTTGGCGTAGGTGACGAGGACAATTGCCCACATTGAGGCTGAGAGATGGGAACGCATTCCCCCAGGAATAGAAGGATATTTATCGTATGGGATAGAAACGATGCAGCGTAGATATAATACTGAGATGCTTGAAATTTTCACTTACGAAGCTGACCTATTCGTACCTTCTGGCGTTAGCTTTATATACTTGTTACGTCTCGATGCATTTTATATGTATAAATTCAATACTTCTATCCTGTAATTGATCAACTGGTCGCCTGAACATTAGTTATATGGCGGTGTTCATCGGTTGTATATATAAGTGTGCGATAACGGTCTTCCGACTTCATGTCTGACGTATTATGGTGTCTGTTTGCATATTTCTCTCGGGCAGGGTTCAGGAACGGTGTCTTCTGTGAATACTTCGGGAATGAAGGCACATGCTTGTGTGGCGCAGGGCTTTGGGATAGGTAGGCCCAGGCAATATGTCTGTCACAACGGTCTTCAGTATCGGTTCGAGTTTGAGATGAGATCAGTACCCATAGCCATTGAGCAAGCGACAACGATAAAAGTGAAGAGGTTCATTCTCCAGGAATGTTTGGGTTTCTGGGGCACCAATTTCTGTGGCTGGCCGCCCTCTTCGTCGCCTGGAGTCATCCTTTATACTAGTCGCACCCATGCTTCCTATTCCGGTACATGGTTTTACTTATTGTGGCTGCAGTCGTTGTGGAAAGCATTATCATTGTAGTTGAGTTATGGTTCGTTGCATAGTGCATAGTAGTCTTATGCGTATTCCTCACGATGCCGACCATAAAATCAGGATCAGACGTTTCATCTCAGGGTGTCATGTTTTCTGGAATTCGGCACAAATAGGACAAGAGTCCAGATTGGGACTGAGCCATTGTAGTAGCTATTGTTTTGGGCTCCTCGGCGTTGCCAGAATTTACCTCAAATAAGGTGGGGTTCATCATGGCTACGCATTTTCCAAACTATTTATCGTCTCATCGGTTTCATGAAGTCAAGATATATAGCCCAGTAGACATAGACGTATTAATTAAATGTCGCCTAGGAGATGTCTGAGGTAGGATTGGGCACTTTTGGGTCGCGTCATGCCAAAATCATCTCTGAGATTTAGGATATCAAGTCCTCTCTTTGCGGATCGTCATACTACAGACTTAGATCTCACCGTTCCGACAGCAGTACGAGTACTCCCCTCAGGAACTCAAGTAGCCCTATACTTCATTATATGGGAATGATGGTTGCCTTACCAAGGCATAGGCACTTCGACACCTATTCATAAGCTCCGACTTCTCTGTCGGATCTGTCAAACCTTCAAACCACCCTTCTTTCAGTTTCACACACAACGAATAACTTACAGTCCACCACGCGATGTCGCAGATACTCCCAGACTTTGCGTCTATCCAAGTACCCGCAACACAGGTGTCCGACTCTTGGTTCAATGGGGTCATCATCGAATCCTTAACACACGGTGAGAAGTGTCTCAGAAGCCACATCCGTACAAGTACCCTAGGGATGTACGCAGCGTTGCTGGCTGTCGTACTGTGGAGGATACGTACGCTGTTGAAGCCTGCCTACACGACAGAACTTAAAAGATGACTTGCACAGTGTCGAGTAGCACTGCCCATAGGGGCCAGACGAAGGTCTTTGCCGGGATTTCAATGTTCATGTACATCGTGGCTACGATGCATCTAGCCATGAGGTAGTTCTATGCCAGGCGGGGGTTCATTGCGAATGGAGAGACCGAGGAAATGAGGTTTTTTGCCCTCATGGACTCACTGATCGCTGGCGGTCCATTGTGGGTTCCGACGATCAGCAGTATTGATTATATGTCGTTGCATTGGCGGTCTTCATCCCGTTCATCGCGGCGAATAGTCCATACAGCAATTACTCGCAAGTGGTTCTTGCTTCGGTTACAGTAAGTCGAATGTATTGCTGCTGATGAAGAGCAGACTTACTCGGGATTTCGGACAGGGAATCGCACCGACTTTGATTCTCCTTCGCGTTGCGTCTAGGAGCCCAGATTTGCATTCTCCAAGTAATGGTATGCTCCCAAGGTCTCTGCAGCACCTATCGAAGTCGAAGATGGAAGGAAGTGTTACGTCTACGGACGAGGACGACGTGATGTTTGTTACTCCGGGCAAAAGTGTTCAAGTTGTATAAACTGCTCGCCACGGTTATGATCCTGGAGGCCATACTTGATTACATTTAGTGGTTAGAAATAAGCGTAGCTACCTTCTCCATTCCGTAGACATGACAATAAATAGACGCATAGACGAAATGAGATCTTTTACAAGTGCAGTTTACAAAACAAGCCTGTGGATCCACGATGCCATTGCAGATGGAAAACATAGCCTCAGAATATTGTCGCATTCATGTTCATGGGGCTGCTATCAGGTGTATCATTAGAAGAGGGCCAAGAAAAGAGCGGAGGGATGATCAAGTACTTACCTTTCACACTTCGTATCCATGTTCTTGGCACCGTAATCTAGTTTCATTGCGCAATGATGACGTCACTTCGTTCAGGACCCTTTCGGCAATATCCAATGGAACTACACCATTGCGCTGACTCAGCGCTGGCCGTACTACGACAGGAAAAAAAAATCCGAATTGTCAGGAAGGGGCCAGACATGGGGGACGAAGCGTGTACGAAGGGTCATCAGGCGAAATCGCATGGCAGTTCATCCACGCTACAATAGAAGCACTGAAGCAGGTATCGGCCCTAGCGTAAGTAAGGATCAATGATCATGAAGGCAAAACTCTCCATGCGGTAATCATGCGATGAATCAACCTGCCGGTTCTTCCCTTAGGAAATCACTCCAGGGCAGCACAACGACCGTCAGACAAAGTTTAGCAGATGCAGAGAAGACGGAGTCCAAGTTGAGGAAGGAGCTGAGAGACTGGAGAAAATGCTGGTGCCAACAATGATGCATCTGATGGTCGATGGTGGATCATTGTCACCGCAGAGGCCCTCATTAACAAATAGGTCAACGTTCCGCAATTTTGAAGAACACAGTGATCAGAATCGGTGCGGAAAACACGCAGTTGGAATATCACAAAGGGAACCTTCAAGGGGAAATCAGCCAGGAAATCAGCCTGTAGTCGATTTTTGAACATAAATCACGAAAGATGGGACCTTCGAGGAGCAATCAGGCAGCGTCTCAGCCGGTAGTTGATTCTCTCTTTTTTTGCAATTTCACTGCAGAGCAGCGCGGTAGCACGCAGACACAGAGTAATAGAATTAGAGAGAACTGTAGTCGAGATAGACATGGAGTAGGGAGGGGTAGAGAGCGCTGCAATCTCAGCCGATGGTCATGGCGGGGAGCGGTAAAAATAGAACTAGTCAATGGAATTAGTGCCGTGAATCTTCAGGACCTTCAGGAGTCACGAGAGGGTAATGAAGTAAGCGCTGCAGCTATTGCTGTCCATCGTTGGAAGCTCTACAAAGATGACGACAAGTTATAGTGAAAACACGTCAAGGATACTAAGCGTTGGTGGAAGGGAAAGGCCGAGATTGTTTATGACAAGCAACCTGAATGCCGAATCCGGCATTGACATGGCGCTTCCAAATATAGACAACATTTCCGGTGTTCAAACCTTCTCTCTTTCGCAACCAAGCCAATGCTTCTAGTACCTCTACACCCGAGCTTGCTCTCACTCAGATGTCAGCCTGTTATTCTAAAAATATATATCGACCTCTCAGCATGGTGTCAGTTTCGGTCATTGTCTCGCGGGATGACTGATCATTAGAGATCGCTTGGTAATGCCCTTCTCACCTGACAATTCCGCCATCTTGCTCACAAATAAATAGCTGTTCTTCCTTCCCTCAGCTTTTCATCATCCTTCCTCTGAAACATGTCAAGTAAACCCATAGCTGTTATCGCAGGTGATTTACCTTCGCTGGGGCAGAAGTCAATATTTCTGATGCTTTGGCACCGTTATAGGTCTCGGTTCAGGGTCTGGTACAGGCGCGGCAGCAGCGTAGGTTTTCTTCACTCCTGTTTTCCACTATGATTATCTGAACTTTGCCAGTCGTCTCTTTGCCAAAGAAGGCTATGCTATCGCCCTCATAGCCCGTGGCGCCGACTCTCTCAAAGCCCTCTCTGACGAGATCAGCAATGCCGGTGGGACCGCCGCTTCATTCCCCATCGCCTCGTACAGCACGACTGATATCAACGCTGCCTTTTCCCAAATCCACTCCCATTACCAAGGCCAAGCCATCCGCGTCGCGCTCTACAATGCAGGACACGGCGTCTGGAAACCATTCCTCGATATCACCCCCGAGGACCTCCAAGCCGTGACGCAAACCAATATCGAGGGTGCTTTCGCCTTCTCGAAGAATGTCATCCAAGCATTTCAAGTGAACGAAGTCGACGAGAAGGGGAAGAGAGGCTCATTGATCTTCACGGGGGCCACGGCAAGCGTGAGAGGGAATGTCACGACCAGCGCATTCTCAGCGGGGAAACATGCATTGAGGGCATTGTCGCAGAGTTTGGCGAAGGAGTTTGGAAAACAGAACATCCATGTATCGCATGTAAGTGCTTTTCTCTTGATGGCTTTGATCTAGAGACTGACTGGGCGTTGTAGGCAATCATCGATGGCGGCATCTTGACGAATCTGTCTCGGCAGCGTCGTAATGACCAAGCATGGGAGAAGAACGAAGACGTTAGGTTGTCGCCGGATGGAATTGCTGAGGTACGTTTATATTTTTGCTATTATTAAGGGTGGCTAATGTTGAGCTATCTCCCTAGTCATACCTGCATCTCATCAAGCAACCTCGTTCGACTTGGACCTGGGAATTCGATCGTCAGTCACTTTCATCTTCGCTTCTAATTCTTTGCTGATGTGTGAGTTCAGTGCGTCCCGCTCATGAGAAGTGGTAGAGCATTTGATGTGTTGTCAAGGTCGGACACTGTCCTATAATTTCAATCGCGTTTTCCTTTGTACAATCACGAAGTATGGTCTTTTCGGACTTGAAGTGTACTCAAGGCTACATCCGTTCCAACGATTCATGTGATTTATTGAAATGGGAATCTTTCTTGGTGACGTGATGATTGTATTTCTACTGTTGCCACCACTGTTCGCGATATCTTTAGCCGTATCCATCATGTCCACTCACGATCATCCTTCCATCATGTGGGTTATTAACAGCGCGTAAATCCTTCATTACGTCTCCCACGCACAGCTTAATAGTAAAGACGCCGGAATAACAACACATGCTCATCCGCAGCTACAATATTCTCTTCACGACGCTGGATTCACAATCAGTTTGTAATCTCCCACCCTCCGTCTCTTATTATAAAACGGCTAAGGCTCTTAGAGGCATCGTCATCTCGACTGATGTATACAACCAACAAGACTTGGACAGCGAGGGATGAAGCTGATGATAATCATTTGCGGAAACCAGCTTCTTAGAGCCAGTGTTCCCTCTTGCTGTCTCAGTCGCTGTCCATCACGATTCACCTATTACCTTTCCCTTACAATCCTTGCTGGACTGAACCCGGCTCCTCGACTATTGACTTTGCTATGAGAGCCTTACTAGTGACCGCCTCCATGTCTCGTCTCGGATGATGTACACTCTACTGTCCTTGTCCACCGTGATGACCGAGTACCTATGTGATATAATATCTGAGAGGCATTCAGCCTCTTGTGGATACCATCGTGCGATTTTTAGAAACTGAAAAGTCACATTGTAGGGAGAAGAGGGGCGTATCGACGCTGATGGTGGACCACGGTCATCCACCGTGACGATTTCACTGATGGTGAATGTGTCCTAATCGGAATCGGTCAAACATGTATCAAGGACTTTCCGGCAATAGAATCGTCAGAAGGTATCTAATTCATCACTCCTTTTAGGCAACGATGATTTATGCTTTTATTAGCGTTGAATGTATTACTCTTTGTTTAGGACAAAGCCATTGTATCCAAGTATCGACTAGGAAGGATGAACGCTATACTCTACAACTTCAAGATGTTCCTCATAATGTGCCACACCATCATATCCTCAATATCCGTGCACGCATACTCTATGCTTCTGCCATCCCCGAAAGTCATACTCCCTCTAGGCTCTCGGTAAACACGATCCTGTCCAAACACCCCAAGCAGCCCACCGATCTCAGCCGTATTGTCTCGTGGTCTACCCAGTCATCGACCTTTAAAATTCTCCTGCCAGTACCTTCTAACTCAAAAGGATTTTTGACCGCGTTCAGTCTACTGCATCACCAAAAGTGTCTGAACCTGGTCAGGCCACGACCAGCCCTTACCGACAAACACCTACACCTGCCTCAAATGACAAGGACTAACCTCCCTGGTGGGTCTGACCTACCTCGATCAAGGAGTGATTTTTGCGACCAGGCCCTGGTCATGACTTCGCCTCTCCTTGGCCAGCCCTTGCAAGAACGGCCTCGCAAGGTGACCCTGGTCATGCAAGGTGGCCATTGCCTGTGGTGGTACGTGTGGGTAGACTTTGTAGCTATAGGTCAGGCTGTTATTGAATGCTAAATCCACATATATTACAAAGCATGTGTTCATTTAACTTCTATCGAGTACAAATCTGAACTACCCAACGATGCATGGACGCAATAAACCCCGTTACGGAAGCTAGCCATATTTATATTATTGCGGCGTTCAGGGTTTCCTTCGACAGATTCTGCAGCTCAACCTGCTCAACGAGACCGGGACCTTGAACGATGTTGAAATGAAGAGTTGCAGTTGTCCTTGGGTAGTCGGACGAGCGAAAGCATTATTACAACAATGTTGAAGCAAACGACATTGAGGAAGAACAATAATGTGAGCAAAAAGCGGAAAAGACTTGACGCTTACTGCTTCGCCACCCCATCTTCTCCCTAGAACATTACGGCTCACAAAATCTTGATCCTCGAGTTCATACCATTGAGCGTTGCTGAGAACGAGCCTGTCAAATGCACCGAGGAAGGGTCAGGGGTGGTTATATGCGCATATAGGAGGAACACACGGGAAGTCGCCTTTGAATGGAACCTCCGTTCCAGCATCACCCTCGGCCCAGTCCTACATGGTTATCAATACTTGCCCTGGCATTGAAGATTAGCTATTAGCCACTATACGCAGTAATCTCAGCACGTACCCCTGGTCATTGTGTTTGATAAAGACGCTTATTGAAGGGACTGGCAACGAGCACTACAGGTAAGGAACTCGATCTATCGGAATCACACCACTTGGAAGGCAGTGTCAGAGGTGGGTGTATGCGCATACAGATGGCACATACCGTCTCCCGAGACTCTTGCAATAGCATAGGACTTCCCAGTCCCATTCTACCTCGTAACACGAAGTACTGTGTTGAACCTGGAGATTTGTTGTTGTCCACTGGTTATCTAAACATTGGGCCACTCCGACATACACGCTACATCGCCGGTCATAGAGAAGTGAGCGAGCAAGAGGAAAAGGGGACTGGACAACGGAGAAGTGACACAATATTTGGGCACTGGACATCTTCGCTGTTCACAAAGAAGAAAAGTAAAGAGTCGGCACCAGGGAAATGGGAAATGGGCGGTGAGGATGCGGGGCATGATGCATGAGGGTGGAAGGAAAGAAAGAAGCTAAGCCGATCCCGAAAACTGACGTGTCATGATCATGTGATGGATCTGTCGTACACCGGCAACTACGGTAGCCGGCCGAGGACACCGGGTTTGACTCAGTTTGACTCCGATATTCAGCACTAGGGCTCGAACTCTTGAAAGTGATCCAAAATGATAACACATATGTAGGTTAACTGCTACACTACATATATTCACACAAAGGTAATACATATCCTTCCTTCCGGAGTTTTAGAGAAAGAAAGGTAAGCTGCTGCTGTGCGAATTCTCAAATACACCTGCAAGGATTTACCGTAGGACAGCCAGTATGGTCTGGTGTTGCAAGGTTATCACCTCGGAGGTGAAAAGCTTACCTGGCTATGACCTTTCAGGAAAGTGCCTGACCAGGCTGATTCCGGAGAGGTGAAAGGCTGATCACTACATAGAAGACAACTGCCAGGTTTGTAATACAACGACAAGGGCAGCCTACACAGACCAAGACTTGTCTACTTTTGACACTTTTGGTGATGTGTCTGCAGAAGACCACTACGCGTTAACGTGTTTAGGGGTAAGGCAGTGACCGTGGAGTCGTCGGAGCTTTCGGCCATAAATCAACTTTTCATCAGCGACTTCAATGGTCATTTGTACTACTTCCATTTGACACACTTGTTTCTCTCCGGTAGCGCGTATCCAAGGAGCCTATCTTGTTAAAACAGCTAGGTAAGTTTATGGTTCTACTTCCTGTCCCCATCATTCATCTGTCGTTCTGTTCTTTGTATTACAGTCGGCTCGCAGCACGCTTTCTTCGCTCGTACGATAGTTCTCCTTACTGGAGATGCGAATCATGTTTCTTGGCAGCGAGCAGGATGTTTGACGTCTGAAATTCCTTGGATTGCTGTTTCTTCTTCTCCCTGACGGCGCAATAGCCTCACCCAAGTTAGGAGGAAAGCTCAGGCTGTACCGTTAATACGGACGAGCACCGCTTGCTATACGAATCACCACACACCAAAATGGCCTAGTTTACGATAGAAGGAAGAAGTATGGGAAGGCGTAATTAAAGGTCCGTTACCCCAACTCGAGGTTCGATATCATCTGAGGTGTATCATTTGTTCAGATTCCCTTCAAAAATCGCTATCACGGATGTTTAAACTTCGAAAACTTCTGCATGCTATCTCTCTGAACGGTGCTGCTGCTGGAAGGGCATAGACGGTCTAATCGTTATTATTCCTCACGTTGCTATTCCGTAATACAGATAGTGTACATACGGCATTAGTATCAAACCGGTATGGAGCACGAGGGGAATCGGGCATAGGCTACCAAGAGATGAAATACATTCGCCAAGAATGCAGGAAGGTTTATTGTGTACGATGAAGGTAATACAGTGTCTGCGTCGTGGCATGCATGAAATGGGGAAACGTAGAGCCAAAAGCAGACTTGATTATACATGTCAGCTCTTGTATTATGTATTTATCGACGTATAACATCTTACACCTGGCAATACGACGACTTCCTGAATTAAAATATCCCCATTCACAACATTATGGCTATAATGGTCAACCCCTTCCTGTCTAATAAACCCCATAATCCATGCGTGCGTGTTAGAGCTCTTCAAGACGCATGCTTCTTCTCTGTGGAAGAGCTGATGAACAGTTCCTCATCCGAGCTAGACCTTCGGCGGGGTGGGATTGAGCATACATTGATGGGGCACTTGATGGGAGTTATCACGGCCCTACATGTCTGTCACGAAGTTTTTCAGTCTCTTTGAATCCAGGATGTGAAATGAACACCCACAGCCGTGGTGCAAGCGACAACGATTAAAAGAGTAAAGATATTCATTCGCTAGGAATGTTTTGGGTCTTCTGGTTCACGGTGCGAATTGGTGTGGCTGTTAGTCTACTTGAGCCCTCCTTTATACTGCTCAGACCCGTTGTTCCTATTCAAGAACCATCCTATTCTGGGTTCTCGGAAGCCTTTTTGGAAAGCACTACTATCGCTGTTTATACGGAACTGAAATGTGGTTCTTTTCCCAAAAAAGCCCTACCTGCGCAGCGCGCCACGATATCCATGGGGGGATCATTACGTGAAGATCAGGAAGTAGGTCGCAGATGCTCGGCTTCACTGTGGATTTTGGAGTCCACTTTTAAAAGACTTGAGATTTGTACCCAATGGCTATGATTGATCGCGTAAGACGGCTCTCTTGATGATAATAGTTCTGAGCTAAGTCGTATTGGCACTTGGTTGCTGTGCTTTTAGAGTCCCATAAGGAGCAAACCGGGTCGCTCCAACTCTACTTGGGATTCATCAGATGTAAGGTGCCCTTGAAATGTATCTCTGGCCGAAGCTATGATCATACTGATTTCATGCTAGGCGCCGATTCTAAGAGTTGAATACATATCAGGGGAGGCAGGCTGCCATGCTCAGATCCAATAAATACTCGTGATTTTCATTGTTGTATACCGGCCAGTGAGTCATAGCATTTACAAGACATAATATTCTCGAGGTTACTGTGGAATTAAATTGGCATAGCTGTCTGAGTGCTTACCTGTTTCACTACTCCACGGATGGAACGACGCTTATCTTCAAATCAGAATGAATTTATGCCTTTCAATGCGTTACATTTAGAATTTTGAGTCTATCAATTCAGATTTGTATCACGGTAAGCGATGTGGATCAAACGGTTATCCCGTTGATTACGAAGTTTCGGTTTTTGGAACTGAAGCATGTAGGAAATTGGGTTACATCGCCTTGGACTCCTGTAATAACTTGCTTCTCCCGGACTGAATTGAGAATCATCCCTCTAACTACATAAGGCGTGTTTTGAATTCATCATCCGCAGGAAATCATGACAGTATGGGCGCATTCAAAGATTTCTGGATCCCCGGAATATTCATGAGGAAGTAAATCAATACAATAACAGTGGACAGGAATGGTAAGACCGGCTATTCTTTCGTCATCCCTAAGGAAATGATCAAGACCTGTGCATCTCAATACTGTGGCCCGGACACTCTCGTCAGTGAGTCACGTATTCCTATTCTTTGGATAGTTAGTCTGCAATTACTCTGCTTAGAAATGATGGTGGCTTTACCGACACTTCGACGTGTTCATAAACCTTGCATATTTTGTTTGACTGACGGATACTTTCTCCCTTCTCGATATCCCGACAGGTAGCTTGACGATATGTCGCAAATCGACCAAGTAGCTGCAATGCAGTTGTCTGACTCCTGGTTCAATGCAGTTATCATCGAGTCCCTAGCACATGGTGTGATTTATCTTCCAAACTACATCTGCCAAAGCACTGATCGCAACCTAGGTATATACACGACACTAGTGGCAGTTTTACTGTGGCAGATTGGTTCGTAGTAAACTTTTCCTGTGAGAAACGTGACTGATAAAATAATGGCATAGTGTCGATCAACATTCTCCATAGGCGCCAGACGAAGGTCCTAGTTGGAATTTCCGTCTTCATGTATATCATGGTAACGATCCACATCGCTATGAGATGGTATTATGCTAGACGGGGCATTCATCACACATGGCCAGACAGAGGAAACCAGGTACTTCGCACTCATAGACTCACTTATTGCGGGTGGTCCATTGTGGGTATCGACGATCGCTAGTGTCGTCGCGAGTGTGAATATATTGATGGCAGATTGTGTAATCGTAAGTCTTGCGGAAGACCTCTATAAGATCAACGTTTTGATGCGATGTTTTCCTAGATTTGGCGGTGCTGGGTCATATGGGGAAGGAATTGGAGGGTCATCGTCCTTCCATCCATATGCACAATCTGCGGGATACGTAAGTCGCTACGACTCTGAACATAACTCGAATCGCTCACTATTCCAAGTCTTCGATGTTTTCTTCTTGATTCAAGAGTTGACGCCCTTTACCGGTTCTCAAGGCGGTTCTTCGACTCCGTGGGGAAGCACCTCTATCAAATGGGGAGTAGCATACTATAGCATGACACTCTCGACGACGATCATATGTACGGTGCTCATCGTGTACCGGCTGGTTCAAGCGAGGACCACCAGCTTGTCTCTATCCGTTCCCGCTAATCCGTACCACCGAGTCATGGAGGTCATGGTAGAATCGGCTGTATTATATGTCATCGCACTAGTGGTCTACATCCCGTTCATTGCAACGGATAATCCATACAGTCTTTATCCACAAGTTTTTCTGGTTTCTGTTACAGTGAGTCTCGGGTTATATCCTAATCATCAAGGGACAATTCTCACTGAATTTTCGCAGGGCATTGCGCCAACTTTGATACTCCTTCGAGTTGCCTCTGGAAACCAATCAGGGAACACGAATCCAGGTTCACCAGATAATACTATGCGTTTGGGGGATTTACAGAGCCAGTCAAAATTGAACGCAAACGGCAGTGTTACGTACATGGAGGAGGAGGATCTGAGGCTCATTATTCCGGCAAAAAGTAAGGCAGTTGTATGAGTCATGCGTATTCATTATCCTGTAGGTCGGTACATGGCGACTAGAGCAGGTGGAAATAACAGTATTTGTACTTTCCCACTTCAGTGGATATAGAACAGCTCTGAACTCTGAGTAGGAAATGCCTCGGCGATGAGGGCAGAGGTTGTGGTGAGGAAAGGGACGGTGGTTTAGGTGGGTCATTGATACGAGAGACGGACGAGGGATGAAGAGGAGGAGTGGTCCTCGCACGTTTCGGTGATAAACGTTTCCATAGACGAGGATCTGTTGGCGTAGCGAATAAATATGTGATAGCCGTCACGTCACTCTTTGAATCACGATCAGGATCATTACCGATTTCCTCGAGACACTTGATCAAAAGGATCCACAGCATGATATCATTCTCACTCGGAGTGTCAGCGTCGCGTCAGTGTATGGAAGAGATACAATTGTTGAGGTGGGATTTGAATTGGGTGAGGAGACCGCGATTTCTGGGATGACGAGGCGTATTTCGGAGGAAGGTGTACTTGGAACGGAGACGCGTTACCCGTAAGTACAATATTGGGTTTGTCTCCTACTCAGTATGTCTACAAAGTAGGCTCTTTCATCTTCCAATCCTTGAAAACACGGGATAAACAGGAGACGTGCTTCGAAGGGTGTAGGTACGCGTACAAAGGACTCTTTTGATAGCTGTAAAAATCGATTATTAGCCACACTTTGACTATTTGCGAAAATGTCCCGAACAGGCGAGAGAAAACTCATGCAAGCAAGTGGGAATGACAATCAGAACTGTAAGAGTCTGTAGGCATACCCTGTAGCTATCTTCCTGGTCGTCCTGGTTCTCTGGTGGCGAGGGAGGCTTCAGCTTGATGGGATTTTCGAGGACCCTTGTACGGGAGCGCATTAAGGTCATGGAGAAACACGAACGACTCATCACGCCAATCACCTCTCCTGAACGCCCTGAGCAACGCGCGAGCTTCGTAATGCTAGCATCAGTGGCGGCGATGTTCATTGCCTTACCTGAGGGAGGAGGCGCATATACGCACACGAAATACGGGATGAGCAGCTTAACCAAATCTGCAGATACGTGACCTTATCTTTCCTCCTTGCCTTTCCCTAATAATCCCTTCCCTCCCACCAGCTCAAGACCACTCCTCGCATCAATACCATCCTCCCTCCCTGTGGTGTGTCTACGCAGAGATCACCCCACTGGTACACGCGAAGTTATTGTCTCCAAGGTAAGGGAATCTAACTCGTACTTGTAACATGGTGAGAATCGACACGCAGATGGAACTGGGAACTGGGACCTTGCGAAGAGACCGAGCATTTCTTCAAACCACAACAGTTGGTAAAGCAAACACATGCAGGTTGTGGACCAGTTAAATTGATGTAAAAAATGTAATGAAATAAAAAGCCTACTGTCAAACTCAACGTCGAACCGCATTTGGATACTGACGAACAAGGAAGAGGCGAGCAACGAGTGACATGATCGTGTTTTCCTCGGTGGTACTACGATTGACAACAATGTATTAGGGTCGGGAAAAAATGGAATGAAGAGGATACCACGTATGAAAGTCCAATTCCATGAAGATGTGGTTTTGACCCATGGCTATTTGCTTATGATCCTACCGAGCGAGCCAATAAGTATCTGAATCACGATTAGCTCTATCACAGGCCGGTAGAAACAGTGAAAGAAAATTCGGAGAGAGAGAGAGAGACCGACACAGAAGACATTCCTTAGTAAAACTCGCTTGCAGATGGAGAGTGGACGTGTGTGTTCCTTTCCTAATGCACCGTATTTGCCAGATCAAGGTGAGGGAGAAGGGATTCCGGACCGTTGTTCCGAAAAATGGCAAGGCCCGTTCTCGGCTCTTGATCGCTCTCTTCATCTCCACGCCTTCCTTTCACCTGGGCTACTCAGCTTTCTCTTCAATCGTTCCGTTCACTTGTGACTTAATATTTGTGCGTGATTTTGACTGCGACTGACCCGTGGACGTGCAGATGCGCTCCCTTGGGGTTCGAGGTGTGCAGTCTATTTTTACATCACTTCTCGTTAGCTAACTTCTTTGCGAGCGTAGATTCTCTACCCACCCTCCTCGTTATTATTAGCTTGCTATGCGCTAACTGCACTGCTAGCACGTGACAGTACTCAAACACGACTCCCAGTATTCGTTACAAAGTCCTTTATCAATGCCGACCAAGCTTTTGCAACCAACGTTAGCCCTAGATTGCAAGTCATGAAGAAGCTGGATCTGTAGTCGGTGTATGGTGGGTTACAGGAGGACATGAGGATGTACGTCTCTTCATTCTGACTATTCTCGTCAAGGAGTAATCTTTTTCGTGCAGCATAGCACTTGCGACTCGGACTGTCAATGCACTCTAGCCTGACATATTCCGCTTTCTTATCGCAGCGGGTGACGCGGAGAGAATATGTTTGAATAGAGTGGCCCGGATTAGGGAGATACTGGTACGTGTGTTGGTGGGAAGTCGCTGTCTTTTGTGGCTGATATAAATCGAAGATGAAGATCATGGTATTCTCGAAACAGTGCTTCGCTGCGAATTTCGTGTCCGATGTCGATCAACGTTACGAGGTATGGGATAGACGTCCTCCTGGCGCATCCAGCTGGCGCATACGCTGCAATGAATGAGAAGGAAACCATTTATTGTTGTCCCAAGAACGAAGACTCGTCACGACTCTAAATGGGAAGGCGTAATTTTGCCTTCCCCTTTCCATCGTGAGTGGATGTGCGTGTTCCTTTTCCTGTGTGTTACCTTCGCCTTGTCAAAGAGGGAAGGAGGCAAAGCCCATTCTCGGCTCTTGATCCCTTTCTTCGTTCCCAACATCTTCACGCGTTCCTTTCGCTTCTACCGTACACCGCAGTAGTAGCCCTCTTTTCCAGTTCCCATGTTTTTTCGCGACTTTAGCAGTGTTTTATGACGACTTCAACAAGGGTTGATTCCTGTGACATACACACGCGTTTCCTTGGGGTGGGCACGCAGTCTTTTTTACATTGCCTCTCGTTGGCTAATTTCTTCTCATGCACTAGATTCTCCTCCCTGTCAAGTACCTCAGAACGTTCCGGCGAGCGAGGTGGAGGACAGACCGTTGACAGAACCAGCTTACTCCAGATAAATCTGCGACTACATCCACTCTCAAAGTCTGCCCGCATACATCCTCGTGTCATTGGTCGCCCACTAATCCCCGACCATGCTACTGGGACGCGTCGGTATTTAGTTCCCACTTTCGTGCTACCCTGTGCAAATGTCCTCTCATTGTAAAGTCAGGATCGACGGAGCTTTTGCAACCAGCGACAGCACCGGATTGCAAGTCGTGAAGAAGCGGGATATATGGTCGATATGTGGCAGGGTTAGAGACTATGTCAGAGCACATAGCACTTTGGATGTACGCGTCTGCATTCCGATTATCGGTGTCGAGGACTAATGCTCTTTGTGTAGCATGGTACTGCTACTCTCAACAACACCTTATTTGTTCAAGCATGACACATCTCGTTCAATAGTACGTGTTTATTGCAGGAGACGAGGATAGAAACGTCAGGAGCATCGAACACGCATATAAGTAGCGGCGAAGCGAGGAATGTACTTTGATAGAGCACCGCGGGATGTGCTTTGGAGTGGAGTCAACCATGCGTGTCTGCGGATTCGGCGTACTACCAATACTCTCCGATATCGTCACCAGTCCCAGCTGTGGGTTTGATTTTGTTATAGAACTCGCCAGTGATACTGATTGTGCACTATTCAGCTTTCCCTGTGAATCCAGTTCTGGAAGATACCCCTGGGTCCAAGGAAGATCACGGTACGATGCCAAAAGCCAACGACGCAGACGACGAGTCAGAGATGGAAGAAGGAGAGAAAAGATACTCGAAGGTGAAAGCAAAGAGCGGCGAACTCACAACTGCCATAACATTCCACTAATCGTGTTCTAGAAGGCATCAGATTCTGATGTTCTACGTCGGACAATAATAGCGGAGAATGTCGCCCACAAGACAGAAATCCTACCAAGGTACATTCAATGTCCAATAATCGGCGTGGGACTAACCGTTTGCTGGCAGGGCATGTCCTCCCGAATTTCCGTTACTTATGATAGATGGTCGACACGGCGGTGTCATCCTTTCCCTGCATTCACCATCCATTATATTTGAGTCAAAACAGACAATCGCACAGAGCGGACACCTGAGCCACAGCTGCTAGACTTCAAGTGGATGCATGGACAGCACACGGGCGAGGCTGTTGGAAAGGAATTACTCAGAGTTCTCGACAAGTATGACTGGTATGATTATGTACGTTTCCTATCTTCTGCGCCTTCAGAGCGCGTGTTTTAATATGCAGGTTGTATGGACTCTGACCCCCGCCGTTGCTTGGCAGGTGAACCTCGAAGTCCTGGTTCGAGGTTGAGGCATATTTAACCGGACTCTAGACGGACTAATCACAAATCATGTATGAGTAACTGCCTTCTCCTTCTGAGAAGGACACAAACTCCACCACTCTCCAAAAACCCGATGTTTCGAAATCACCGGAGAAATCGAAAGCTTTATAACCAACTAAATATTTTCATGGATCTCCCATTCGCCTCTCCTGCTTAACAGACTCTTCATCGTTACTTGCCTCTTCCTCCTAGGCGTCCACGCCTTACCCACGGAGCTGTCCAACGCTACTGCGACATGGAGCGCTACCGCAACAAAGATAGTGGAACGCGCCGGACCCACCTTCACGCTTGACTATAGGACCTACCCTCAGTCATCCGAGAACATCTGTCCATCTGCTTCTTTATTTACACTACTTTGCGTAACTCAATATTAACTTGATTGACAGGTTTTTCCTGGTTCTGTACGTCTGTCCACCCCTCCTCTCCCCTCCCCTTGACACAACCTCCCTCCAGGTAACAACGGTTCTCGCTCTGTAGCTCCTGACCTCACCAATGCAACTACCCATCGTGCTAGCAACAGTTGTGGTAACGTTAACCCAAACCGGTGCAGCGTCCGCGTATATGGTTTCCCTCACCTTGGTATTGTACGCAGAAAACTAATACACATATGTTTATCATATCAGGCGGGCCATGCAAGTGGGTACCAGTGCGATGAATGGCATTGGGCAAACTCTAATGCCGGTGGTGCCAATGCTGCTACGAGGTGCATTCCCACTTCTGATAATACCGGCGAGTTTTCGAGTTCTGCTTTGTGTTCATGTTCTGCATCTGACGGAACTATTCTCTTTTTTGTGTCGTTTCTAGGATCTGGTTCGCAATGGGGGAATTTCATCAATATATGTCTCATCTGTTTCTGGTGGGTTAATACTAATCCCCCGGTGGTCATGCGCATACAGAACAGAGGCTCTCAAGCTGTTGGACGTGTTTTACGGGATAGGGTTGATGTGAGTTTCTCCTTCCCCCCTCCTCCGTTCAAGTCCTCCTTCTTAAGCCAGCCTAGTTTGCCCGAATTGAGATCAGCAATGTCCCAACAACTGCAGAATTCTGCTTGGGAGTGCGTGGAAGTAAGTCATTGTTGTTGTTTATTCCCTGTCCGGTTCCGAGTCATTCAATTATTTTTGGTACAGCGACTATTACCGCAACAATGTGTAATCAGCAAGCTCGTGGTCAGCCGCATTTGCAAAGGATTGGTTGAACGTAGCTTCTCCAATGGATTTGGACAACCACAGTTTGATCCTTGCCACGCTGCTTCAAATTTCCTTCATTCCGTCCTATAACGCTGCGCGTCTTTCTTCTACCTATGAATGTGGATTGAATATCAATAAGAATGTTTCTTTGATTTGAACTAACACACGACCATCCAAACCTTATTGGAACCGGAACCTCGTAACATTATGTAGACGGTAATATGCCTCTTCAATACAGCAGAAATATGGGCTCGTCACATTCTTTTGATCCTTGCTGATATGGGTTGGTTACCATCCAGTCTCCATGTTTACGAAGTCTAACCGAAGTATTCAGAATTCCGCCATGTTCATATGATAGATCCACGGTAAAAGGATATACAGAGGATTTTCGGTGTATGGATTGTCGAGACGAGCTTAATTCACAAGAATTTATCAGTTAAAACGTCGAACACGTCACGCATGCTTTGGAGGACATGTAAATGATCTATGTCTCCAACTCGCTTACGAGGCTCACGCAAATCTGATAAAGGGAAAAGGAGCGTGGCTCGCAGTGGTATAGTATAACTGGAAAGATAGGAAAAAGCACCGAGTAGTAAATCGCCTCCCTTTTAAAATCCAGGATAGAAGATTCGACTTTCCACACTCCATATTATCTCTCAGATCACCAATGCCGCACGACGTAGGCTATTTAAACTCCCCTTGACATCCCACTGATCCTTGGATTTAACATATTATTAAATGGTTCTACTGAACTCATCAATCCATAGCGGTTCTGACACCGCCCATGGATTCCCCATGAACGCACGTCAATCTCCTCGAGTGACAAAAACACCACGTTCATAAAACCAAACAGTCGACCTGCAAATATTCCCAGAGTTGTGTCCCTCCCAAGTAGCACCCTCCGAGGTTCTGGTACGTATTCTATCCGTACTCGATTCATACAAAATTAGCAGCTTCGCAAATTCGTATCTCAGTTGACCAGACAGACGTTCTAGTATAGAGGATCGACGGATATCAATTTCCCGACACTTCGGGATTTGTACATTTCCGACCACCCATCACGATAGATAAATCAAACACCGTTTACCATGAAAGCTCGTGAGATGCCATACGACAGATCCAATTGAGCGGGGGAGAGTAATCCAAACAAAATGAGAGCGCAAATACTACTCGGGGCGAAAGAACGCAAGATGAAGGAAATAACTGTTGGAAACAGCAGCTCGCTTGGATACGGGGTGAGGTTCCCTACGCCGTTAGCTGACGGAAAAGCAAAGAATGACTCCAATGTACTCCGAATGCATGCCACCTAACGATACAGGAAACGTACGCAAATCACAGTCGGGTTGATAATTATGAAACACGCAGGGATTGGGATCAAAGAAGTTAATACTTAACATCGTGGAAGTTGTACAGGCCGTGGAAAGAAAGACAGGTAGGAACATCAAACTCGGGCCCTACTGATGCGTACATCTCCACTGTCGAGGAAATGATGGATTCTGCCGCTATGAAAAAGAGGCCCCCCAGCACAGTCACGGCTGGGAAGGAAACCGTTCATCCTTGTCTCGAGACCGGAAGCTTGTCATGGCTCTAAAATTGGAAGGTGTAATTTTGGCCTACCATTTTTCTGTGGATGGGCGTGTTTCTTTTCCTGTGTGTTATTTAAAATTTTGCCAAGTTGCCGAAGCGAAAGGATGACATTGAGAGTGAATGCCGGAAACGGCCTGGTGTTCGGCAAAGCCCGTGCTCGGCTTTTGATCGCTTTCTCCGTTCCCCATCATCTCCACGCGATCCTTCCTCGAGTTTCTACCGTACATCGCTATTCAGTCTCTGCACTCTTCACCAATCCCTTCGTTTCTTCACGAAGACCTGTGACATGGATATATTTTTTCTTGGAGTTCGAGGTACACAGTCTATTTTTACTTCGCTTCTCGTTAGCTAATTTCTTCTCGCTCACGCAGATTCTCCTCCCTCTCACTACCCCGGCCTCACCAATTGCGCTAAAACGTTCCGGGGAGCGAATGGAGGCCAGACTGTTGACAAAACCAGCATACTCCCCGATAACTCCGCGACCCACATTCACTCTCAAACTCTGCCCGCATACATCCTCGTCGTTGCTAAGCGCCGACTATGCGACTAGGACGTGTCAGTACGCAAACCCTATTTCCGCGGTACCCGCTGCGAATATCTTCTACCAGTAGAGTCGGTATCGACCAAAGTGTTGCAACCGACGTCAGCACTGGATCACAAGTCAGGAAGGAGCGGGATCTGTTGTTGGTATATAACGGGTTAGCAGTCCACAGGAGTATCTTTGATGTACGTCTCCGCATTCTGAGTATCGGTGTGGAGGGACTAATGATCTTCGTGCAGTGTGGCGCTCGCAGCTCTCAACGACACCCTATGTGCTCCAACATGACACATCTCGCTTGCTAATGCGTTGTTATCGCAGGAGACCAAGATGGAATCTTAGGAGCATCGAACACGCGTATAAGTAACAGCGAAGCGCATTGGGGAAGGAATGTGCTTTGGAGTGAAGTCTGCGGATTCAGTGTACTATCGATCTTTCCACTGAGGAATGTTACAAGGTATGTTGTCCAAGCACTCTCTATGCCTCTTTGGCTTCTTTCTCCTTCAGTTCATGGACTTCTCACCCCAGTCATCGTGAACCTCCGTACATTCGGCGTTGTCCTCGTCACTGGCGCCGAGGAGGCTCCGCTAAAACACCACCCTCTCCTTCATCAAATACACTGTACGCCGACTCTCCCTCACTGGAGATACTCCTGACCCACACTGCGCTGCCGCCCTCTAGTGCAAAATCATCCCCGAGAACCCCGACTTTGGCGTCCTCGTCATCCCCACCAACAGAAGCATCAAGGAATCCGTCACGATCCTAATGAAGACCATCGTAAACCATTTCGGACGAGTCAATTGTTATACTAATGTCGAAGGTAGTCTGCGGGCTCTCTTACCAACACAAGTCTTACATTTTGAATACATGAAGGGAAGTATATCGAAATCCTTGCCTATACATACGAAAGACTGGCTCGTACGGGAGCCAATTACCCGCATGGAGAAACAGTATCACCTCGTCACGCCTATCACCTCTACAAGGCGCCCCTCTGTGTGGGAGCATTGTCATGTCAGCGATGGTGATCGCCTCACTTAACTAAGCAGCATATATACGCACGAAAGATCCAACAAATGGCTTAACCAAGGCTGCAGGTACGTCGCCTTCTCTCGCCTTTCTCCCCTTTACTAATACACCTTTGTCTCTCTCAGCCCAAGACCGCGACATCCATAGCCATGCCATTCTCCTTGGATACATCTATACCGAACTCACGCCACCACCACGTGCGAGGGGATCTCCAACGAGTGCAAGCAAGTGAGATTGTGGTCGAGGAGCGAGCTCACGACAGGGACCAGCATTTTAGTCGATGTTACGGACTTTGATCTGAATGAAGATAACACGATTTATCTTGCCCGTACACTCAACTGCGTTTCTCTATCGACTGGTCTATCTTATCTGCCTCAACCTGGTCTCGTCTACCCGATTCTCGTCTGTGCGTTTGTACCTCGGGTTCCTGAAGCGGTGCAGGACGTAACAGAAGTAATCTTGGCACGCCAAACAGTGCTTTTGATAATAATAGCTCGAGTGGATCAGATAAATCCAGTACTCTCTGATCGTCTGAGCGCCCTTCTTGATAGCCCTAATTTTAAAGATTCCTTATCAGCCAAACTTTGACTGTACGCGAAGAAAGTCCTGAACCTGTCTAAACGACGGGACAAGAATCATGCGAGCAAGTAGGGATGACGGTCCGATGTATCAGGACCTGCAGGCATATGCTTTCTCTTTGTCTTGGTTCTCTAGTAGTGGCGAGGGCGGCTTCAGCTTGATGCGTTGTTCAAGGAAGACTCCCGCGCTGATATCATCATTTAGAGACTGCTGATACATATCTCTTGCCAATGTCCGGCAGAATCCACACGGGTGAGTCAAGTTGAGATCCGATGACGTTCAATTTTCTATGCAACTCAGCTTGAACTTATCGAACTCCAACGCAGCAGGACAGCCACTTGATCCGTATCAATGGAACCCCTTACCATAATCCAAAGCAGAAATGATGAATGTAATGTGTTTAAAAGTGCTAAATTCCCCTTGATTTGAAGAGGAATGTCATTCCAGCGACCAGTCATGGACCCGACTCGGACGACATACGCAAGTGCTTTTCCAAGAATCCTAACGTCATTTCATTGCTGTGACTTACTGACCTGTGCACCGCAATGAGAATCACGGATCTGAGAAATATAAAGGAGGGTTTGTTCACATTAATAGCCACGTCCATTTGCGCTCACAGGTGCTGTCTAGACCTCCTGAAGCATTCCTCCGGGGAATGAACGTTCGAATTTTTCCACTCTTCTCATCTCGCCTGTGCCATGGCTGTGAGTTTGAACTCGTTGAAAGGATACCGAATCCATCAACAGGTATATTCCTATGCGCTATCAAATCCCGAACCATACACCACCCAAACATACTCAGAACGACGTCAGACAAATGAAGTCCGAGATATGTACATACTACATTGCGGTTGATGCGATGCGTCCAAGATGCGCCACTACAAGAGCTCAAACCGACACCTTTGATGGAGTCTCACTCAGAACAATGCGACTAAAATATATCGGCTCCGCACTAATAAACGTCGAGTCTCCACACGAAACGAACACACACCTTCCTCCTCACTAAGGCAACTTCAGGTAGCTGTTAACCTTCTGTAGAATGTCTCAGACCGATTCCGATTTTGCATCTATCAAAAAATCCGCGATGCAGTACTCTGATGCCTGGTTCAACGCAGTTATCATCGAGTCCCTAACCCACGGTAAGATTATAAATTTAAACTAGTCATCCAGGAACTTACCATGAGCTAGGCATGTACACGGCATTATTTGCCGTCGTCCTGTGGCGAATTCGTACGTAGATGACCCTAGCCAACACGATAGAACTTGAAGTTTCCCCCGTAGTGTCAAGCACAACTATCAATACGCGGCAGGTTAGGATTCTTGCTGGGATCTCAGTGTTCATGTACATCATGGCGATAATGCACATTGCCTTGATATGGTTCTATAATAGATGGGCATTCATAACGAAAGGAGAGACAGAAGAAACGAGGTACTTCGCCTTCACGAACCATATGGCTGCTGGCTACCCTGCGTGGGCCCTGATGATCGGCGATATCGCGGCAGGCATCAATATATTGGTTGCGGATTGTGTTATTGTGAGTTCCCGGCCAGCACTTCTGGAGAAGCAGGTGTTGAATCGAAATTCATATTAGATTTGGAGGTGCTGGATTATCTGGGAAAGGAACTGGAGAATCATTGTCCTTCCTTGCATATGCACATTATGCGGAATGAGTAAGTCCCTAGACTCTAGCCTGTATGATATCCAGTCACTGACTAATCCAAGCCTTTGGGATTTTAGGTGTCCTTCAGAAGCTGGCACCTTCGAACAGTTCGCAGAAAAATCTTTCAAAGGAAGACTGGGTAATGGCATATTACGTTATGTCACTGCCCACAACAGCGATGTGTACCGCCCTCATCGTGTACCGGCTGACTAAGGTCAGCAAGACTAGGAATTCCCCGCACTTCACCCCAAACCCATATCACCACGTCATAGAGATGGTCATAGAATCCTCCGGATTGTATGTTGTCGTCCTGGCCATCTTCATCGTGTTCGAAGCGACGAATAATCCTTATGGCAGGTATCCAGCAGCAGTACTTCAGTCGGTTATTGTGAGTTTGAAAACGTCTTGTTCATAAGTAAAATTCACAGTGCTTTTGCGCAGGGAGTCACGCCGGCGTTGATACTCCTTCGTGTTGTGTCCGGGAACACCAGTACGGGTCTGCCGAGCGATAATATATATTCACAGCATTTACATCGCCTAGCGAGATGGCAAATGGAGTGCAGTGAAACGAGTGTGGATGATAACGATGTGATGATCATTGGTCCACAAAAGACAGTTGAAGTAGCATGAACTTCACACGATTGTCATCCTGGAGAAGAGAGTTATTTATTTAAATAATCGGAAAGGTGGAAATAATAGTCGATACCTTGTCGTTTCCATATCCACAGAAATAGCCTAGTTCTCTGAAGATATGTTTCTGTACCATATATAGATGAGCACCATTGCCAGAGATCGAGAACCAGGTCGCCTACTCCCTGCAACCACGATGACGCACCAACATCACCTCAAGATTCCAGATGTCGCAAAGATGACATATCTCCTCTCCATTCAATATCCTGGTCACCATCAGGCCGTCATTACCCCATTGCAAGCAGAGCGTCATCTCACTCTGTAGATCCTCCAGCAGCATAAGTGACGATACCCGAGGAAACAGATGTGCCTGCCTTGATTACTGATATTGTTGAACTGCACAGAACTCCAGATGTGAAAGGGAAATCAAGAGCTATCGATGAACCGTTTCGTGCTACCCCGAGTAATGTTGGACTTCGATCCGATGTGCAGGGCAAGTCCAGGGAAGATACACCTCTTCTTTCACCAGCACCCTCTAATGTCCCCGAAACCGCATGCGCGAGGTCAAAGAAACCCGTTCGTATGGCCTTGGACTCCTTGCATGCCCATTTGGGTGCGACTTCAGCATCATCGTCGTCGGGTCCGACTCTGCTTAATCGGCTATCATCACGAACTGAGGATAAGATGAGACTAGTTAGTGGGACAGTGTGAATATATCGACATTACTTACCATAATGGCTAGTATACATGGTTTCCACGATTATATCAGGTTTTTACGGCTAGATTGTTCAACAACTTCACCAATGGAATATTAGCTGAACACTGAACACTGCAATAGTCTAGATTTTGTCTCAATTCAAAATCTGTAAATCCTATAGCGAGCACCCTGAGTCTGTAGAGACAGTCGAAGAATTTGGGCACCGCTTGCATGAAAAACAAACCCCAGCACAGACGTTCAATAAGCCTTAGAAGAGATTTACTAGTACGAAGCTAGAAGCTAGAAGATAAAACACTTTGGAATGCTACATCAGAAAGCAATGTTTTGGCCTACCTTTGCGTGAGTGGATGTGCGCGTTCCTTTCAGTATTTTGCCGGACTTGCGCAAAGCTGTCGTGTCCACCAGCATTCACTGTCCCTCACCAGAAAAGGATGTGAGACTTCAGTGGAATCCAGTGATGAACGCTGGGTCTCGGTGAAATCCGAACACTCCATCCTAGGCTCCGAAATCCCACTGACCTTCGGTGCCTTCCAGCAGATACCACTGTCTTAAACTTACACATGGTCCCAATATCCTGGTGATTGATGGTGTATACCACCGGATATTCCTTCCAGTAGCCCTTTCTTATCCAGTGGTGTATGTCGTATAACAGTGGATGTCAGTGATATAACACATGGATTGGGGTGTGTATTACAGTGTCCCTCACTGAGTATCACCGGCATGCACCGGAATAATACACAGGTACGCTCGCAAATATCACTGTGATACAATGACATACGGTGATGCACACTGATCAATCCATCCATTTTGTTTTGATCCTCACTGAGAGACACCAGTGTCCAGTGTTCCACCAACAATACACATGTCTCAAGGATGGGGCGGGTTAGTCGGGGCCAGTGATCTTCAACGTAATCCACCAGTAAATAGATGCGATGGCACTCGGAATCCCACTGGCCTTCACTGGGGTACAGTGTAGTCCAGTATATATTCTAATAATTCTATACTATCTACTCGAGAACCTTGTCCCAAAACTCTTGCGTCAAGCCTCTTTCCTTCTTCTGAATTCTTTGCTCGACCTTTTCCTTGTATAGAAGCATCAGCGAGTGGATATAAAAGTCGTAGTTGATGTTAGACATTTGTCGCAGTTGACTTTCAAACCCAGCTAGCCATGAATTAAACTGCTCTGCTGTTTTGGTGTTGAATGCCCATGTTAAATGCTTCGTTCCATTGGAATCCTCATGTACCTGAACTAGATCAGGTTGAGATCCATCGCTTGGAGATGGGTTGCATCAGAACCGGCATAAGACATCGGTTGCTTTGTGTCCTATGTAATGCCAAGCATCAACAATAAATTTGGTCGAAGAAAGCCAGTGGTCATTTGGATTCTGTGTCATGATATGCCGCAGCAGCTTGCATGATGAGTCGTATGCTATTATCGCCAGCTTATGTTCATGGTGGCCATCCCAAATCCGATCTATAATTGCATGCACCTGTGTTGGACTTTCTGCTGCATAGCACTTTCCCCATCCAATTGGCATCCCACAGGACCACTGCACAGTCTGGAGACAGTATATTGACCGTGCACGGAAGGTATGAACGACATCGTTGCCAGTGACACCTCCAAGGTCTGGGAGTTGAATGCGAAATTGATTTTGGGTTAGCGTGGTTGTTGTCAAATCCTGTCCAATGGCTTCCTCCATGGCCTGAGTCTGCTGCCTTCATATTACTCTTTGGATACCAGGAAATGTCATTCGTTGGAACCGATGAGACCACTTTCGATAAAATGCTTGATGTGAAGGATCCGCACAGGTCACAGTACCATGCTCTACCGGTCATCCACATGAGACAATCCCGCATATGTCTTCCATTCCAGCCTCCAGATGCAACTTGCAAAACCGTCCTCGCTTGTAATTTGTCAGAGGATTTTTGCAGGCTTGAACAGAGCAGATCTAAAGTCATCATTAGTTTGGAGTAATATCACTTTGCCAACACGTGAATCACATACACGATGTTTCATTGTTTTTCCATCTATCACTGCCATTCGTGTATAGCCTCTAGGTCCTTCTGGGGGACTTATATCACGAGCCAAATTTTGTTGTTGTAAGATATTATCTGCAGGGTCTCCACTATTGGGATGATCCACATCCTGTCATATTTCTGCATCAGCTCTGCTAACTGAGTCTCGAAAAGCAGTCGTGAAGCAACTCACCATGTTATTATCCTCCAAGTTGTCATTCTCTGTTCCAATTTGTTCAAGACTCTCATCTGCGATTGCATCAGCTTGCGATGCAAGTTCAACACCCTCAGCAATGAGATCCTCGCGGTATCACTTTTTATGAGTGCAGTCCATACAAGAGTGCTCCATGGCACCAGGTACAGTCCCTCCATCTTCTCCTATGACTGATCATACACTGGCAACGAGGATGTCGGTAGTTGCATTGGAAGGGCATCGGAATGTGCTCTCTTTTCTGTGGGATACCAAAAGTCGGCGTGAAAAGTGTTCCACAAATAGGCGCTGTGATTGTCGAAATGTGATTGCCTTTCCAGACATTCTGGCATTCAGAAAGTCCACAAAATTGGACCATCCGGAACTGTGATGGACAATCGACTCCTCTTGATCCAGTGTGATTGATCTATCTGCCCAAAGACCATGCTTGGAGATTCGCAGGTATTTGGCCTCTGCAACCAAGATCTGACTTCCCCTTCCAGGAACATTTCCATGCAGTAGAATTTTGTCAGGATAATAGCGAGCCAAGCAGGCATTGCACTGAGCAATGAAAAGAAATGCTTTTCTCCAGCTACGATTAGCCATGAGTACGTCAACCTTTTGAATAGCTTCACGATGTCATAGAGTTATTAGCCGGCGGGTATTTGGAGGACATAAGGTACAGGAACGATAGGGCGTGACAAGAACTAGAGGAGGCATGGGAAAGATCTCGGAAAGTGGAAGCTCGCCATCGACATTGAGGAACTCATACAGTATATCCATATTTTTGGTTATATTGTCGACATAATCCATCTGTTCATCAGGGTGTAGCCATCCCACATCATCTTCAGGATCAAATGCATGCTTCAGCAGCTGCATTGCTCCTGTAATCCAAGCTGTTCGTTCTCTGTCCAGGATCTGTATGCTGATTATGATGCAGCTGAATGATTGGGTACAATGCCATAAACATCAGTAATACCCCGATGACATTGGTTAATGAGAGCCCAGGTGGAAAGAAAAGATTGAGGACGTGAATCAGATCCTGCGCAGAACCCGGTCTGGACATATCACTGTTGAGACGAGAGAAGTGAACTGCTTTTATTTTCGCATTCAAATCAGATAATATATATAAATATATATCTATATACAATACCCACTTCTACTAATGTACTCTATGAACTGTCTTCATCCTCGGAACTGCCATGAAAGATGCTTGTGTTATCACTGTCCAAGTTATCAGAGTGGACTTCGACATACCGCACTATCTTCGTCGAACTAGAGGCCATGTGCTCACTGTCCTTCTTCATCTTCTTCTTCTTGTGAAGCTCCACAGGTGATTGACTCCTGCTCGATGCAGATGAAGACTCAGATGAAGATTCCACCCGACATTTGCCCTTCCTACGCAACTGACCCTCATCATCTGAGCCTGACTTCTGCTCCTTCGACGACTTGGCCTCCTTTGATGACTTCCCTTCCTTCGATGATGATTTGGCTTCCTTCGACGACTTTCCTTCCTTCGATGATGACTTTCCTTCCTTCGATGACCTGCCTTCCTTCGATGATGACTTCTCATCCCTTGACGATGACTTCCCATCCCTTGACGATGACTTCTCTTCCTTTAAGGATGATTTGCTATCCTTCAATGACCTCTCACTCTCATCACGCTTGGTCTTCTTCTTGTAAGATCGTCCTGCGAGAGCCTTCAATGCCTTCGTTCTCTTCCGCTCCTGCTCCTCTCTCTTTGCTACTTTGATGTCCTGTATCGTCGTGCTGAATGTGCCTAATGCCATCTCAGCATACTCCTGGAAATCGGGCCCATCAGGATAGTTAAACCATTTTCTGATGGTATCAGGGCTGTTCCTACGTGCTTTCTCGCCAAAGAGAGACTTGTAGATATTCACAGTCATTTTGGAGATATGAAACACTTTCTTGTATACGACCTCTATGATGTTGAACTGAGACCCCGCGAAGAGCGCATAATCTAAATGCCTTTAGTACCTTGAAAGATCAAGTGATTCTGACATCTACCTGGCTCTTCCAGTCGAGACGGAACCTTGTAGGTATCAACACTCTTGATATCCCCAGACTTCCATCCATCTGCACGTAAAGACTCCCGGCATCGCTCTATCAAAATCTGCTTCTTAAGAGCATCGATCGCACAGTCGGCCTTCGTATCTACAACCTCTTGATCAGTCGACTCAGTGCCAAAACCCATTGCCTTCTTGACAAGATCAATGAAGTCCTTCGACTGGAGATCCGGTGCCTTGGACTGAAGCTTGGTGTCCATACTGACATCAGGCGGTTGACCATCTGTCTTCACCGACTCCATTTGAGTGATGGTGGTAGACGAGCTGGTAGGCTATAAACAGTGATATAAGCCATCTATTCTCAATGAGAAAACATGTATCGCACCTGCACCGCTGATTCCTGAAACAGATCGCAAACAAAAATGTCGCCGTGCTTCTGTAAGTCGTAGTACTTGGCGCGATCGATACTTGTGAGAGGGTCTTGGCTTGCAATGAAACCGCTCTCAGGTTGCATAGTCCCTACAACCATCCGGGACAGGGGATTGACGATGCCTGGCCTTAAGATGCGTCCACCCCATTCTAAAAATATGAGATGAGTAACAGGAATGGAGAATGTCATATTGCTTATGCTTCATAGGTGAGGATGCCTCACCAACAGCCTCCAGAAGATTATCCAGCTGAACTGCGTAACCTGGTAAACTAGCGTCTGAAGAGCGTGATGGCCGTTGGTAAATGTGGACAGCTTTCGAAGCAATTGGAACTTCTAGAGAAGCACCATTGGGTGCACCCGTGGCAGCCACAATCTGATGCATGTTCACGATGATAACTGACTATTAGTATGGACTACCAGGTCTATTAAGACTGTACGACTCACCACTTGGACCGATGGTTGAAAGATCTTTAACCAGTGCATATTCAGACTTCCCAGGCAAGGCTTTGAGCTCTGGAACCTCCTTCTTATCATCTGCAAGTACACTCAGAGCAGACTCCGAGTTGCTATGTCCATCGCTGCTGACACTGGGTGGCACCTCGACTATAGGTTTATCTGACTAAGATTTCAGTGCACATTAAGACTGTCGCTGCAAAAGACGTACCTCTATTTTCCGCTGTTGACTCTGACGATGGCTGTAACAGTTTGAAGCTTGGTTTGGGAGCATTAGCCGTCTTCAAATCTAGTAGTTTCTTGTGGGCACTGCGGATAATCGTTAGTGTGGATAAGATTAACGAAAGCAGGCATACCCGGATGGCTCTTCATTTCTCTGAGCAGCTTGAGCAGCATTGTCCGTGGCGGCTTTGTCACTGCTAGTATTCATATGTTTGCTTGTTTGTCCAGAGGTATGTGATGTCCTGTCAGTAGGCTGGATGTTGCTTTTTAAGCTGGGGATGTTCAAACCCTTGAACTGAGGTGTCTGCAGGAGCTCGCGATGCTTATTGAAGTGATCAGTGATCTCCTGAGCGAGCCCAGCACAGGTAGAAGTCCGGTAGGCAACATCATCACCAGCACTGTAGAGTCCGAGGGAACAAACCAAGGGTCAAAGCAGTGCCTCCTTACGTGAAGTGGCGCTGATTTTCCCTTTGAATGCTATGAAGTTCTCAGACATAACGCCGAGATGCAGATGACTCAGCTCAGACTGAGACAGGATGGGCAAAAAAAGGATTGAAACTCCATTCAGAAAGCCGGTGGAAACTCATGGAAGCTGGTGGAAAAGCGGAGGCAAATGCTACCCCCTCGATCATCATTGAACAGCGGACTACAGTGATGTTCAGTGAACGACGAGAGCGTCTGCAAAATGAATGAGTCACATGCACCGGCAATCACTGAACTACTAAATTTGGTGCTGCAACTCGCTGGGCCTCACCAGCCACCACTCTCCACCAGTGTTCACCGAGAAACACCAATGACTTTGCTGAGTCCGCGTAAAAAACTCCCTTTGCTAATCTGCCTGATCACAGTCAAAGGAGAAGCCAAGGGGCTCCGGACCGATGTTCCGTAGAACCAGATTTGCTCAGCATGCAGCATTCTCGGCTCTCTTCCACTTCACGTTCATACTCTTCCAGCGTTCTTTTTCTCCTCTTGACTTCCGACTCGTGCATTCCTGTTTGATGATGACTTCAATATGGTGGAGAGTCGTGATGTACATACTTTTGCGTTCCCTTGGGGTATTCTCATACGCGGTCCATTTTTACTTTTCTTCCGGTTAGCTAATTTCTTCTCGAGCGCATAGGTTCTCTTCTTCTCCTTCCTTCAAAGGACTACATCAACCTCACGATATTATGCGTTAACGTTCCAGTGAGCGACATGGGATGACTTCAAAATGGGCTGGGACCTGTGACGTATGCACGTATTCCTTTGGGGTAAATTTTACATCGTTTCTCGTTGGCTAATTTCTTCTCACACGCATAGAGTCTCCTCCCACAAAAGCCTACCCTCCTCCCTCTCATTGTCCCAGCCTCACCAATTGTTCCAGTGAGTGAGATGGAGGACGGACATAGACGCATCTGGAGGGAGACTCCCCAATAAGTATGCGACAACTTCCACTCTCAGGCTCTGCCCACATACGTACTCATGGTTACCAGCTCCCTAAGGGCTGACTACGCGACTATGAAGTGTCTGTACACAACTCCCACTTCTGTGGTCTTCCTGGAAAAAGGCTTCTACCAGTAGAGTCAACATTGATCGAACTTTTGCAACTAGCATCAACATCAGAGGAAGCCGGATCTTTGGTCAAAGCATGGCAATAATAGAGATTATATCAGATCGCATGGCCCTTCAGATGTACGTCTCCGCATTCTGAGTATCGGTGTCGAGGACTAACCCGACTCTCAGGGATACCATATATGCTCCAGAATGACATATCTTGCTTGCTAACGCGTGTTCATCACAGAAGACCAGGATGGAAGTGCTAGGAGCATTGAACATGCATATAAGTGACGGAGAAGCTCGTCGGGGAAGGAATGTGGTTTGCTTGGAGAGGAGTAAGGTTTCATGGTGATCTCAAGACCATGTGTTCCTGCAAATTCGGTGTACTACCAATCTTTGCCCGGAGGAATGTTACGAGGTATGTTGTCTATGCATCCTTGGCCAACTGTTCCTTCAGTTCATCAACTTCACACTCCAGTCATTGTGAAACTCCGCAAGTCTGGTGTCATCATCACCAGCGCTGGGGAAGACTCGAGCTGAGCCATCATCCTCAGTCGATAAACACCTGTCTTATTCCATGAAAATCATAGTATCCAGATAAGGGACTTGCATTCCCAGCCAAAGAGGGGTCCGTTCCGCCTGAATCGCCTCCTCGCAAATATCCAAGGCTCTCCCTCCAGACTCTACGTATGTATTTCAATCGTTCTGTTCTTTTTTTGGCAATAAACCTCCTTACCGTCTCTCATGTCTGTTAACAGTATTGTTCTCTGTCGTCTCGATGGGAATGTACATATGCATTCATGGAAGATGTGAAGCTTTTGGCTCCTCTGAAAGTATTTTCTGTCTGTCCAATGGCATAGGTGATTTACCCAGGGGGGAATTAACTGGCATTACCTAGTCCTGAACAATGCACGTCGATAACATATATGTGGTGCTGATTTGAAGACATCTAAAAGCGGTCCTGATTGAGAAGTTGGTTCCTCGCGCTGGTCTATAAGGCAACTTTATGCAGAATTCTGTTCTTCAGCAAATGTGTACCGAAACGAATGGTCATTACGATGAATCCTCGGCCTTTTCATGGTTTGTGATTACCTGTAATGAAATCATACACCAGCGATGATGCTCCATTTCCTCCGAACCAGTACAGCAGCAGGGAGAATTCTGATCGCCTTTTCTACGAGCATCGACTTTTTGCAAGATAGCTGATGTAAATTTAACTCCAGGTGCATGCAACACTGTGTACGGGTAAGGTATAACGGATCAGGGTGGATATGACTGAGATTGGGGCCGTTGATGCCGGCAGAAGAGCTTCATGCACAATAGGAACCTGGCCTGTGGAGTTAAATGATAAATACAAAATGCGTATCCCAGACACGTAGTACCAAACTTCAATCGCATCTTCAATATCCACTCTGCTCCCTAGTCATACTTTAAGCATTCATACAATAACATACTCTTTCTTATATACATCGAAGCTGTCTACCAAGAAGTTCTCTTCAATCACTTCTTTGATCCACCACTAGCGGTGTCTGTGATCAGCCGTCAAAGTGATACATCGTGCTGCCTCGTTTGCTCCTGCATGTTTCATTTTAGTCTACTACCACAGATACATTCACTCAAGCTGAATGGAAACTGAGACCATATATCTTTCAGAGAGGGTGAGAAACATCACCAGCCAACTGATTACTGTGTTAGTGAGTACTTGATTCAATTATTACGGTACAAGCATTTCCACACCTTCAAGTGGCCTGTCTTCATTCAACAGAGATCTCATACTTATTATAATGAACCCGTGATAAGATTTTTACGTGTTCTGTAATACTGAGGGTTCAACAAAATTCTAGGGCTAGCCATCCGCCACACTAGTAATATCTCTGAACCGTTGAAGCATGTCATACAGGCACTTATTATTACGGTACAGGTCACGAAGCAAGAAAAGAAAGCCACTGTATAACCATCACCAATTAGAATTGTTTTCGAGGATAGGAAAGACAAGACGTGGAAGGTAGCCACCTTCAGGGAGGAGGTGGACCTGAAGACCCTAGGGTTCGAGGTAAATGTGATAATATGAAAAAAAATAAAGAAAGGAGAAAACATAAATATCATGGAACCATGGACGCAAGACTCAGAACTCTCGAAACATATATGGAATTACTTCCCCCTTCTTGATAGATGTAAAAAAAAACTGGCATCAAACATGCCATGGGGCCAAATGGATGACTTAGCTATCACCTTTTTTTTCAAAATTATCATGCCTCACATTACGGACATACTTCTCTCAGTCTTAGCACACAAAATAAAGATGGCAAACCAGGTAATAGGCTACGTTTTTGGTTATCTTCAATGTAGCAGAAGGTGAAGCATAATTACATCCGTGCTCCCTTTCTTGATTTCTTTCATTTCCGCGGCTCATATCCCACCTCGGAGATCACTGCTCCGCTATGGACCTATAAGAGATCTCATATTCCTGATGTGATCCATTCATCCTTCAAGTCGATTCAAACATTCTGTTTGAAAGTCTAGACTCGATTATTTCCCTCACTGCTTCCGTCAGATTTTGTTTCTTTGTCAAACTGAGAACTCGACGTTGTGGCGTTTCCCAAACTGAAGTAGTATGTTCATGACCAAAGCTGATAAAATCCACAGGATAATGTGATATTAGATGCTTCTATTCGGAGACTTCTTCCAATGAGCTGACATCTTAGACGACCACAAGACTACCATGCAGCTAATAACTGACTTCCAATAATACAATTGGAATGGTCCCTCCCAGTACGCCGGTCTGCACATCGCTAGAGGAATTCAGTCACAAAATAGCGTAAGGACGAGCATGACTAACTGACTTCTGCTTCTGAGAAGACGGGAACCCTACCACTCTCAACAGACCCCAGGGATGTTTCGAACCCATCGCATCACCTGAGGCGTTATTGAAAACTATATAACCCACTGAAAACTTGCATGGATCCCCCAGTCGCCTCTCATGCTCAAGAGCCTCTTCATCTTTACATGCCTTTTCATCTTAGGCATCCACGGCTTACCCACAGAGCTGTCCAATGCTACTGCGACATGGAACGCTACCACAACAAAGATAGTGGAACACGCTGCACCCACCTTTACGCTCAACTACAGAACCTACCCTGAATCATGCGAGAACATATGCCAGTCTATTTCTTTATTTTCCATGCGTAGACTCGATATTAACTTCATCAACAGGTTTTTCTTGGTTCTGTACATCTGCCCTTCTCCTTCCCTTAACTTGACCTCTAACACTTCCCCGAGACAGGTCACAATGGGCCTCGCTCTGTAGCTCCTAACTGCCCGCAAGCAACTGACCATCATCATAGCAACAGTTGCAGTAACGTTAAGCGAAACCGGTGCAGCGCACTTGTACATGATTTCCCTGTCTTGGTATCGTACATGGAAAACTGATACATTTATCAGGTGGGCCATGCCAGTGGGTACCAGTGCGATGAATGGCCTTGGGTGAACTCTAATGCCGGGGGTGCTAATGTCGCTACAAGGTGTATTCCCGGTAGCGATAACGGGGGTGAGTTTCTCTGCTTTATGTATCTTGAATTCAGATTGACGGTGTCCACCACTTTGTTTCCGCCTAGGATCTGGTGCACAATGGGGGAATTTCATCAATGTACGTCTCCGTTTTTTTATTATGAGACTAGATAAGAACCCCTGGGCTTGCACATACAGGACAAAGGCCTGCAAGCTGTTGGACATGTTTTACGAGATAATGTTGATGTGAGTTTATTATTTCCTCCCATTCAAGTCCTCCTTCTGAAGCTCACCTAGTTTGCCAAAATTGAGATCAACCATGTCCCAAGGACTGGGAAGTTCTGCTTAGGGGTACTTGGAAGTAAGTTGTGACTGTTTATGTTGTCAGTCCCGACTGATTCATTATTAAAGCGACTATCACTGCGGCGACATGCAATCAGCTTGACCGTGGTCAGCCATTTTTGCAAAGCATTGGTTGAGGGTAACTCCTGCCAAAGATTCGGACTACCACAATTTGATACCTTGTTGCTGTGGACATCTGTTAATTTTCCTTCATACCTTCCTATAATCCTGCCCATCTTTCTTGTGACCACAGACTCGGATTGAATATAAATAAGAATGCTTCCTTGACTTGAACTGACACATGACGATCCAAACCTTATTGGAACCGGAACACTGTAACATTATGCAGATGATAATATGCCTCTTTAATACTAGTTGGTGAGGGCCAACGCATCCACATGGCAGGTCCGAGTCCTATGTTTTTTGTCTCCAAAAAATAAAAGAAAAAGTTAACAATGATACTTAATTGAATTCATGGACTAATAACTACAACAGATTTATACAAAAGTACATCGCGTCAGACTCCTTGCGAAGGACAAAATGGTGATGAAGGTGATAGACATACGGGATCCAGAAGAGCAGAGAGTGCATACTGACATGGTAAACAGGAACACAATATCATCAACGCTGCATCTATCAAACGAGACGAGGATGCAGGGGTGTGGAGGATCTTGCGTCACAACGTGAAGGATGGGACTATCGAGGAGATGGTCTTCACAATCACGGGCACCATATTCGCGATGGATATACCACCTGTAATGAAGGAGACAAGGTAAGTGGACAATTTCATGATAAGAGGGAGGGGGTAGGGAACGTACTCACAATTTACACAGGATGCTGAAGGAAAAGACGAGGTATTGAGCAAAGGAAAAGATGATGCCGTGTCCACAATCAAGGAGATACAAGTTATGGGGGAAAGAGAGTTCAGGGAAGGGGAATTAGAGAACTGGAAACCGGATATGGAGACGACGAACCGCTATTTCAGACCCAAAAACAGTTTGAACAAAGAGGAAGGAAACCTATTGCAGCCAACGTCGACCCAGCAGGTGTACTCGCCAAGATAGCGCAGCGGAAGTCGATCCACACCGAAGAAAACATTGTGTGCTACTTCAGAGGAGGGAGGGAAGAAGAGGTCAGCACCGCAGAGCAATCGAGAATGTTAAATCGATGACACCTTTGCATTACAGATACATGATGGTAAAGCTACAGACATTCTGGGTAGGCGATGTTGTCGAAGCCCAGTGCTCAATGGTATTCATGAGGAGTAACGAGGCAGGGCAAGGATGAAGACGATTCTGAGGGCATTGGCCCTAGTGAACTGTGATCACTTGTCAGTGAGTGATACAGATGAAGGTATCAAGGACAATGTACTGATCAGACTTATCCACAGAAAGCCAATTCGGACAGGAGAAATGCAGAGAGTATGCTGGCTCTGTAACGCACTAACTTGGATTGTACAACGTTTGCCTCTAAACTGTCACTCGCGTTTGGTGATTCAGTTGTGAAGAGGGCGTTGCAATTGCTAGGTCAGAAACGATAGTCCTTAGTTTTGGAAGCAGGGGGTTTCTGCGTGAAAAGTTAGGAGTGTATAACTTTAGCCGAAGCTGGGGTGTAAGTCCACAGCAAGGCTAGGCTTAAATACATTGTGGTATATACTAATTGGTACTTGTCCCAAAGCATCGCTGTCTTCTAGGCTGGCATGTTTGGTATGCTAGAAGTTCCCCCGCAAGTAAGAAGACTAGCGTTTGTATGGCGCTATCTTCTGAGAGGTATACGTGGCATCCTATCTGTCCTAGGATGTGATCAGAGTCAACCTAAAGAAGCGTGACTAGCTGGAGGAGGGTCGGGCCCATAGTCGTGTGATCGGATCTATGGGCCATCAAACGGATCATGCGTGTGAACGGTGGATCATGCATGCGATTGATCGGGTCATGAATGATGCGGGTCAGGTATGAGGAATGATGATGAGAGTCGAATGATGAGTTGATAAGATAAGATAAGATAAGCAAAAAATAGGGGTGATTCATGACAGGCTCCAGCTCACTTGGACGAAGAGGAAGATAGGTTTGGAGGAAGATGAAGATGAGGATGAATATGTGGGCAGGCGCTAAAAAGACCAATAGGATGAACGAGGTGGATGACGATGAAGGAACAGTGAGATTCGTGCAGTTATATATGGCATGTGCTTATAGAACGACACAAAGAGAAATTGACATTAAGAAAGGCAACAAACAGGGGAAACAAACAAAAAAACAACAGAAGCCGCCAGTGACACAAAGAAGCAGCAATGAAACGGAGCTGTCAGGAGAAAGAGGATGAAGCCAGGAGAAAAAGGGTGCATGAATAGAAAACTCCCATGGCCAAAGCCCAAGGGACAGAGTGAGATAGTTGGCAAATGCTGCCATCAATTGATTCCACCAATAGAATTTCCCATGGGTCTTTCCCAACTGCATAATGACCGAGATATCCTATATTCATAGGACTCAGAACAGCGGAAATATGGGCCTGTCTCATTCTTTTTATCCTTGCTGGTATTGGTTCATTACCATCTGAACAGGCCGTAGAAAGAAAGACCCGCCCTGAAATAGGAACACTGAACTCGAGCCCCACTGATGTATACATCTCCATAGTGGAGATGACACCTTTGCCACTTTGAAAAAGACTAGCACAGTCATGTCTCGGAAGGAAATTGGTTATTGTCAGAAGCTCACCCAGAATCTAAAAGGGAAGAGAATAATTTTGACCTACCCTTATGCCGTGAGTGGATGTGCATGTTCCTTTTCCTATGTCATTTGAACTTACGCCTTGTCAAAGTTGGAAGGAGGAGAAGAACAGCAGAAACAGCCCAGAGTGTTTGGCAAAATCCTTGGTGTTCGGCAAAGCCCGTTCTCGGAGGCTATTGATCACTTTTTTCGTTCCCCATCATGTCCACACATTCCTCACTATTCAATAATCAATCTCTACACTCTTCTGCAATTCCTGCAATTCTTCGTGACTTTAGCCATGCTATACAATGCCTTCAAAATGGGCTGGGACCTGTGACGTGCACACGCATTCCCTTGGTTCTGGTTCATGAGTGCGCAATCTATTTTTACATTGTTTCTCATTAGCTAACATTTTCCCGTGCATATAGATTCTCCTACCACACTCTCCCGCCCTCCTCCCTCTCACTACCGCATCCTTACCAGTTGTTCCGATGAGGGTGATGGAGGATAGACCGATGACACGTCCGGGGGGAGAACTAGCATAACTCTGCGACCCACATCCACCTTCAAACCCTGCCCACATAGATCCTGGTCATTACCAACCACGCTACTAGGATGCATCAGTACACAACTCCCACTGCTGGCTGCAAATATCCTTTACGATTGAAGCCAGTATTGACTGAAGTGTTGCAATTGACCTCAGCAGGTACTGCACAGGAGTATCGTTGGGTGTACATCTCTGCATTCTGATCATCGGTCTCAAGGTCTAATGTTCTTCTTGTAATGTAGCACTTGCAGCTCTGAGCAGCACCTTACATGTTCCAGCATGACACATTGTGCTTGCTAGTGCATGTTTATCATGGAAAACATGGAAATGTTTGAAGGATCGAACACGCATATAAGTCATGGCAAAGCACGTTGATGAGCCTCCAGGCTCTGTACGCTCAGAATTCATGGATTTTACCAGATATTTAATTCCCCAGCCACCACACAAACCTACTATTTCAATCCCGGCAATATTGCTTAATGCCGCCAATTATCCTTCCCCACTTGTACCCCACATCAATTACGTGCCCCTTTCATTAATTCTGCCAGTCTTCTTTCATTAATTCCACCAGGCACCTGATTGTCGATCTCACGGAATTAGAATCCCATCTGATTGCCTAGCACAGCCGCAATTCCGCAGCACAGCCACAATTCTGCAGCTCAAATAGCAATTCCGTGGCATTAGCTCTAATGCCGTGACCTTTCCTCAGTCTTTACTAAGGCTGTTATACCGCCAAGAGATTGCTGCAAGCATCTACTTCAGTACACTTGCTTCAATGTACTTTGCCGCAGCAACACAGCAGCTCAAAATTCCGGAGATCGGTGGCATTCTTGCTAATCACTTCATCTATATGCAGTAAAGCCATATGGGTGCTGTTACTTTCGAACCACAGTACACAGTAAAACTGTATGGATGCTGTTACTTTAGAACCTTGGGAACATGTGTTTGGTATCATTTCTTACCAATCTATGTACTACGGACTTACTAAGGACTCGCTTCAAGTATTCTAAATTTATTCCGGACTTGTAGTATAAAAGCTAGTATACACCACGGAAAATAGGGAGTTGCTAGACACAAGTTACTGGACACTAGCCATCATCCACGTTATCAACCACCGTTATTGCTTGTACTCGCTAGGAGATAGACAATAACAACATAGTCACTCCAAGTTATACTCTCTGTCAGGGCTTTTCTTCTAACGGTATTGGTGTATGCTCATATTGCACCAATACACGGAATTTGGTGTCCACAACTCGCTTTTATCTTTTAATCCGCCAGCATCATTTCACTTTCACCAGCCAGGATCGTTTTCATCAGTTTTCACCTTCTACATCGCCATCATTTTACCCAGTTCAGTTCAGGATCGTTACGTCCCTGTGTGGACTCAGATTAGGATCGTTATTGCCACCAGCAGCATCTGTCACGGAATTTCGGTCAACAGCTTCAGTATAGGATCATCAGTCACGGTATTTGGTATCTTGCCGTCAGTTTCAGTATAGGATAGTCTCCGTGTAGACTCAGGATTAGTATCAGTCTCGTTTTGCCGTCGTTAACCTCAGTATAGTTTCAGTCTCAGTCCAGCCCAGTCCCAGCCATCGTTTTGCCGTCACTAGTTCCCCCTCATATCATCGCCAGTTCGTCTTATCTTCGTTTTACCGCCAGTTTCTCGTTTCTCGACTACAGTCTTTGTCTCTTGCCATCACGGTATTTGTTATCTTGCCAACGGTATTGCTCTTTGACGGCATTTTCTCTAAATCCGTCAACATCGCCCATGGCTTTTACTAGTTAATTGCCATCACTTCATTCACGGTTTGCCGGTATTCCCAGTTATACCGGATTCCATTCCTTCTCGTCTATCGAGACCCTTCCTGGCATACAGCCAATGTTTTCTAGTACTTGATCGTTAAGGGTACTACTTCGCTGACTGAAAAGTCGCAGAGTATACTTGCGTTCTTGAGGAATTCATCGCACGGAGGTGCACCGAAACACTCGCACAACAACAAAGCCTTTATTGCTGCTATGCACCATTTGCCGTGAACTCCTCTAGAGTTTTGGTTTTTGCCGTTGCAATGGAAGTTTAGGCTCATCAACGTTAAGGAAGGAATGTGCTTAGCTAGAGCCCCGCCAGTTAAGCGAGCTCTGGAGAGGAGTAGGTCCTTTGAAGTTGTAACGTGTAACCTTCTGTGACTGATATAATCTGAAGACCGAGAACACAGTGGTCTCAAGATGATGTGTCTCTGCAAATTCCATGGAGTACCAATCTTTGCATGGAGGAATGTTACGATGTATGTTCTGAACTTATATATGCATTCTTGACTAACTGCTCCTTCAGTTCATTCACTTCACACCCTGGTCATTGTGAAACTCTGCATGTCTGGCGTCGTCCTCGTCACCCTCCCCAGAGAAGGTTCGAGCTGAGCCACCATCCTCTCCTTTGCTGAATCCAGCATCCATTGACCTGCCCTTGCTGAAGACACTCCTGACTGTTACAATTTTTCCATTTTTCTTATCTTATCCAAGCATCTATCTTATCTTCGGCGCTTACAGACAGTCTACATGCCATAACTGGATGCTTGTCTTGTGATACTGCGACACTCAGTCGCCGCACGACTTTACTTGTTTCACACATGCATAACACACATAGTGTACTATTATTAGCATGAACCAAACTGTATTTAAGTAGAGCCTTTGCTGGCCTAAACCCCAGCTTCAGCTAAGGTTTAATCTACCCAACTTGCTAGAACTCCAAGTCTCATGACTATCTAAGTAGTTACCTGCTCAATAACCCAGCATTGCCTACATTGTGTCCGATCCACTGAAGTGTGAGTGGTGGTCCTTTGTTTGACATTGTTTGGTGAGTTGGTGGCTAACATTTAGTCAAAGCTTGCTTCACACGTTCCTCACCTACCATGGGGACCAATGCATATGACTACCCTACCCTCAACAATCATCGCAATCATCATTACTGGCATACTCCTCAGAGCAGCCATAATAATCTTTCTCACAGGAATCACAATCAGCTACCTAGAAGAATGCTATCTCTGAAGAAGAGCCCATCTGCCCATTCAGCAACCACCAAACCCACTACCCACACACTACCTACCCATGTACACACCACCACCACCTCCCTATCCGACCCTACACAATGGAAGACCCATCCAACCCCAAAATCAAGGACCCGTGATTGTCTACGACATTGCCAGGCCCATATACCATACCGCCCTGAGACCAGAGACACTGTTCGAGAGCGAGTATCCACTCGATGAACAGCAAGGAGAAGAAGAAGAGTTTGCTACAGCGAATGAAGGACAGAGTGACAGGGAAGGGGAAAGTGAAGGAGATGGAACCAGTAGAAGAGCAGACAGAGAAATGGACATCACTGATGGGCATACCTTTTCCCCCGCTCCCTGGTCCTTTGACTCCGAAGAAGGACAAGTATGAGTTCACAGCAACCCTGCCAGTGGAGAAGAGGACACCGAGTCCTATCATCCATGCTCCCTGTCCCCAGCCTCCAGCAGCAGCTCCGAGTTCCCTTGAAGAATTATGGGCGAGCTCAAAAGACTCGAGGCCAGCAATGGACTGGATCTCTCCCACTATTACAACAGGTCCAGCACAGGCAACAGGACCAGGTACCCCAGCCTGGTCACCCCCACCATGGCCCTCTTCAAACAAGAAGGATGGCCCAGCACATCTATTGATGCCCATGCATTTGACAGCTACATGCTGATGTGCTCGGTAATGGTGAGTGACAAAAGGCTGGTGAATGGATATGAACACCACAACACCAAAACCCTCTACTACTCTACACTAATCACCAATATTATTGAGTTCAGGTGTTTCGAGTATGATAGAAGCACTCTGCAGACTTCAACAAATCAGGGAAAGGTTGTTTAAAGACCTATATTTGGTACTAGTGAGCTACACAAGATGTAATACTTGCACTAGCAGGGTTTTAAGACACGATTGGATGAATAGTGACTTGGGTTGAGCAACTGCGCTCGGTCTAACTCTGATACTTTGAAACTAGTGGCACTCTGGGCCAAATACTGGGTCTCACAAGAGGTCTACACTTGACTAGTGGCACCATAGGCTCGACTAGTGGCACTCTTGGCCTAAGAACAAATACTTTAACTCTGAGAAAATACTTTAACTAACTTCAAAACGCTCTGAGTCACTCCAAGATGGAATAGCAACTTTAAGACACTTCAATCCATTCAATACTATAGTTGACTAAGCGACTAGTAGACACTTCATCAAGGTTAAGCACAAAAGTCTTTAATTGGGGCACTAGAATACTGACTAGTAGGTCACAATCACAAGGATGGCTTGCCTGGCTTGTGAGGCCGCCCCTTCTACTACTTATATACTACAGAGACAGGTACAGAATAAATATAAATAGATTCCTTAGGGATAATATTGGTAAGGATGTCTTGGCTAGTTATGAATAATGGTGAGCAATCACACAATAGTCGGCCTAGCCTGTTCTTTCTGTCAGATAGTGGGCCTAGGGCCTCCACTATTGGTCTTTTCCATACCCTTTGCCCAGCAGTGCTCCACTAGTGATACAGCTATATGAATAGTTGGGTAACCGTTGAAGAGGCTCTGTGCATGCTGACACGCATGCAACGCGTTCACACATGTAATTTTGCGAATTCTAGGAATGCAAATGTGTGTGTGCCCTGTGAATAATATTAGAGTGCATGTAAGGCATAGAGCACTACACACTGAGGCAGAAAGCACTATAATAAAAATAATATGAGTAGAGTGCATGGCTTAGACTTAGAGCGGCACACTGGTGTCATTTAAGTGTGCAGTCTCAGTGTTTATACACACACACTGTGCCCTCCTCTGCAATGTATCAATCAATTAAATTCACTGAAGATAATATATTGAAGGTGCTTTGCGCTGCATTGATCTATGATGCGTGAACCCTGCCGATCCAGCAATCACTGAGAAACATCATCCTGAATGAAGAATCAACAAGTCCAAATACTCTAAGGAGTTCTTGGCCGGAGAGAAATAAAACCTGCTGCCCATATGAAATATTAAACTAGAAATGGTTGCACAGCAACCAATAAAATAAAACTCGCTCACTAGATAAGTTGCACGGCACTGTAATTAAATCCATGGAGCCAATAAGAAGACACACACTGCATGGCACAACGAGGCTAGGCCTTGTCAAGTGGAGAAAACAGCGGTAGCATGCACGCCAACACAGAGTGCTGAGTAAAATAATGATTACTATCACTATGGCTGACGTGGCACACAAGAGAAGGGAGTCCAAGGTGGAGCATTGTCTATTTTCAGTATTTACATTTCATATAGTTAACGGTAAATATAAGAGCAGTAGTTACAGATAGTTAGCAAGTTTTCAGACCCCTGCAGTTGTACTACGAAGCAGCGCGCTTAGTGTACGACGAAAGGATTTTATTTGAAGCTTCGAGCAAGAGAATATTATTGAACTGGGAATTATTTTGAACACCTTGAGAGCTCATGAGGCATGCCTTGCTCAAGCGTGCTTGATTTGTTCAAGTAAAGTGCAGTAATTGATTGTGCTCTACCTAGAGAATATTGTATTGTGATAACTTGAATGTGCATTTGTGTTTTTGGAACTTGTTTGTGAATTCCGAGTTATTGCAAGTGGCAGAGGTTCGAACCCTTTGGCTTGTCAGTAATCTCTGAGGTTTTTGGTTTATTCCCAAGTGGCATAAGTTCAAACCCTGTGGCTTGTGGACGTGTTTTCTGTGTTTGTGTATCTCTGGATTGCATAGGTTAGAACTCTGTGGATCTACGAACGGGTTTTGAAGTGTTTTCTGCTTGGAGCGCAAGGCTTTAAGTCGTGTTAAGTGTATTGTGAAACGTTGTGGACACTTGTGTGTTGCACGCGACATATTTTGAGGGTTATACGTTCTTGTAGAACATTTGGGGGCTTGTGAAATAATACTTTTGCCTTGAGGCCGAGCGATTCTGTTGCTCACCTCCTGTTCCAAAAGCATTTGAACTTAGAAGATTATTATATTGCTAAGTGCACTATATTATATTGTAATGTGCAAGGATTCTTTCAATACTACTGCTATTGTGTGCTTGTATCGCACATCACCCCTGAAATACTGAGGGTTTGTGTGTGTGTGAGTGTGTGTGAGTGTGAGTGAGTTGTGTTAGTGTTATATACGCTAGTGCATTTCTAGCTTGGCATGCACAGAGCCTCTTCAGTGCCAAGCTCGAAATGCGATAGCATAGATACACTAAACACACCCACTCTCACACTCACACACACACAGAATCTCAGTAGTTTGGGGGAGATGTGCGATGCAAGCACACAATAACAATAGAATTAAAAGATGTCTTGCGCTCTTCAAGATATAATAGCATGCTAGCTCAAAAGAATTCTCTAAGTCCAAATGCTTTTAGGACAGGAGGTGAGTGATATGTATCACTCAGCCTCGAGGCGAAGGCAATATTTCACAAGCCCACAAATGTCCCACAAGAACATACAACCCTCAATTGACATTGCGTGCAACACACAGGTGGCCACAACCCATCAAACAAACTACACATGACTTAAAGCTTTGCGCTCTAAGCAGAAAACACTTCAGGAACCTTTTGTAGATCCACAGGGTTCAAACCTACGCGATCCAGAGACACAGAAACACAGAAACATGTCCACAAGCCACAGGGTTTGAACCTATGCTACTTGGGAATAGACCAAAAACCCTCAAAGAGTATTGACAAGCCAAAGGGTTCGAACCTCTGCTACTTGCAACAACTCAGAATTCACAAGCACGTTCCACAAACACAAATGCACATTCAAGTTATCACAATATAATATTTCTCCAAGTTGAGCACAATCAATTATTGTCCAGAATCAAGCTAAGCGTTGTGTGTGAGCAAGGCATGCCTCACGACCTCTCAAGGGTTTCAAAATAATTGTAGATTAAATAATATTCTCTCACTCGAAGCTACAAACACAAGTCCTTTGGTTGCACACTAGGCTCTCTGCTTCCTGTCACAACTGCAGGGGTTCGAAAGCTTGCTACCTACTTCTAATTACCATGCTTTTATCTACAGCTAATTATATAAATAGAAATATCGAAAATAGATATGCTCCACCCTGGAGCCATTTCCTCTCCATGACGCATGAACCGCATGGTCACTAATTAATATCCTGAGTCAGTCATCCGAGTTAGTGCTTGATAACATGCTGCTCTTTCTTCTTGGCAAGGTCTAGAGTTGCCACATCATGCGGAATATTTCTCCTAATTGGCTCCTTGTTTTTAATTCCTCTGTCGCACACATTGCTAGTGAGTTGGTATTTATATTTGGTTGCTGCACAACCTTTTCTTAGTTTAATATTTCATTCTGGGTACAGGTTTTCTCTCGTGTCGGCTGAAGCCCTCTCAGGAGGCTCGGACTGGGTGGTCCTCAGTTCTGACTGACATCTCTCGGTGATTGCCGGATTGGCAGGGTTCACACATCATAGATCAATGTTGCGTGAAGCTCCATAAATATATTATCTTTTCAGTGTATTTTATTTGAGTGAGACTCTGCTGAGGGATGCATAGGGTGTGAGTCAGGGCACTGAGACTCCACACTTAAATGACACCAGTGTGCTGCTCTAAGTCTAAGCCATGCACTCCACTTGGATTATTTTATTATATGCTGCTACTGCCTCAACAGGTGTCGCTCCATGCCGGGTATGCACTCTAATATTACTTAGTGGATTGACACACATTTGGATTCACAGGATTCGCAAAATTACATGTATGAACGTGTTGCACATGTGTCATTGGGCTACCTTTTCAATGTACGCTTTTACTTTCAGCCAATCTTTGTCAGCTACGATAGCTTGTTGCAGCACTGAGCTCTCAGAGCACCCTTCAGAGGGTGCGGTGCCTGCTATAGGTTGGGTGTATTGGATGGAATATTCTGATTGGGTGGATGGGGTGGACTTGGTGTGGCTTTCATCATCCCTTGGTAATTCTTGAAATCCGTCGGGAACATCATATGGGTTAGGGGTTTCATTGGTGGCCTTGATCTCTTTGTGGATGTGTTGGATCCTGGCTTCGTATTTGTTTACCAGTTCCTCGGCATTGGCCATGTTTTCCCATTTGACCCAGGAGTTTTCTTCCATTGGGTATCCCTTCCACTTGAAGAGGTATTCGGTGATGGTTTTGTGGTTCTTCCCATGTCTGATGACTTTGTCCTTTTGTTCTACAATTTCCTCTATCTCATACTCTTCTTCCTCTTCTATTAGCTTGGGCAGAGGCCTTTCAGGTTGCGGTTGGTTGGAGAATTCAGGAGCATGATACGGAGTAAGGAGAGATTCGTTAAATCAGTCATGAATTTTCCACCTGGCCAGAAGCTTAAGTTTGTAAGAGGAGGTGCCCTTTTTTGCTATAACCTCAAAGGGTCCGACACATCTGTCTCCTAGCTTCTTGGTGAGTCAAGGAAGTTTGAGATTTGTAGAATCCAACCAAACTTTGTCTCCCAGTTGATACTCCAAAGCCTCCGCTTTGTGCTTGTCATAGGTCTTCTTCATTGATTCCACTGCCTTTTCCAATGATTGTCTCACCTTCTCCTGTACTTCTCTTATCCCTTCCACCAGCTTTGAAGCCACTGGCACCATTCCTGTCTTGGCCTTACTGGTGATAACCTGTCCATCCCATCTGAAAACTACCTTGTAGGGTGAGTATCCAGTGGTGGAA